GCAAGGTAAGGTAAGGCAAGGCAAGGCAAGGCAAGGCAAGGTAAGGTATGGAAAACGTTCAATTTTGGTTAAAATAGGTTACGTTTAGTTCAGGATTAGAATGTTATATATGTGTGTTCATGTCAACTCAGGTAAGGGACGCTACGTTAAGGTGAAGTAAATCTGGTTAATTAGAATAGGTTACGTTTATTAGATCAATTTACGTTTTGTTTCGTATCATTTTGCATCTTTTTGTTACGTTACGTTACGTTACGTTACGTTACGTTACGTTACGTTACGTTACGTTACGTTACGTTACGTTACGTTACGTTACGTTACGTTACGTTACGTTACGTTACGTTACGTTACGTTACGTTACGTTACGTTACGTTACGTTACGTTACGTTACGTTACGTTACGTTACGTTACGTTACGTTACGTTACGTTACGTTACGTTACGTTACGTTACGTTACGTTACGTTACGTTACGTTACGTTACGTTACGTTACGTTACGTTACGTTACGTTAAAAATAAAAGTGGCATCTACATCATATAGATTTAGATGTCTACATCCAGATTAATTTTTGATCTAGATCTAGAATCTAAGTGTAAAATTATATTGTTTTTTATCTACTGAAGTCGATAGAAAGTTTCTAAGCTAGAGAACATATTTATTGTGATAAAATAAAAATAAAAACTTTCTGTTTATACTATGTAGATCCACAATGAAATTAACGCCTAACCTCTTACAATGGGCTTAAAATTTTTCGTTTTGTAAAAATCCAAATGAAAACATCACCTTACACTAATGGGTACAATTTAAAGTCAACAAAATTTTCTTTTAAATTTGATAGTGCTAAATGGTGCACATTCGATTAAAAAAAGGCGTATCTGGTGAGAATTTTTTAAGAGGATATGCGTTGCAAAAAGTAAAAAAAAAAAATAATAAAAAACCTTTTAATAACAACCTTTTATGTTACAATGCACTAAAAGAAAATATTTTTTTGTTAAACATATAATAACGCACTACTCTTCAAATAACTATAAAGAAAAGCGTGGGTCACTTTATTATCCATTAGATAACTTTTCTTTATAGTTATTTAAAGAGTATTGTGTTATTAACTGTTTAACGAAAATAATTTGTTTTCTACTTTTTACTGCATTATTACATAAAAGCTAGTTATTAAGAACTGAACTCATTTTAAATTTGACTTAATTGGATGCCTAATTAATTTTTATGGATTAATTAAAATTTTGTCTAAATAACTAAAACTATTGCGCACCTAATGAACTTGATAACGGCGCGTATAATAGTGCAGAATAGTTGGAAAAGACTATCTACTAATTTGGAAAAAAAAATAATGATTCCATAAAAAATTAATTAGGTATCCTTAAATGGCGTCACATTTGTAGGGGGAAGTTCCGCAATTTTGTGACGGTGTGTGGTGAGGGGGAGGGGGGGGGGGTGTTCGGATAGAGTGACGTCACACTTTTGCATTATAAAAAAGTAATGCTAGAAAACAATTTTTCGCCGTTATAAATTGAAATATAAATTGATTAAAACACTCTATGTTGACAGAGTCCAGACAAGATTTGAGAAAAATATTGCTGCTTTAAGAAAAATTCAACTGCAGTTTTGAGGGGGTTGTGGGCTTTGTGTAACGATGTGCGACGGGGGGGGGGGAGGGGAGGTAAAAATCGTCCAATAAAGCGTCTCGTCATTTATTGATGCCTTCTTAGCATATCCAGAATATAAGAATTATTATTACACGTAAAGGATTTAATCAACACTCAGCTACTACTTTATGTATCCAACAAAAAAAAAGCTCTACATAACAGGCTCTAACTAAATAGTGCCTACGTGATTTGAGAGATCAACCACTGACAAAAAATTCCTACTCAAAACAGCACTCTCTAAATATTCTCAATAGACACTTCCAAAGTTTAAGTAATTAAAAATGGATTAAAAATATTATCTATATCTCGAGTTGCCATCCCCCGCAGTGTTATATAAGAATTTCCGATAAAGTTTAGGGGAGATCACTCCCGGTTTATTTATTACTTAAACTTTTTTAAAAACAGAATAGAATCTCGTAGAAAAAAGAATTGCGCACCAAGCTAACGACAAACAATATGTGTATAATAGTGCGGAATATTATTAATACTTTAAAAATTCACATGCATTTTTTGAGAAATCGGAAATAGCGTAAATTACTACTTCCGGAAAAATGAATTTACTCAAAGTTCAACAAAAGGCAGAGAATTAGATATTATATACTTACATGTGAAATTTCATTTATCTATCAAAAATAGAAATCAAGTTATAGGCTTTTGAAAAATTGAAAGTAGAATAAGTTCCACTTCCGTTTACCGGAAGTCGCTGAAAAGTTTAAACAGAACTACAAATTTGATATAATACTATATATGAAATTTCATTAACCTAGCTGTAACGATACTCAAGTTATCATGTTCACAGACACAGTTACACACACACACACACACACACACAAACACATACACACAGAGAGACATACGGACAAGACTGCAAAACTATGTTTTTCCCTACTCAGGGAGGTGTAAATTTCCGAGATAATGGAAATTAATATTTTAAAATATATGAGAAATACAGCTTTCTAACGATGCCAAATACAATTTGTAAAAAATCACGATTTTTTTTTGCACTGTTACAATAATTCCTCTATATTTCGTATAGAGGAAGTAAAAAGTAGTAGGCTTTTTAGTATTAAAAACCTGCGAACTGAGAAAAACAGCAAATTGTAACGAAAATACCATATCTTTGTAAACTGCAAAGCCGATTGTAAGCTTTGGGTGTTTCCGAGGTGATGGAAATTAAGATTATCAAATATATTAGATATCCAGCTTTCCAACTATGCCACATACAATATGATGACGGTTATAAAACTTTTCTTAGGGAGCTTGTAAGATTTGGAAAAATTGATTATTTTTAATTGACAGGGTTATAAAAATGATATTTTAAACACACACATTTATTTTTTCTCATTAAAGTTATTATTTTCTTAATACAAAAATGGACAAAGTATGCAAAAGTGCAAGAAAACCCATAATGACGAATAACTAGAAATGTGGTGGTTTTTTTTCGGATCATATCCCCTTAAACAAATAAAGTTTACAATTGTTTGTTTTTTTTCAATCAATAATGAACGACGTTTCAAGTACCACACCATACTCTAGGTCAGGGGTTCCCAGCCTTTTTTTACTCTAGAGCACATCCTAAAATATCGGTAGGGTGGCGGGCACCACCTATTTTAAATCGACAAACTCCTTCCAGAGGCGTAGCGACCCTTCCCGTCACCCGGGGACAAAACTTTCGATTTGCACCCCCCCCCCCCCCCAAACTTTTGATTTCCATCCCCTTCAACCTTTCGATAATGTTTATGAAAAAAATTCTGTCTCTGTCGAATAGTGAGAGGCGGGCACATACGAATCGTTCGGGCACGGGGTTGGGAACCCCTGCTCTAGGTCGAGCGTGGATACAAATGCCCCACTGTTGTATAATGTAATATGTGCACAGGTCTAACGTTAAACTAATGCAGGCCTTCGCCATGCGAGAACTAGTGGCATGCATGAATCATAAAGTTACTCATAAGCTCCCTGTGTGTTACATGCCCCCCGCCCCCATCCTCACTTCAGGTGCCCCACATGACCTCGACAACATCTGGGTATGTTTCAACCGATCCTGTCAACACGATTAGCGTATTGACTCAACACTACGCGAGTAAGGGCGCGTGAACTTAGTCATTCTAGTTAATCCTTAGGGTTAGGACCTACAGCTTAGTTATTTTGGTTAATCCATAGGGTTAGGACCTATAGCTTAGTCATTTTAGTTAATCCTTAGAGTTAGGACCTACAGCTTAGTCATTTTAGTTAATCCTTAGGGTTAGGACCTATAGCTTAGTCATTTTAGTTAATCCTTAGAGTTAGGACCTATAGCTTAGTTATTTTGGTTAATCCTTAGGGTTAGGACCTATAGCTTAGTCATTTTAGTTAATCCTTAGAGTTAGGACCTATAGCTTTAAAAAGATTTAAAACTCACGTTTGAGGGTAATTCCCCTGTAGTGTTACCCTTAATGCAGCGAGTTAATTACCCTGTATTGCAGCCCTTAATTCAGCGAGTTAAGTCCCCTGTATTGTTACCCTTAATGCAGCTAGTTAATTCCTCTGTATTGTAACCTGTGATGCAGCGAGTTAAGTCCCCTGTATTGTTTTTAGTACGGCGAGGCTTATCCCTCTTTACTGTAGCCTTTAATGCAGCGAGTTAATTACCCTGTATTGTTACCCTTAATGCAGCTAGTTAATTCCTCTGTATTGTAACCTGTGATGCAGCGAGTTAAGTCCCCTGTATTGTCTTTAGTACGGCGAGGCTTATCCCTCTTTACTGTAGCCTTTAATGTAGCGAGATAATTCCGCTGTTTTGTAAACTTTAATGCAGCGAGTTAATTCCCCTGTGTTGTCTTCTATGCGGCGAGGCTTATTCCTCTTTACTGTAGCCTTTAATGTAGCGAAGCTAATTTTTTTTTTCTGTATTGAAAGATTTAACAAGGCTAATCACTACGCTTGTATCATCATTTACGGCGAGGCTAATACCACTAGGCAAAAAAAAAAAAAAACTTTAAAAAAAAAATAAAACGTCATTGAAAACACAAATTGGCAACTAACCCAGGTAGAAAACGAACTCAAAAACACATTACATTTTAAAAACAAATCGAAAGTTACAACATCTTAATTGTGTTTACTGTAAAGAAAAATTACAATTTTGTAACCTCAACTACAGCGCAGTTATTTCCCCCCTGATCGAACAAACCGATCAAAAACAACTGGAAAAAAAACCCAGCTTGATTGAAAAGGCACATTTGTAACAATTGTAAACGTAGTTTTGAAGTTTGAATCGTTAATGTTGCTGCTTATTCGATGGAACGGCAACATCTGTGGACCACGAAGCTAATGTAAACGGCTATAGAGGGCCGCAGATGTGACCAGTTTTCTTTCTGTTCTCTGTACGCCTCGGTGTAAGTTTGGTCATAGGTATTTCCATGTTAATTATTCAGTGTGTGGACAGGAGAGTTATATTTGTAACTTTAGAGAAGTGGAATGTGTAGTTTTGAGAGGACGCTTCAGTTGACTGTGCTCCGACGGAAAGAATATTTGTTGATTACAGGACTACCTAAAGGAGAAAACGATATTTGACGTAAGTGATGAATTCCAAATACGTAAATACAGTTCGCACGGTTCTTATATATATTTTTTTTAAAAATCAAGAATGTAAACCTACAAGTATTATTCATAATAGATTCAAATTTTAGCTTAACTTCACATTTAATAATTTAATTTAATTTAAATCAGTCAAAAATGTCCAATTTAAGGAAATAATTTTGGCAATGACTGATCATGCCACACATCAATTTTGCCAGGATTTTAAACATTTAAATATAAAAAAATCTAATTTGATCAATACGCTTTGAATTACCGCGGGTTTTACCCAGTAAAAAATATTAAGAGAAAAAAAAACACAATCAACAGCACTACAATTCATAGTTACATTGAAATATTCACGAGCTAGGTAACTTAGCCAACAAATCCACACAAGGATACATAATAGCCTTCGTTAATTCTAATAGTCCAGTCTAAATCTAAAAGTAGTATAGGAATATGTTCCAATATATATATATATATATATATATATATATATATATATATATATATATATATATATATATATAATATTAGTTCGGATCGGTTATTTCACAATTCGTAGATCTACAGTTTGTTGTAGAAAACAGACATGAATTAGTAAGCCATTGAAATCATAGCAAAAAGTATTTTGAGATCGATTGGTCGCGCGAAGTTTTATGTTATGGATGTGCTCATTGTAAAAATGGTTTGCTATAAACACGGACGCGGCATTGACCATCAGTTCCAGTTTGTTATAAACACGCACGCGGGCATTGACCATCAGTTCTAGTTTGTTATAAACACGGACGCGGCATTGACCATCAGTTCCAGTTTGTTATAAACACGGACGCGGCATTGACCATCAGTTCCAGTTTGTTATAAACACGGACGCGGCATTGACCATCAGTTCCAGTTTGTTATAAACACGGACGCGGCATTGACCATCAGTTCCAGTTTGTTATAAACACGGACGCGGCATTGACCATCAGTTCCAGTTTGTTATAAACACGGACGCGGCATTGACCATCAGTTCCAGTTTGTTATAAACACGGACGCGGCATTGACCATCAGTTCCAGTTTGTTATAAACACGGACGCGGCATTGACCATCAGTTCCAGTTTGTTATAAACACGGACGCGGCATTGACCATCAGTTCCAGTTTGTTATAAACACGGACGCGGCATTGACCATCAGTTCCAGTTTGTTATAAACACGCACGCGGGCATTGACCATCAGTTCTAGTTTGTCGTGCGTACATAGCACGGGAACCAGATTGTGCCGAGTGACTCTGGCAGTGTGTTAAATACTGTGACCAAAATACTGTTTTTTTCGTTCTATTTTTCAGCTTAAAATACTCGCCTACTTCACTGAGCCTATTATTTAACACGAGCTGTCCCACGACGTAGCATACGCCGCTATTTAGTTCCTTTTTTTCACTCATTCAAAATGTGGGAATTCAACACAGCCAATGCTGTGACTGAAAATATTTTGCTTTAAAACACTATCAGTAGCTCGTGAAGGACGAATATCCTCACCCTCACTTTCCACTCCTCTCCCTCCCCCTCCCCCTGCCTTCGTAAAAGCAGCAGTCTGTGACGACAGTTTACCGACGACAATGAAAAGAGCAAGCAGAACATGTTATTACCTCCCCTTAATTTCAAATAGTAAATTATCTGCCCCTAATAGCAGTCACTACGATTGTAAACAGCTCACCAGACTGTTGGTAGTGATATGGTCTGTTGAGCTTACGTCTTGGTGGTGTTTCTCATGGTCCCCACGTAGAGAATTATTATTTAACATTTGTTATCGCCATACAATCTCTTTCACTAATCTCTCAAAGGCCTTCAGTAGATAACATAAAGTTACAACCACAGTAAAGACTTTAAAAAAACACAGAACACAATGTCAAACTTTTGCCTCGCTGTGTATCGATCGTAGAGCCCGTGTTGTGTGTCAACACAGTCAGCTCAGCAAACGTGTGACGCATGGACCCCTGCGTTCAACTACTCCCGACAGTGACTCGGTAAACGTGTGGACAAAGACCCCTGCGTTCAACTGCTCCCGACCGTGACTCGGTAAACGTGTGACGCATGGACCCCTACGTTCAACTGCTCCCGACCGTGACTCGGTAAACGTGTGACGCATGGACCCCTGCGTTCAACTGCTCCCGACAGTGACTCGGTAAACGTGTGGACAAAGACCCCTGCGTTCAACTGCTCCCGACAGTGACTCGGTAAACGTGTGACGCAAAGACCCCTACGTTCAACTGCTCCCGACCGTGACTCGGTAAACGTGTGACGCATGGACCCCTACGTTCAACTGCTCCCGACCGTGACTCGGTAAACGTGTGACGCATGGACCCCTACGTTCAACTGCTCCCGACCCTGACCAGGTCACACTCACCCGGAAACAGACATAAATTATGAGGCAGTGTAGTGAGTTTTTAGGATTCATTTTTTAAAAATATGTTACTTTATATAATAAACCGGGAGTGATCTCACCTATACTTTCTCGAATATTCTTATATAACACTACGGAGGATGTCAACTCGGGATATAGACATGATTTTTAATCCATTTTTAAATACTTAAACTTTTTAAAATAGAATCGAATCTCGTAGAAAAAAGAATTGCGCACCTAGTGAACGGCAAACAATATGTGTATAATAGTGCGAATTATTATTAGTACTTTATAAATTGACATTCGTTTTGTTTTAGAAATCGGGAAATAGCGTAAATTACTACTTCCGGTCAACGGAAATTACTCAAAATTTGTCAGAAGGCAGAGAATTAGATCGTTTACTTACATGTGATATTTCGGTTATCTATCTGAAACAGTAATCAAGTTACATGATTTTGAAAGACCAAAAGTAGAATAAGTTCCACTTCCGGATACCGGAAATCACTAAAAAGTTGATATAGAGCTACTTGTATATAATACTTGTATATGAAATTTCATTAATCTAGCATGCTTGTCCTTTAAAGCTCGCTTTTTCTAAATTTCCGGGCAGGGGAGGGGGAACACTGGTCGAAGTATAGGCTATGTATTTTCATTTATAAATTATTTATTTTCTCTACTTCTCCCGGATGGGGTGGGGGGGGGGGGGGGCTGGTTGATGTGCTTCGAAGAAAACGCGCTCATCCTGATATGTAGACTTTGCCTTTACATGATTTAAAATGTAAAATTTGTCTTTACATAATTTAAAATGTAAAATTTGTCTTTACTTGACTAACGATGTAAAATCTATCCTTACTTTTAATGAAAAATGTAAAATGGGTCTTTTTATAATCAAAGATGTAGAATGTGTCTTTGCTTAGACGCAGATTAAAAAGTGTCTTTACATAATTAAAGATGTAAAATGTGTCTGTACATCATTATAGGTGTAAAATGTGTCTTTGCATAATTAAAGATGTAAAATACTTGTCTTCACATAATTAAAGATGTGAAATGTGTTTTTACATAATTAAAAATGTCAGCTACGTGTCTTCATACCAGTTTGAATGTAAAATGTCTCGGCGAGCCTGTATGAATTTTAAAAAGTATGAAATGGTATAAGATTATTTCTGTACGTTATCTGCACATTATCTGTGGCTTAACGTAAAACATTTTGATCATTATGTAAACGTGGCCATACACTTCACTCAACTTTTAATCAATCAATCAATAACAGTAAACCACGGTTATCAGTATAACAAGTTTCTTCTCCAACCTTTTTTTTTAAGAAGTAAGACCTTTTTACATATTATATGAATGAGTGTGGGTACAGTGCATGGTGGATGTATGTAGAATGGGTGGAGGGAGAATGTGAAATGTTTATTATGTCAAGAATTGTCATCATTTCTCGCTCGTGGCCGAGACACTTGGGGCAGATTAATTAGAGTTAACGAGCCGGCCCGCGGCATAACATACGCCGCTATTTAGTTGTTGTTTTTTCTACTTTTCAGTAATTCATAATTTGTGAATTCGACAGTACCAACGCTGCCACTGAAAATATTTCTTTAAAACACTATAAGTAGCTCGTTAAGGACCATAACCACCTTCCTTTCCCCCCCCCCCCCCCTACGTTTAAAATCGTTTTAAACAAAATTATCTGCCCCTTATAGTCGTCACTAAACTCGGCTCTGCTTGTAAACATTTAGAGTGAACACAGCTCACTAAGACCATGTAGGGGTGGGGTGGTAGGGAGCGCGTTTACAGCTTGTTTTCTAGCGTCTCCCAGAAGAGAATTATATATATAGATATGTTTCTTAGTCCCTTGCATTTGCTCAACATTCTCCCTAACATCAGTTTGGTGCCCATCAGAGCTGGTTGGGCACATGGACATTGTACTGACTTGAACCCGGATTCGAACTCGTGACTTGCGGGTTGGCGGTCTAACTCTCTACAGCTAGGCCACGCCGTCCCATATGTAATGATTATTCTTACTAAAAACCTGTATGAGCGACCAACATTTTTCTATAGTTTTTTAAATAGTGTTGAATAATTATGTTTATAAAGAAAGTCGCTTTATTTATTTCTTCAAAAGTTTTAACGACTTTATTAAATTTGAATGTAAAACTCTACGAAAACTCAAATGATTCTACGATTTTAACGACTTTGCATTAATTGGGCTTAGCTGCCTATATTCAGTACATTTTGGTTATATTGTATCGAAATAGTTTGGTTTCAAACAAAGAGTAATACATCATTTAGTAACTTAGTTCATTTATCTGAAATATTTGAAACATTGCCATTCCACTGTGAGCATTACAGGTAAAACGCGTGCTGTGTTATTTTGTTTATTTAGTATTAAACCGTCTAATACAAAATAAACAAAATAAAAATATGTGCTGTGTTATTTTATTTGTTTTGTATTAGACGATAACATTAGTTATTTGTGCTGAAAATGGTTGATTTTTGTGTAAGGAATGAAAGAGAACTGACTCTGTTGTATTCCTTAACGCACTGTATTTTTAATCAAAAGTTGACAATAACTATAACTTTTAAATTGACTTTTGTTGACAATAACTATAACTTTTCAATTGACTTTTGTTGACAGTAACTATAACTTTTCAATTGACTTTTTTGACAGTAACTATAACTTTTCAATTGACTTTTGTTGACAGTTACTATAACTTTTCAATTGACTTTTGTTGACAGTAACTATAACTTTTCAATTGACTTTTGTTGACAGTAACTATAACTTTTCAATTGACTTTTGTTGACAGTAACTATAACTTTTCAATTGACTTTTGTTGACAGTAACTATAACTTTTCAATTGACTTTTGTTGACAGTAACTATAACTTTTCAATTGACTTTTGTTGACAGTAACTATAACTTTTCAATTGACTTTTGTTGACAGTAACTATAACTTTTCAATTGACTTTTGTTGACAGTAACTATAACTTTTCAATTGACTTTTGTTGACAGTAACTATAACTTTTCAATTGACTTTTGTTGACAGTAACTATAACTTTTCAATTGACTTTTGTTGACAGTAACTATAACTTTTCAATTGACTTTTGTTGACAGTAACTATAACTTTTCAATTGACTTTTGTTGACAGTAACTATAACTTTTCAATTGACTTTTGTTGACAGTAACTATAACTTTTCAATTGACTTTTGTTGACAGTAACTATAACTTTTCAATTGACTTTTGTTGACAGTAACTATAACTTTTCAATTGACTTTTGTTAACAGTAACTATAACATTTCAATTGACTTTTGTTGACAGTAACTATAACTTTTCAATTGACTTTTGTTGACAGTAACTATAACTTTTCAAACGACTTTTGATAAGACTAACTAAAACTTTAAAATTGACTTTTATTTAGACTATTTATTTATATTTTTTCAAATAACGTTTGTTTACACTATAACTTTTCAAAAACCACTTGCAAACAGCTAACACATGATGACAAAGAGCTGGAAACTTTTGGTCGTCTGCGTGTGTGCGTGTCTGGCGTTCCTGGCGGGAAGAGCGCGTGCAGACTACGAATTCTGCCGAGACGACAACCAGAACTATGTGGCCTGTCAGCCGGACATGTTCGACGTCATTTCAGACAGGGTCAAGGTCACTGTGGACCCCCCGACTGCAACCTGTGGCACCCCCGCCTCGACTTTCAGACGTCTTGGTGCTAGGGTAAGGATAGGCAGTGGCGTACGCAGAGGGGAAGGGGGAGCGCTCCCCCTGGGCCATTAGCCACAAAGTAGCGTCTTTTAAAAATCTTATTTAACTAACAATTTTAAGCAGTAAGAAATTAATTTAAATTTCGATTTAAAACCCTTCATGCAGCATTTAGACATTTAATACCTAGTGTTTCTTCAAGACTTTTTTCTCCGGTTGGGCACTTGAATTTTTCGGGGAGGGGGGGGGGACTAAAATTTCCGGGGGGAGAGACGCTGTTAAAAGTATATATTTTCTATATAAATTTTATTTCGTTCGGGGGGGGGGGGCGGTAGACTTTCTTCTCCCCGAAGAGATGCCTAGAAGAAACTCTGTTAATACTTCAGAATAAATTAGAATAATTTTTTCATAAAGAAACTTACGTAACGTGGCCCAAAAACTAATACCTATAAAATATAAATACTGTTGGTTTCCATGGATACAGACCCCGGCGACGGAGCGGTGTGACGGTGCCAGCCCTACTCTGAGGCACCCACCGGAGTACATCGTGGACGACAACATCACCAGCTGGTGGCAGAGTATTGGTGAGCCGCCCGGCACGGTGAACCATGGTGAGCAGTTGTTGCACTTCCTGCTGTACTTCTTGTTGGGTTTTGTGCCTAGTCTTGGGGGGGGGGGGGGGGGTTATGTGGCGGCTAGGGTCAGGGTTAAGTCTGTGTTAAGTATCGTTATCTGTGTTCTTATTTTTTTGTCACCATTTTAATAAGATAAAAGTCCTAAATGCTTTTATTTTTCTTAAAATTGGTGTTCGAAATAGACTCGTAAAAAAAATTCTGGAAAAAGTATATCTGCATTTATTCGTAAGAATTCACATTATTAAAAATATATTAATAGCATAATACCAGTTTTTAAAGTATTAAAAAAGTAATTTGCACCAAGGGAAGGGGGGGAGGGGGCATTAGGAGGTCGATAAATCCCGGGGATAATATTTTTACAAAAAGATACAATTAGTCCTGGTTATATGAGTGACATGGATCCCGGATATTTTCAATTAAGCCTTAATAGGGCTGGTAAGTAGGTCACCAACCAGTTCTATGGCTCATCCAGGTTTTATGGAGCCGTAGAACTGGTCGGTGACCTACTTACCAGCCCTATTGAGGGCCTGCGCTCAAATATCTCCTCTGCTTAAAGGACGCAATATCATTAAAGCTATAGATCTGTCCTTATATTCCGTGGCGCAGTTGCCTCTGAAGTCTAGAATCGTAATGGTCTGAAAATCACGTGTTCAAAACCATACGAGGGGAGTAGAGACAAATAATTAAGTTTTTTTAATAGAAGTATTAGAAGGCAGTCTGCTAGAAGTAGAATCTAATTTATAAAGAGAGGTTGAATCGATACGTTGAGCTCAATGTGATCCAAATAACTAGACAAGGCATAGTGGGTGATAGATCTAGGTGTTAATTTTAATACTATTTTGTAGTTGTATTCAGGTATGAACTTATATAAAACATGACTCGTAGCTGTGACTTTTTTAATTGTTAGTTTTTCAAATATAAGCAAATGAGGAGATCCCAGCACACATACTTTCCTTACCGACGCAGCATATATATCTAAATACAATTCTATATAGATTTAGTATTGGCATTTAAAAATAAAGACTGAATGTTACCCGAAGCAAAAAAAAAACCTCTGCGCTACTCTAGGTACGCCAATGCAGTAGCGTAGCGAGGGGGGGGGGGGGCGCCAAAATGGGTTGGAAAAATAAATTGAAAGGTTGAGGGGGGTGCAAAATGAAAGTTTGAGGGGGGTGCAAATCGAAAAGTTTATCCCCGGGCGCCGGGAAGGGTCGTTACGCCTCTGCGCCAATGTTTACTGATGATGTTGTGCTGTCCCCAGAGTTTCACGTCAACATCACCTTGTCTTTCAACAAGTCGTTCCAAATGGAGAGTGACGTCATCATAACCTTCAACTCGAACCGGCCGGACAAGATGGTGCTGGAGAGGTCGGTGGACTTTGGCCAGACGTGGCAGCCCCTGCAGTTCTACGCCCGAAACTGTGAAGACTTCCAGGACCAGCTGCAGCCGGGGGCCGTGATAACGGCTGATAATCCCACGGCTGTGGTGTGTGATAGCTCGTAAGTACAGCACGCGTTGAGATATGAACATATGAAAGACATGTGTTGGCTTATAGCAGAAGACTATCAGTGTTTCTTCCACATTTTTTTTCTCCGGTGGGGGGGGGGGGCACTTAATATTTTCGGGTAGGGGGGCTAAATTTTCCGCGGGGGGGGGGGGGGGAGGGCACTTAATATTTTCGGGAGGGGGCTACATTTTCCGCGGGGGGGGGCGGCCATTGATAAAAGTATATGTTTTCTATATAAATTCCATCCCGAAGAGATGCCTGTAAAAAACTCTGTAGACTATAAAGTGATGTACAAACATAAACATTAGAAGAAATATGTAGGCTTATAGTAGACTTTAAATTAATGAAAAAATATTAAGATACTTGAGAAATATGTAGTCTTATAGCAATGTAGAAATATGAACATTAAGAATGAATTTGTGGGGTGCGTCATTAAGAAATATGGAAGTACTGCGGAAATACTTGATGCTGCAAGAATCTGCAAGTAGCATACTGTAGCAACGTTGAAATGCGGCACAATACAACGAAAAATAGATCTGAAATATATAACTGCAGGTTCAAATCTGGCAACTAGACCTATCCTGCAAATGTATACTAACGTGTATATAATAGATCCGGGCATATGAAGCTCGGAATATGGGGACAACAGCCCAATCGGAGAGAAAACTCCGGATTCAAAGAACTCTCGTAGATGGATCGTAGGTGGTCAAACGCTACAGAAACAATAAGGCGCACAACATTGTGTTGAGGGAAATCTCCTTCAATTGAGAATGAAGTAGAAGTAGAAAACTTTAACGATACATTCCATCATCTACATCTATTTACATCTACATCATTCATTACATTTTATTTTAAATCTAAAAGCATCTCAAAATTTGTTATTTATCGTTAATTTACATTTTTTAAATAAAAGTAGGTAAGAATCAATACAACTTTCAAGTGACATTTTTGCGATGTTACTCTCAGATATGCGGAGACACAGCCCCGTGCAAGTCCAGGCAGAGCCGTGAAATTCGTCAACGAAAACCGCTTTGATCTATTTTTAGGTCCACTAGGATTAAATTACACCTCGTTTTACGAAGCGCTGGAAACTAAAATGCTGGGGTTTTTACTTTTTACCGGTATGTTTCATTCTAAAATATAGAGATTTTTACTTCTACTGGTATATCTTTCAATCTAAAATGTTGGAATTTTTACTTTTACTGGTATTTGATTCAATCTAAAATGCTGGGGTTTTTACTTTTTACCGGTATGTTTCAGTCTAAAATATAGGAATTTTTTACTTTTTGTTGGTATCTTTTTCAATCTAAAATTAGATATTTACTTCTACTGGCATTTCTTTCAATCTAAAAAGTTGGGATTTTTACTTTTCACCATTATCTTGTACTATGCATCCGATTAAGTGAAACAAATTTAAAAAAAAACTTGCCCTTTGGGACATAAGCTAATTGTAAGTTTCTGTTCATTCATTCATCAGGCATATTTATTAAAATACGTAAAACGTCGAAACTTAAAAACTACTATGCCTTTGTACGTTTGACCAGATCTAAGAATCCGGTTGATGCAACCTTTGTGGGACGACCGCGGAAATTACGACATGTATTACTACGCCATATCGGATTTTCAGGCTGCCGGGAGGTAAACACTAGATGCACTATTTTCTGCTAGAACTTTGTCGAAACGTAACATTTTTTTCTACAGAAGTTTAGGAATGTATACATTACTTCACCCATTATATTACTTTTAAAGTTTGTAGACATCAACTTTTCCAATCAATAACTTTACATTTTTGGATTGCTATGTTAAAACGAATGTGCCTATGAATAGACTTATAGCGCCATGAATATGCCCATGCAATATGTATGTATTATGAGTAAGTATCGATCGTAAACTTGTCTTGTAAGCCAAAAAAGAGTGACGTGGTCTCAAAACCCGTATTTCATTGGAACACAACATCTCATGCTAAGTTTTTTCTAAGATACACCCGCAATGCCCCCCCCCCCCCTTCCGCCTCGAAAGTCAGTCCATGGTTACATCTTTGGGGTCGTCCATAAATGACGTCACACTCGTAGGCGTGTGACGGTGTGTGATTAGGGGGAGGGGGGGGTGGTTCAGATGGTATGACGTCGCTTTTTTGCATTATAAAAAAGCAGTTAGAAAACGAATTTTAGACATTATTTCGCGTTTTAGAAAACGTTTTTAATAATTGTAATAGGAATTGATCAAAATATCGATGTTTTAGAAAAATTCAACTGCAATTTCGAGGGGAGTTGTAGGCTGAGGTGTGACGCCATTTTAGGGGGGGTCTGGCTTTTTGTGACGACGTGTGACGGAGGGGAGGGGGGAGGTAAAATCGTCAAAAAAGCATGACGTCATTTATGGATGACCCCTTTATTCAAAACACCTTTATAGTGACATTTTGTGTTAAAAATGAAAATATATATGTAAACCAGTGGTATCGATATAAGCATACAACAGCTGTAACTGGCCAACCTTTAGCAAACATTAGAAAATCAGTAGTTACACACGATAAACAAAACGATTACCCTCCCCCTTTCCTCCCCCCGTCATTTCGTGTTCATATGTGCACGATCCCATACGTGTGTATGTATTAAAGTACGTCGACACGTGCCCCTAATCACACTGTGACACGTGTCGTGCCTCAGGTGCTTCTGTAATCTTCACGCATCCAACTGTAACGTGACGTCAACCGGCGACACCATCTGTGACTGCGACCACAACACGGCAGGGAAAAATTGCGAAGAGTGCCTTCCCTTGTACAACGAGAAGCCTTGGAAAAGGGGGAGCTTCCTGCCATACCCAACTGGTTCGGCCAACGAGTGTTTAAGTACGGAAATATTCATTGTTGCCTCCCTTGATGAAAGTGAACTCAGATACAACTTAGAATAATGGGGGGGGGGGGGGGGCAGTGTTTCTTCCAGACTTTTTTCTCCGGGGGGGGGGGGGGGCATTTGAAATTTTCGGGGGGGGGGGGCGGTAGACTTTCTTCGGGGGGGGGGGCGGAAACTGCTGTTAAAAGTATATATGTTCTATATAAATTATATAAATTTCATTTCGGGGGGGGGGGGGGGGGCGGTAGAATTTTTTCGGGGGGGGGGGAGCTTCGCCCCCCCGAAGAGATGCCTGGAAGAAACTCTGGGGGGGGGGGTGTCCATAGATTGGTGATGGCGACGGTACAAATATGTGTTATTGACCGATATTGAAAGTGACGGAATGGATACCTCCCCCTCCCCCTAGTGGGACTTTTAACATGTAACGTAACCCTAACCCCTAAATTAATAATAGAGTTAGGGCTAGGGTTATAATTTAGATTAGAGCTGGGGAAGGTTTCAGAATTTTCTAGAAGGAATACGTTTTTTTTTTTAAAATTGTTCGTTCCCTTTTTTGACTTTCTGTAAAAGTCTAGGGTAAGTATCAGATACGATTTTCTTTTCTCAAAGGGCATTTGTTGAGAACATATAAAATAGCTATTATCGATAGGGGGTAATTACCATAGGGGTATTAGGAAGGTTGAATCGTCAGTGAAGTGGTCGATATGGAGAATCGTTCTGGGGGGGGGGGGGGTAATTCACAGGTGGGGGGATGTGACTGGGGAAATCCCCTAGACCCGAATAAGAATACAACCCTTCCTATTATACTACAATACACACCCCACCCCTTACACGTAATACACGCCCCTTACATGACCCCCACCCCTCCTTACAGAGTGCGAATGTAACTATCACGCCATCAAGTGCACCTACAACGCCAGCTACGGCCGGGGAGTGTGCGACAGCTGCCTCCACAACACCAACGGCTACCACTGCCAGCTGTGCGCGGCCACCTTCTACCCTAACATGTCGCTGGCTTTAAGTGACCTCAACAGGTGTATAGGTGAGTTGATTGGCCTCAACAGGTGTATAGGTGAGTTGATTGGCCTCAACAGGTGTATAGGTGAGTTGATTGGCCTCAACAGGTGTATAGGTGAGTTGATTGGCCTCAACAGGTGTATAGGTGAGTTGATTGGCCTCAACAGGTGTATAGGTGAGTTGATTGGCCTCAACAGGTGTATAGGTGAGTTGATTGGCCTCAACAGGTGTATAGGTGAGTTGATTGGCCTCAACAGGTGTATAGGTGAGTTGATTGGCCTCAACAGGTGTATAGGTGAGTTGATTGGCCTCAACAGGTGTATAGGTGAGTTGATTGGCCTCAACAGGTGTATAGGTGAGTTGATTGGAATCAACAGGTGTATAGGTGAGTTGATTGGAATCAACAGGTGTATAGGTGAGTTGATTGGCCTCAACAGGTGTATAGGTGAGTTGATTGGAATCAACAGGTGTATAGGTGAGTTGATTGGCCTCAACAGGTGTATAGGTGAGTTGATTGGCCTCAACAGGTGTATAGGTGAGTTGATTGGCCTCAACAGGTGTATAGGTGAGTTGATTGGCCTCAACAGGTGTATAGGTGAGTTGATTGGCCTCAACAGGTGTATAGGTGAGTTGATTGGCCTCAACAGGTGTATAGGTGAGTTGATTGGCCTCAACAGGTGTATAGGTGAGTTGATTGGCAGGTGATGGACAGGTGGGTGAAGTGTTTAGATCAGCGGGAGGTAACATATTAGTACACCTAGACATACACGTACACACATGCACATATATAGGCCTATATATATATATATATATATATATATATATATATATATATATATATATATATATATATATATATATATATATATATATATATATATATATATATATATATATATATATATATATATATATATATATATATATATAATATAGTCAAATATTTATATTATATATTCGCACATGTATGTCTATCTCTGTGTTCCGGCTCCTAGCATGATTTAACATCAGACACTATTAACAAATTACACCCAAAAAAAAAAATTAAAAGTGCGAGTTAAAGTACTCTGAAGAAAAAAAATATACTGTTATACATCTTAGAAAACTTTTTATCTCCTCAGCTTGTAATTGTGAGGTTCTGGGTGTAGTGGACAACAACCTCACCTGCTCGCAGACAGACACGCCCCCAAGTCCCATTGGCCAGTGCTACTGTAAGAATCTAGTGACAGGACGGAGATGCGACTCTTGTGTTCCGGGGTATTACGGTCTGATCTCTGGCCCCACCCCGGGGAACTGCACACGTAAGTCACTCCATGCACGGAGCTTACAAAAAAAAAAAAAAAACATTAATTTTGCCAGTTATATTGTTAAATAAAATTATTTTACAATTGTATTTATTTCTAAAGCAAAATAATTCGTATTTATTTAAAACCGAACTAACTCACTGTTAATAGCAGAATATGTATCTAAAAATCATTATTGTTCCTCGTATTGTAAAAATAAATTGGCGAAATCTTTTTTCTGCTATCCGTATTTTCGCGCTTTAAAAAGAAATGGAATTTCAAGATTAAACATTCTTCTTCTTCATCGATCTTAATTGAAAAGTTGGACGAGATTTCCTCCAACACAATTCAGTTTCTAATCTCAACATCTTATGCGACATTTGACCCCGATTTCAGCCTACTTTTCTTTCTGGATTTGCCCCTATCGCCTTTGTTCATACATGACAGCAATTGTTTGATTTTGGAGTTGTCTCTCCTAGATGGGTTGCTGTCTCGAACTATCGAGCCTCAACTGCCGGGGTTTCGAAATCGTGAATTTTCGGTTTAGCAAACGTTGAGTTTTACCAGTAGCGTAGCGAGGGGGGGGGCGGGGGCGGGGGGGGGGGACATATGTCCCCGGGCGCCGACCTTAGGGGGTGCCAAAATGGGTTGGAAAAATAAATTGAAAGGTTGTGGGGGGTGCAAATCGAAAGTTTGAGGGGGGGGGGTGCAAATCGAAAACTTGAGGGGGGGGGTGCAAATCGAAAGTTTGAGGGGGGTGCAAATCGAAATCTTAAGGGGGGGTGCAAATCGAAAGTTTGTCCCCGGGCGCCGGGAAGGGTCGCTATCGACCCTACCACGCCGACATTCCAGTTCAGGTTAAAGTTCATATTCCAGTTCCGCTGAAAGTTGCCGTTCTCCAGTCTCTATTTCCGATCAGTTCCAGTTTCGTTTCCGATTAAAATTTACGGTGACTGTTGATGCTCTGGTTCTGGTTGAAGTTTCGAAAAAGTTTGATATCTTTCTTGTTTGTTGGATGTAAAATAGTACTTATCTACATTTAACTTAGCAATCTGTATAATTATTTTTGAAATTAAATTTTAAAAATTTATTTAAAAAAAAAACAGCATGCAACTGCAACTTGGATGGCACAGTCGGACAAAGTAACACGTGTAACCAAACGAGCGGTCAATGTCCGTGCAAGCCAAACATAGAGGGCGTGACGTGCAACGCCTGTAAAAATGGATTCTTCTCGTTCCCAACAGGACAAAGTCAGAGGGTGAATTTTTTTTCTTCTTGGTTAATCACATGTGTCCAGTGTTTCTTTCAGTCTTTCTTTCATGCATCATTCGGGAAAAGAGCCCCCCCCCCAACCGATCACTAGTTTCCAGTGCCCCTCACCCTCCACCCCAACCTCCACCTCCGAAGAATAAAGTCTGAGAGAAACGCTGCATACACTTTAGCTACATAAGCTTATAGTAACGCATGTTATGTTGGCTGAAGTATCACTGTTAGATACGTTAGTTATTTGCAGAAGCGAAGCCACCCATTCCGGCGCCCGGGGGAACAATCAATTTTGCACCCATCCCCATCCCATGTGTAGATAGTTATTCACGTAGCCAGTTTCGAAAGGTTGGGGGCGCTTTTTACCAATTTCTCTCATGTAGCCGCCCCATCCGCCCTACCCTAGTCTAAGGATTGACTCGTCCATAAATTATGCCACTCAGCCCCCCCCCCCCCAATTCTCCCTCTCGGCATACGTCAAAGAAAGCCAATATCCTGCTACCATGCTACCATTCCCAATGTATTCAGTGTGTCTTCCAGACTTTTTTCTCCGAGGGGGAGAGGGGAGGGGGAATAGATATTTTCGGGAGGGGGGGGGGCGGACACCGTTTAAGAGTATATGTTTTCTATATAAATTCCATTATGTTCGTGGGGGGGGGGGGGGGGTGGCGGTAGAGATGCCTGGAAGAAACACTGACTGTATTTCTAATGAAAATTAAGCTGCTTTTAGTCGTTTACATTTTTTAAAAGTACTAATTCAATTAGTCTAATTGTATGCCTCGTCACATTTCATGAACCTTCGCCCCAACCACAAGTGACACATTGTCAAAATTTCTGCCCTCCCCCAACCTGTCCGTTAATTTTATGTAGATATATAACCTCATTAACCAACGACCTTCATTGGATCAATCTACTTTACATTACAGTATAGTTTTAATGACACCGTTTTCTATAGACACGTCATCGTCCCTGTCACCCCTAGTATATCAAAACAATCAGTAATTGTAACAGTCTCACTATCAACCCGATTACAATTTTCTTTCACTCATTTTACGACAGAAATAGTAAAATACTTTATAATGTAAACGTAAAAATTAAAATCTTACGTTTTGTTGATTAACTTAACATTTTAATCGCTGTTGCATGTTTCAAATTCTAATTTGCCACACTAGGACTGCTATGCTTGTAACTGTGACAAAGGGGGATCACTCTCTCCAACCTGTGATAAAACATTGGGTACTTGCTCATGCAGAAGGAATATTACTGGCGACAAATGCAACCAAACTCTTGAAGGTGAGATATTTCTCTTACCTAATGTGTAATGTGTTGTTGTTTTTCAAATTGTCATTGCCATAAATTCTTAATCATTGCAAAGCAGATCGTTGTTTTGATTGGGAATGAGTCAAGTAACAATTAAGTCATTAAGTAATGAATAAGTTAGCACTATTAGCAGGATGAAATTAGTTAATAAATTTATTAAAGTCTTGAACATGACGTCAGTTAAACAGACGATCAGTGTTTAAATGTAGGCTTATACTAATTGTCTGAGAATATTTAATGTTAAACCTTGCTATTTTACTGTACATTTTCCTTGGCCTTGGGGTGACTTCTTTCCGTAACTTGTATACAGTAGTTTAATATTAAAGGACATCTTGTGCAAGTTATGGTTTGATGCAGGACATTATAGGACATCTTGTACAATATATAGCTTGAACAGGACATTAGAGGACATATTATATATAAAAGCGATAGTTTACTACAGGACATTAATTATAGGATCTTATACAAAGTATAACTTGATGCAAGACAAATAGGAAATCGTGTACCAAGGTATACTTTAACAGGACATTATAGGACGTATATATATACACTATAGTTTACTACAGGACATTATAGGACATCTTATACAAGTTATAAATTTATGCAGGACATTACATGACATCTTGTACAAGATACAACTTGATGTAGGACATTACAGGACATGTTGTTCAAGTTATAGTTTTCTGCAGGACATTTTTATAAATAAATCTCACACAGTAACTTTAAGCATTTTATTTTTAATTTCTCAGGCTATAGCATTCCTGCTGTGGACACCTTGACCTTTCAACCAACAGCTGGAGCGTGCAAGCTGACCAGCGACGTGCTCACCAAAACAGCACCTTTTGATGGCACCGTGTTCTCTGTGTGTGACCTTAGCACCAAAGATGTCACTTTGGATTTTGAGGGGGTCAAGGGTGGAATGATACAGAGAGCTATACAGTGGTGAGATGTTACCTTGGCACTATATGACCTTGATAATATGTCATATTGACATTTGAGGGGGTCAAGGGTGGAATGATACAGAGAGCTATACAGTGGTGAGATGTTACCTTGGCACTATATGACCTTGATAATATGTCATATTGACATTTGAGGGGGTCAAGGGTGGAATGATACAGAGAGCTATACAGTGGTGAGATGTTATCTTGACATTATATGACCTTGATAATGTGTTACCTTGGCACTATGTGACCTTGATAATGTGTCATAATGGCACTATATGAGCTTGATAATGTGTCAACTTGGCACTCTATGACCTTGATAATGTGTCCCCTTGGCACTATTTGACCTTGATAATGTGTATCACTTTGCACTCTCTGACCTTGATAATGTGTCATCTTGGCACTATATGACCTTGAAACCATGTCTCCTTGGCACTAAATGACCTTGAAACTGTGTATCCTTGGCACCATATGAGCTTGATAGTGTGTCACCTTGACACTATATGACCTTGGTAATGTGTCCACTTGGCACTATATGACCTTGATAATGTGTAAACTAGGCATTACAGAAATTGTTAAACTTATCAAGATATTTGTTTCATTACATCAATCATACAACATACAACATTACCCATCATACATCTTTCCAACTCACGCCTGAATATTTAATTTTCTCAATTCTGAAAAGCTCATCAGTTTTCACAAATGTAAATTTTCATTTTATTTTTTCCCCGTTCAGGCCCTACTATGTAGCAGTGAGACATTCTGTAAACGTCACAACTGTAACTGGGACTGTCAAAGTCCAGGTGGTAGGGAACACAGCAGAAAACCTGACCGCCCTCAACTCTTTACTAGGTCAGACTTATGCACCTGTATGTCCAACTGCTGCTAATGAAACCAGTCAAATCCATGTGCAGTTTTCCGCAGGCTAGTAACTTGTTGAGTTTTATAACAATACATTTTTAAATTCTGGAAGAAAAAATATAAATTTATTCTTCATTAAGATATTTTAACCAATAAAAAATCTTTTTTTATCTTCTTTGAGTTTGTGTCTGATAAACCAACATACATTAATTTTTTTTTACAAAACACTGTCAATGTTTAAGGTACTGTTTCTTTCGGGCATCTCTTCTGAGGGGGGGGGGGCTCTGCACTCCAAACAATGAAATAGAATTTATTTAGAAAATATACTTTTACCAGTGTCTGCCTTGGAAAATTTAGTCCACCCCTCCCCACCTTTAAAGAAAAAAGTCTGAAAGAAACACTGGTTTAAGCTGGAGGGGATACTGAGTTTATAAATTATTTTCTAGCTATACAGTAAGCTCCCAATTCAACATAATTATTGATTAATGGCTGTTGGTCACATATTTGAAACAGCTGCTGCTGTATGAAATGGTAATAAAATAAATCCAAATTTCTTTAAAGCTGCTCATAAAATTTATGTCCTGATACAGATACATGAAAGAACTAAATTAGTTTTATTCTGATTAGTGATTTGTTATTTAATTTTTACCGACCTCCCACTAGTTAGCAAGCTGTTACCTCTAACTATTACGAAAGTGAAAGTTTTTGAAATCATCCCTCACCCCTACCCTAGGAGCAAATCTAAAGCCACCTCTTTTCCCAGCTAGACAAAATAGAAAGAAAATAAAGAAACTAGGCCTATATATAATTTATTTAGAAATATATATTTTTACCTCTCTCCCACCCCCACCCCCAAGAAGCTTTTGGATCCTCTCTGGAAAAAAATGTCCTGAGATCCTCATACCTTCTCAGTGGCGTAGCGAGGTTGGGTGTCACCCGGTGCGGCACTTAATGGTGTCACCCCCCCCCCCCACAGGCTTAGCGACCCTTCCCGGGGACAAACTTTCAATTTTCGATTTGCACCCCCCCCCCCTCAAACTTTCGATTTGCACCCCCTCCTTAAACTTTTGATTTGCATCCCCCTCTCCTCAAATTTTTCTCTATATATTTTGCTATTTTTTGCCTTGGTGTCACTCCCCTAAATGGTGTCACCCGGTGCGATCCGCACCCCCGCCCCCCCCCTCGCTACGCCTCTGTACCTTCTAACTTTCATGTTTAACATAACCTCTCTTCATGTTGCAGGAATATCAACAAGTGCTGTCTCATTCCAAGAGATGATAACTCTAGATGCTAGATGTAAATACTCTCTGACCCTTGACCTGCACCAGAATGTGACCTCAGATCAGTCTTCCAACACATTTTCAGGGCTTACTCAAGCAAACTTTGGTATGTTTTGTTATTTTTAGAAAGAAAAGAAATCAATAAATTTAAAGCTTTTTTAAAAAGTCAATCTTTTAAAGTAACATTATTGCAAAATTTGTATTTACACGTTTGACTTTGAAAAATTTAAAAACTTTTAAAGTCAAGGACAATAACTCTATGTATCAGGTTCTGCAACCACCAAATTTGAGAACCAAAGTAAAGTTTTTCTTTTTAGTTAACTTTCAAAAGTTGTTGTATACATTACTCTTATGTTTGTTGTCATTCATTTATCTGGAAGTAAATTTAATTATAATGCTGTGATAATACAGAAAAATGTAATAGAATTTTAAAATATACCAATTAGGCCTAATTGATTTATTGGCTCCATAAGCTTATTTTTTTAAAACTCAACTTACAATATTTTTTATTCCAATGCTTATTTTACAACTGTGCATACTAAGCTGGTAAATTACATAAAATAATAACTTTTATCCACAGGAGCTGTTATAACAATTGACTCCGTAGTTTTCTTACCTGCTTTGTCCAGTGCTGATAATTCCACTCAATATCTAGTTTACAAAAATGCAGGTAAGTCGGCTATACAAAAGCAGTTACAGTTTTGACTTTTGTTAAACAGTTTTTGTTTCACTTATTTCCCACATACCTCAGAAATACAGTTATGTTTTTAGTTTTCCTGCATCAATATCTTCATTATTATATGACTTCAGTGATACAGTTTTTCATTTCACTGAATCAATATATCCATCACTCTCGAGCTTTGAGCGTACTGAGATTTTATATGGGCAACAGAAGGTCACTAACATTTAATCAATAATCAAATCACTAGTTTATTGCTGGGGAGCTCAGAAGTAATAAAAAATGTGATTTGCTAGTTTGTCTTTACATATACTAAATAAAAATACATGCAAAAAATATTGTAGAAAATGTAGAAGATAATAGTTACCAGCACTTTTTATACATTTTGAAATATTTTTTTAAGATTGAATAATTAGATCAAACCTTATAAGGCATAAGTCATGTAATGTTAAACATGTAATTAAAAAAAATATCTACTCTATTTTAAAGCTTTAGATAACGTGCTGAAAAATTTGACATATTTATAAAAATTTATAATCTTTTTTTTAAATCTTTTTTTTTAAATTTCAATTTTAAAAAAAATAAAAATGCTTAAAGTCCCATTGATTGAAAGGATGAAATTGATTTTTCAGATAACCAAACAATGATACAGGAAACTTTCATCAGTTGCTTGCAACAGATGTCCTCCCTTGTGACTCAGCAGTCTGCCCTTGCTAACTCCCCTTGTAAGGAGCTCTTGTATTCAGTAGGAGCAGAGTTGTATGATGGCTCAGTTGGTAAGTCTGTATATATCTCTTGTTTGATCTTTATTGAAATCTGTTAATCACACTTGTATTATGTTAAGTAAAAAAAAGGTTACAGTAATCTCCCCTACTAAGCCAGGTAAAGAAAGTTACTGGGAAGATGTGCTGAGCATGTCTTCGTCTCTGTGTGAAGATGTGCTGAGAATGACCTCCTCTCTGACATGACCACTCTGTTGAAGTGTTTCTTCTCTTGTTTTGTTCTAGCGTGTGAGTGCAATCCAGTCAGCAGTCTAAGCTCAACGTGTCAAGGACTTGGTGGTCAGTGCCTGTGTAAGCCAGGTGTTTCAGGACGCACCTGCGGCATCTGCACACCCGGCTACTTTAACTTCACCGCTGATGGGTGCATGCGTAAGTTTCTTTTAACATCTCCCATCAAAATTGTTTTCTTAAATGCTTTTAATTTTCAGGTTTAGGTTTATGAAAAACCAGCAAACAAAAGTTAAGATTTTAAAAAAAAATTATGTTTTGTGATCTGCTGTGGTGCACAAATACTTGACTCTGGTATTTTAAATATGACATGGTTACCATTCTTTTAAAAGAAATAAACTTTTGGATCTTGGATCAACTTCTTCAAGCTTGTAAATCAATATGGTACGTTGACATGAATAACTCATAGAAGGCAGGGCAGCCTGATGAAAATTTTATTGTAATCAGATTTATCAAGTTTTTCTTATATTATTAAGCTAAAAGGAAGTGGCTTAATGACACTACATTACTGAATTTTCAAAGCAGAAGAAAAATTTTAAATTTTAATTGATTTAAATACAGTCATTTTAAAAATTATATTTTTTGTTTCTTTAAAAATAAAAGAATTTATTTTTCAACAAATTTTATAGCGATAAAGTAAGTTTAATTTTTTGTTTTAAACACAGGCTGCCCTGACTTGCCTTGTGAGATAGAAGTTATAACTACTACCCCGCCCACTAGCATAACTACCATCACTACCACACCATACAGCACAACAACAGGAATCACCAACACAACAGGAGTCCTCAACACAACAGGAGTCTACAACACAACAGGAGTCACCAACACAACAGGAGTCACCAACACAACAGGAATCACCAACACAACGGAAGTCAGCAACACAACAGTTGTCATGACAACAGGCACACCAGGCAACACAACAGACACCAGTTCCACATCCAGTGGTCTCTCTGCTGGAGTCATAGCTGCAATAGTCGTCTGCTGCCTGGTGCTTGTCTGCCTCGTCATCTTAGTCGTCTGCCTCTTATGTCAAAGGAGGAGAAGAAAGCAACGCAAAACTTTGACTCGCGGTATGTCAATGGCTACTAGACTTGGACTGGGTGACCCTAATAGCCCGCTGTACAGCAATAACATCTACGATCATCATGACACCTGGTTACAGCCCCAGTCTGAGCAGATGACCTCTTTTAGTATACCAGAGAACGATAAAGATCGGGTGTCAACTGACACCTACGCCTTACCCGACCATTTTTCCAGCACCCCCACAGCACGTCCTAAATTCTACATCACTTCGGACACCAGCAGTGTTGAAACCGCCCCAACAAACAGGGTTGAAGAGCTGAGGAGTAATGTCTACCCGCCCAGAACACAGCCCAAAGATAAACAAATCACCTCTTCAAAAAACCCAGAAACTCTGAATCTTAAGAAAAATCTTAGAAACTCAGAAACCCAACATCAGCCAGTGCCAAAATTATTTTCTACTTTCAAACCTCCCACTGAGGAAACTCAAAAGGCCATCCCCAATAAAGTCAACAAGCCGAAAAAACCAGAACGTAAAAGGCTGCTTAAATCCAAACCAAGTTTCATGGAGAAAATTATCCCCCCTCCCTTATTATATGGGGGAGATAATCCCGCTTTTATTCCAGACCCTGATTATGACAGTGTGAGTGATGGTTCAGTATTCATTCCTAAGCCAGACTATTCCATATTTGGGAGCTATGACAACCCTATCTTTATACCAGAGCCAGACTATCCCTTGTATGCTGGGTATGACTCATTTGATGAAATTAATGGGTCTCTGGTGTAATGTTGTTAGACAATCATTATCACCAGCACTGCTCGTCTCCCCTGCTGGGGTATGGGCCACCAACCAAAGATCTCCAGTCCTCTGTCCTGCTGGGGTATGGGCCACCAACCAAAGATCTCCAGTCCTCTGTCCTGCTGGGGTATGGGCCACCAACCAAAGATCTCCAGTCCTCTGTCCTGCTGGGATATGGGCCACCAACCAAAGATCTCCAGAGTCCTCTGTCCCGCTGGGATATGGGCCACCAACCAAAGATCTCCAGAGTCCTCTGTCCTGCTGGGGTATGGGCCACCAACCAAAGATCTCCCTGTCCTGTGCCAGCTTCTCAACTTGACACCATGTGCAGCTCATCTTTGTAGTTACAGCCTCAAGGTCCAGTCACCAGGTGTTTTATGTCTATCTCTTTCGCACCATGACAGTATGTAAAGGAATTCCTTCATCCACATTTATGTAAAGGATTTCATAAATTTACAAAATCTTATATGTTAAAGTCTTCCAAGTCTTTTACTGTGTACAGATCCTTTTGAAATGCATTGCTGTTATTGACCTATTATAGAGAAATTGGATTTAAGCTAGCCAGCGTCAAACTTTAGTATTTTTATCCAGCTAAATATTTTCTTAATTTCAAAAGTAAGTATATTCATGGCTTCATAAACATACAAACTTAACTATTTTCTTTGTTGAATGCTATACATTTAGAGCATTGTTTAAAATACATTCATTACTCTTTTATTGTACTTCTTTTTTCAAAATATATAGGTCTATAATTGTTTTTACAAAATAATTGTCACAAACAGAAAGTATTTAATCCTGTTAAATGAATTTAAACACCTGCAATATTGAACTATAGATAATCTATCTGATAGAAATATAGAAATACTTAAATAAATTATATGAATATATCTATAGACTGCCTTAATATTACATTGGAATATAAATACATAAAAAAGCTCTTGTAATATTCCTTACCATTTGACACACACCATTTTATTGTATTGATCTCTAAAATTATTGTATATATAAAATGTATTTAAAAACTTACTTCTCAGCCTGCAACTGCCATGTCAAGGGGTCAGAAAATGGAGCATGTGACCACACAACAGGACAGTGTCTGTGCAGGCCAAATATCTTGACCCTGACTGACAAAGCAGCAACGACAGCCAACGCAACCCTGGTCATTGATGGCACCTGCAGCTCTTGTCTGCCGAACTATTATGGCATCAACAGTGGCAATGGCTGCACTTCCTGTCAGTGTAACTCCCAGGGTTCCCTGCACTTGCAGTGTGATGAGACAGGACAATGTGTGTGCAAGGACTCAGTGATGGGGACAAAATGTGACCAATGTAAACCTGGGTTTTACGGCTTTGGTCCAAATGGCTGTTTGTAAGTACATTCTTCAATGATTTTGGCCCTTGCTGATTAGCTAGTTCTTTTCAAAAACACTTGAACTCTAAATATTTAAATACTAAAGAGGAAGGCCAAAACCAACACACTGTGATCAGTGAATTCATTTACATAAATATTTGTTATATGGGCATCATTAGTTAGTAAAAAAATATATTCTTTTTTAAGTTTTACATTTTTTTTCTTAATTACTGTTTGTGCATGTATTTTAATCATTTTGGTTAACTCAACAACATATATATATATATATATATATATATATATATATATATATATATATATATATATATATATATATATATATATATATATATATATATATATATATATATATATATATATATATATATATATATATATATATATATATATATATATATATATATATATATATATATATCAGTCATTAAGCCTATTTGATCAATTCATATACCAGTGTAATGACTTAAGCACCAAACTTGTTTACAGGCCCTGCAACTGTTCAGGCTCAGGTTCAACTGGCACCAACTGCAGCCAGACAACAGGAACTTGTACCTGCAAGTCTAATGTTGTTGGGGACAAATGTGACACCTGTAAACTGGGATACTTCAACCTGGCTGCGTACAACCCAAGCGGCTGTCAGCCATGTTTTTGTTATGATCACAGTTCAAACTGTACATCAGCCCCTGGGTATCAAGCCAAATTGTAAGATACTTAAATTTCTGTGTACATTTTTATATATTTATGTAATATTTTTCATTATAAATTTTAATACAATTTTAATTTTATCATAATTAAATTAGTTTATTGCTGTTTCAAAACAAAGCTCTATTCTGTTTTGTTGAATATGACGTTTTTTAAAAATATTTGTTAGCTTACACAACTTTTGAGTCTGACAAAATTGTTTTATTAAAATATCCTATCTGTTGTTTGAATAGGCTGCAGGTGACCAACCCATCTTCACCATCAGACCTGTCTTCTCTCCTGGGGGATCTCCATTCCTCCTATGGCCTGACAGTAATGTTAAGTCTTAAAGCAACACCAAATCTTGATCTAACCAATGAAATTTTGCTTAACCTTGTTGGTGATGGTGAGTTATTTTGTACTGCTGATGCTGTTTACTACATATACTTCTGCCTGTATATTTCTTAACAACTCAATTTTCAGTTTATTCAATTTATTCAATAACGGTAACAATAGGAGGCCTTACTTCACATTGGCCGTTTTAAAATAAACAAACAAAACAACAACGTAATAACACCATTTATAAAAGCTATTGTGTACTAAAGGCATAGCAGTAACATAGCACTAAAAAATATGGAATAAAGAAATAAAATTACATAGTTATAATAATAAATGAGATAAAATAAGAATATAATAGATGAATGAGAAGTGTTGCAATGAATCAACAAACATATTGTTCCCATTTTATAAAAGACTTTCAGCCTGAATTTCCAAAACATGTTTTTAGCTACAGAAATTCCAAGGATCTTACTACCTACCATCCCTCACAACCACATTTAAATGACTTCTGTTTTACTAGTGCATAGATACACAATGTAATGGATAAACAATATTAGATAAATTATGTGTTATTTCAGGGAAAACAATTTTCCATGTGGCCGGCAATAATTCCAAAACAAATGCCAATGGTGTTCTTGTTTACACAACTCGACTCTTTGAGCAGAACTGGATCTTTGATAGTCAACAACAATCTCTCATACCCACTGCCCGTGACATTTTAGGTGATTTTTTTTTTCTTTGTTTACATTTAGGCTAACTTGTTTCACTGTTTATTATAGTCTACAAGTTAAAAAAAAAAGTCACTTTTTTGTCTTACAAGTAAACTTGATAACCATTTTATCATTTATAAATGTTTATGAAATTTAACATTTATTTTATTTTAAAAACAACTCAGGAATTTTGGCCAATTTGACCAAAATATCAGTCATCTCCCTTGTGAGGGGACAAACCATCAGTGTGTCCAGTATATCAATAGAGTCGGCAATGAAAAAATCTACCGGAGATTCACCAGACGTTCACACTGTGGAGCAGTGTACATGTTCACTTTCAACAAATACTGGAGGTAAATAAAATCTAATTTTTCACCACTGCAGTAAAATCTATATAATAGCAATCCAGTATTTTAATTGTAACTGTATTACTTAGTAAGTTTTTTTAATGTCTAAAATCATCCATAAATTATTTGAGTGTACGATTTGTTTTAGCACAAACCAAAATATTTCCTATAGGTGAACACAGTTTATTGTTATCAACAGAGACATGTCCCTAGTTTTATAAAGTTTCACAAATAAAAGTATGAGGCCGTCAGAAATAAACTTGAGAACCAATTTCCTCTCCAGGTTTATCCTGTGAGAGACATTTCCCTAGATTTATAAAGTTACAAAAATAAAATTATGGGACCATTAGAAATTAATTTGAAAACCAATTTACTTTCCAGGTTTATCCTGTGAGAGACATTTCCTTAGTTTTATAAAGTTACAAAAATAAAATTATGGGGCCATCAGAAATCAATTTGAAAACCAATTTACTTTCCAGGTTTATTCTGTGAGAGACATTTCCCTAGTTTTATAAAGTTACAAAAATAAAATTATGGGGCCATCAGAAATAAACTTGAGAACCAATTTACTTTCCAGGTTTATCCTGTGAGAGATGTGCCACTGGCTACATGAGGTCCAACTCCACTCAACTCTCAAGTTATGGCTCATGTATGGCCTGTGACTGCAACCAACGAGGGACCACAACTCCACCAGAGTGTAACGAGCTGACTGGTGTTTGCCTCAACTGTAGGAATGGGACAACTGGGGATCATTGCCAGTTATGTGCTGCTCATGTTCTTGGGCCAGATTGTAATCAATGTGAAATTACATACTGGGGTTTGCAGGCTGATGGCTGTAGGGGTGAGAATATCTAAATAGTTTTATTTTATTGTTATTCTTGTTTACAAAACTCAACTATTTGAGCAGAACTGGATCTTTGATAGTCAACAACAATCTCTCATACCCACTGCCCGTGACATTTTAGGTGATTTTTTTCTTTGTTTACAATTTAGGAAAACTTGTTTCACTGTTTATTAGTGTGTAGTCTTATCATCATTCTGATCTTACTTCAACTTATAATCCAGTTTCTTGAAAACAATACAGGAAATTTATTAAATACAATTTTATTTGATGATCACTTTGTATACTATTGTATTTTATCAATAAATGGAATGAGCCTTGAACAACAATTGTAAATATTTTACATGACTTTCTCTTCTTACTTCAAATTTGAACTTATTTGATTAAGCTAAACAATTTCCATTAAATTAGAGAAAAAAAAATTCTGGTAATTGTACATCAAACTAATTATGCAGAATAACATATTAAGCCCATTTTATTCCTTTTTTAATTTTAGCTTGCAATTGTAGTGACCTCGGGTCAACTTCAAAAGAGTGTAACCAGACCTCTGGGCAGTGCACATGTAATCCAAATGTGACTGGGCGAACATGCAACCAGTGTCAAGAAAACTTCCAAGGTCTTTCAGCAAACGGATGTTTTGGTCAGTATGTTTTAAACAGACCATAATTCTCTTGTTTATGCTTAGATTAATTTCAAACTCATAGTCAAATAAATCAATCAATCAATCCGACATTATTAAAACAGAATTATAAAAAAAAATTTTTTAAAATTAAAGTAAGCTTATTTCAAATTTAAATTAAAGATTTACTGTTAGCTTGTTTTAATTTGTTAATTATTAATTTTTCAGAAACATTATAACTATATAATAAGACAGTAGGTACTGTTATAAATGGATGATAAATACATAGATTACAGAATTGTTACATTTTTGTACAACTAATTTTTACTTTTATAAAATTAGTAACCTACTTTATAATTTTCTTTCATTAGCTTTATTACAAACATAAATGTTTGATGAGTTTTTTATTGTAACACTCCAGAATGTGACAGCTGCTACTCCTTGGTTCTGGAAGCCGTGAAAAAAGTTCGGGAACTCAAGGCAGAGATTGACTCAAATATTACTTTGTTGGAGAGTAAAGACAGCAGTAAAAACCTTGGGACATTTACTAACAGATATTTGGCAGCAGACAAGCAGTCGAAACAACTGGCTGAATTTGTAAGTAGAGCATGGCCTGGTTATGGCTTTTTGATTTAATAATATAAAAGTTGATGTTAAAGGGAGTTTAATTTGGCTCCATGCTTGGCTAAATTCTGCTAGATATTGTTTTAGTTTTATATCTTGAATAAATAATTGCTACAGTTTGCATTTTTTTTCTAAAATTTAGAAAGAGTTTGTCCTTATTTATATTCTCACAATTTAATTATATAAAATGTGTATTCATTTTTTTTGTGTGCATATAACCTTTGGTAGTATAATCTTAACCTGTCTTTAAAACATAGCGCACCAAATAATGAGGTTAAGTTTTTAATTATGTTAAGTTTAATATTTTTATGCTTTAGCAATTACAAAAAAATATTTCTTATTTTCTAAAATATTTGCTAGCTGACGTCAGTACAAGTTTCCGAACAAGTAATAATTTCAAATATCAGCTCCCTAAACCAATCAGTGTTGTCCCTTGAAAGGAGGATCAGTACAATACAGTTCAACTCTACTGTGGAGATAGAAAAAACATTGACATACATTTATAGTCTGATCCCAACTGTGAGGTCATACAGAGAAATTTTAGACACCAATGTCTTAGCTGTCTATAACAAAATGGGTGAGTATGCTGTTTATAGTCTGATTACAAGTATAATTTTTATAATTGCGTCATAAGATGACCTAATGAAAAGACATGTAAGAAATTCATCATCAAACATTATCTAGTTAGGGTTAGCAAGAATATTGATATAGTAGGGTTAGGAGTATGGTTAGAGATATAGAACTGGATTTGGAGATGGACGTGTATTTATTCTCATAGGGTGAATTGATATAGTACTTAATTACTATGATGGGGGGGGGGGGAGATTTTCACCTAATCGGCAAATGAAATTAAAAACCAAATTAATCTGGAAAAAAAAATTAATCTTGTTATCAATTTCCTTGAAATATTGTCACAAAAAGGTTTAGTGATTATATATATATATATATATTAATATTAAACTTTTCCAAAGTCATATACTATAACAATCATGGTCTGGACTTTTTAAAACTTCCAGCCCAACTAACTGAAAAACAAGTTACGCTAAATAACTTGGCCAACAGTTTAAAATCTGCTGAAACTTATCTGATGACAGTAGCCAACTCCTCTGCTACAGACCAAAGAATCCTCAATGAACTAGCTGCACTGAATAACACAGTATCACAGGCTAATCTGTTGGTTCAAACAGCTCAAAAGGTAAGGCTCATTTTGTTACATTTGAAAATTGTATCTATTTTTACTTTCTCGTATATACGAAGTATAGAGAAAGTATTGTAATCGTGCACAAAAATAACATGAAATTTTGACAGTTTTCACCGTCTTACTCCTCAGTCCTTCATCACATCCGGAGTATAGAGGACTTATTTTAATCGGGCAAAAATTATCAATCCAGATTTATCAAAATTAAGAGGTTTTATGCGTAATCCAGTCTGAAAAACTGGACTTTGCAATTCTGTCCGTTGTCTGTGTGTGTGTCTGTCCGTGTGTAAACACGATAACTTGAGTACCGTTACAGCTAGGTTGATGAAATTTTATATATAAGTATTTTATCAAAATCGTAGATCCGTATCAACTTTTGAGCGATTTCCGATAACCAGAAGTGGTATTTTTTCTACTTTGAATTTTTCAAAAGCCTATAACTTGAGTACTATTTCAGATAGATAAATGAAATTTCACATGTAAGTCAAAGATCTAATTCTCTACCTTCTGTTAAATTTTGAGTAATTTCCGTTGACCGGAAGTAGTAATTTACGCTACTTCCGATTTCTCAAAAAACTAATGTAAATTTTTAAAGTACTAATAATATTGCGCACTATTATGCACTTTTTATTTGGCGTACACTTGGTGTGCACTTCTTTTGTCTACGAGATTTTATTCTATTTTTAAAACTTTAAGTATTTAAAATTGATTAAAAATCATGTCTATAGCCCGAGTTCCCATCCCCTGTTGTTTTATATAAGAATATTCGAGAAAGTTTAGGGGAGATCACTCCCGGTTTTATTTATTTTTAATATAAACACAAAAATTCAACTAATGCAAATAAAAACAAATGTGTCATTTACTGCATACAGTTTAACTGTGTTCAGTTTAAAAAAAAGATATGTTCAAAGAAGTTGATATATTTTTCTTAATGACTTTTTCTTGAGAACATCACATTTTTTATTTTATTCTTTACTGCAAAAATACACTATTTTAGTGTTAATAGTTTATCATCTCATAAAATGTGATACATTATATTTTTAAAAAAACCTTTGCAACTAAACTGCTTGTATATCATTTGCAAAATAAAAACCCTCTAATAATGTTTATTTATTTTCTGTTTTTATTTTTATTCTTTTATGTATCCCCCTAATACAAAACATTCCTTGTCATCATTTTGTCAGAATGCTGATGATGCCAAATTGGTCCATCAGAACAATACAGCCATGGCCCTAGAAATAGAAACTAGACTAATTTACTTAGCATCAGCAGCCACAAAACTTTTGAACAGTGCTGCAGACATCATGGGAAGAAATAATGAAATTAAAAATACAGTGATAAAGCTAGGAGATAAGTTGAGGGAACTTGCTAACTACAAAGTGGACTACATTAGCATAGCAAGTAGGATATCAAATCTTAGAGCTACAATTTCATCATCTCAGTCCGCGGTAAGTTCAGAATTAATTTTTCTTGTCTATTTGCCATACACATTTTAATTGCAATGCTATTTTAACAATTAGTGTTAGGTTGTTAGTTATTTATTAGCAGTAAAACATTGCACATGACACCTGTTCACTAGAAAACATTTTAGGTATGAATGAAACCATAGGCTGAAAACTTTAAGCTTCAGTGTAAAATTAAATAGCCATATATAATGTGTCTGTAGAGGAGTTTGAGAAAAGTCAGTCTAGCATTAAAACTGAATATTAAAGAAAACAAACCTACATATTTTTTCTATTTTTAACAATATCTATGACATCAAGAGAACATCTGCTTATATTGTCTCACATTTGCTATATGCTTTATAGGCAATGGAAAGGAATTTGAATAAAAAAGATTCTTATGTAATGTAGTCTGGAATTACATATATATTTTTCCTTATTATTAGATCACATTCCAAGCTACTACTTTTGCCGCCACTAACATGAAAGCTTTAGCCACTGTCCCACTGGTGGAGGACCTAGTCAACCAGACACGCACTCTAGGAAACAAGTCCGCAGAATGGAGAACTAGGTCAAGGGCAGCTGAGCAGAAGGCAACTCTAATCCAGAATCAAGTTACTAGTCTTTTCAAAGATGCTAATGAGACTTTAATCATAGTTAAAGACTTTGATGTCAAGATAGCAGGTGGGTTGATGGAATTAGCCAACATTTTAAGGAAAGTTTTAAAATCCTGTTTTGTAAGGATTTTAAATAGGAGCTGTCAAAACATGCTGGCATGAAAGCTTTAGTGAGTTTAACAACAATTAGAATTATTAGAAAGTAGAGGATGAGTATGTCATGGCTGCCCTATAGCATTGACCATGAAACAAACAAACTCTTTTTTACTTTCTCGTATAAATACGAAGTATAGAGAAAGTCTTGTAATCGTGCAGAAAAAAAATCGAGATTTTTACAAATCTCGAAATTTTACACCTCACTGATACGGAAAAACATAATTTTGCAATCTTGTCCGTATGTCTGTGTGTCTGCCTGTCTGTGTGTGTGTGTGTGTGTCTGTCTGTGTGTAAATACGATTACCTGAGTACCATTACAGCTAGGTTGATGAAATTTCATATATAAGTATTTTATCAAAATCGTAGAGCCGTATCAACTTTTGAGCGATAGATAAATGAAATTTCACATGTAAGTAAAAGATCTAATTCTCTACCTTCTGTCAAATTTTGAGTAATTTCCGTTGACCGGAAGTACTAATTTACGCTATTTCCTATTTCTCAAAAAAACGCATGTAAATTTATAAAGTACTACTAATATTGCACACTATTATGCACATTTTGTTTTGGCGTTCGCTTGGTGCGCAATTCTTTTTTCTATGAGATTCTATTCTATTTTTAAAAGTTTAAGTAATTAAAAATCATGTCTATATTCCAAGTTATATAAGAATATTCGAGAAAAATTTGGGGAAAAAACTCCCGGTTTATTAATATGACGTTTGGAAAGATAAATCTAAATTTGTTAATTTATATTTGTTTTAGACAAAGTACTTTAATAGATTTAAGAAGATTATTTTTCTTAGTAAAAAGGAATTTTGGGTGATGATTTAAAAGACAAGAAATATTAAACTTAGACGTAAAAATGTTTTACTTATCCAACAAGGTGCCAAGCAGAAGCTGAACTCATCCCAAGAAAAAGTGTTGCCTGCGTTGGCTCTGAGCCAGGATCTGCTGGCCAAATGTGAGAACCTTAGCCAGACAATCCAGCAGCTGCAGCAGACGGCATCGGCTGCCAAGGAAACATCCAGCCAGGCCCTGCTGATCATCCAGAACAAGCTGAAGGTAAGTTGCACTTCCTGCACCCACTACTACATCCTTTTTTAGCCAGGGTCTTGTGGGGCAGTGATGGGTATTTAGTCATGAGTGGTAGAAAAATGTAATAAAAATCTTCCCATGTTATTTTTTTATTTGTGCATGTTGCAGTGGGTGGAAATAAATGGGGGGGGGGGTCAGTAGGATTAAAGCCGGCCGTACTTAGACCAAGGGAGTGGACATTATAAAATGTAATAATCATGTCTATCATGCAGCCTTATTTAACCAATGTTGCTAGGTTAACAGGCTGTTTCAACTGAGTTTGAGTTTCTATCATTACTAGTCATTTCCTGTTCAATTTTTAGAAAAGTTGCATTGTTATTCCGTATAACTTCTAACTTGGTAATTTAATCCTCATTTCTTCAATCAGGAGTTGCAGAAGATATCCACTGAATCCGAACTTCTGAAATCACATTTAGCCAGCCTGCAGGACTCCAGTGTGGAGAAATACAAAATTTTGAATGACACCAAGACAAACATTTTAGCTCCAGCCCAACAGAATTGCCAATCTGGCAACTCAACATTGGCCAGCTTTCAGACACAGCTTCAGACAACCCAGCAAGACACCACAGCTGCTGAAATCAAGATAGCAAATGTCACCCAGCGGGCTAATGAGATGTTTAAGCGGCTGAAGAATTTGAATAAAATTGACACGGCTACAGTCGTTATGATCCTCGACAAAGCTGTAAAAGCTCAGTCGGACCTCAAATTTGATGAACTGAGTCTGGCTATTTCTGACCTGCAGACCAAACAATTCATTCAGCAAAATGAAATCAGCCGATTAAAATTGTTGAAAGATGATTTGAAGACAAAAATTGAAAGTCTAAAGGTGGTTCAGCGTCAAATAAGTACAGTTTAGCAAGGACCTGCCACAAATAAAAATGCCGTTTATGTTAGTTTCTTATCTTAAACTGAAAATGACAGAAAATATATTTATCATGTTTATTTTGATTTGTTGCATTGTCTTTGAGCAAACTTACAGATATTTGAAATGATAATAATTGGCTAGTTTTTTCCAATGTAGTGCATAGTTTTATTTGTTACTTTATTTTAAAAATAAGCAGCCAAGATTGGAAGGGATTCACTTACTTATATAAACACTCACTTCTTAAGCCTGTCATTGCACATATTATAGCTAAAAATAATACACGTTATCAGTGCATGGTTTATAAATAGCTGGCAGTCCTCAAGTTTAGAATCCCACTGTTGAAAACAACATATGTTTCAAGATTGTCACATTAGTTCAAAGCCAATCAAGAATGTTTTAGTGAAAGTATTGAACCAACACAACAGGTGTAAAGGTTAAACAAGATTTTCAAAGGCAGTTAATTTATTTGTATTGGCTTAAATTTAAACCTTAAATTTAAAACAGCTAAAGTTATAGTTTTTAAGTCAACTTTCTTATCATATCTTGCTGAAATAAATGTGATAATGAATTTGTAAAATAAAGATGTGATGCTTAACTTTGCAATTTTGTAATACATAAAAATAAAAAACAGAAGCAAAAATTTGACTGTAGACGGTTAAAGAATGGAAAAGTTTAAAAAATATTGTAGATATTGTTGTACTGTGGATTCTTTACAATTATTTATTAATTTATTCCAGCATTTTCGGTACACAATTTTCACTTTATAAATTATTTATTCCATTTTAAAATATTTTTTGATAAAAATGTTACACTGATCTCAAATAAAATATTTAATTTTTGTAAATATTTGTATTTTTTTTGTTGGTATGTCTAACATTTTAAAAATTTGAAAAAAGATCATTATCCGATATAAATTTCATGGTAATGTATTGCTAAATTTGTTTAAGTCTTTTTCATGTTGAAAATGTTTAATTTTGTGTCTTAAGACTAAAAACTCAAACAGCTGTGCTGTAAAAAAGTTTTGTACATCAAATTTGTTGAACAAAAAAAATAAAACCCTGAAATTTTAAATTAAACTTTTAAAGATGAATTTTTGTTTTTAATTATTACTTCTATTTTTTTTTTAATGGATTAGATACAAAAACTTTTCAAATGGGATGTTGTGTTTTTGTAGCTGAACATGTTTTATTTGCCAGCTAGTCTGAGTAAACCTCAAGCCAATAATAACCTTAAACATGAAACTTGCATAGACTTAAGGGGTGCAGGGCATTAGTTTTTGTGGACTATATGCAGGTAAAATGATAAAGTTAATAAGTGGAACTCACTGATGAGTCCTACAAATAAAAAAAATAACCACAAAAATTTTAGGTTTCTGATTTATTATAAAACTCAACCAAATCCCACACACACACATCAAAAGTATTGCTAACATTAACCAAATCTGCAAACCAAAATAAAAAGCTGACATAAATTCGGCAGAAAATAAAAATTCTATCACAAAATCAAATTAAAATCACAGATGTACCATAAAATAGTGGATACATGTTTCACTAACTTAAGCAGCAGATTCTTAAAAATGCACCACAGTAATGTGGGTAATATTATGTTCATTACACTTGTACTAACAGACAGGAAAATGTCTTCTATATCAAACACATGTAAAGTCATAACATTACTGTAAATAATAAAATGACCTGATGCTGTAAATTACATATCTGAGGCAAAAACAATTTTTTAAGAACTTGTGCTCTGCTTATAGAGTAAAAAAACATAAGTAGGGATCTACTATGCAACATATGTAACTCAACCCATTGAGCAATTTAGCAACAAACTCTTGTTGATACTAAAAGTGATTTATTTTTCAAATTTGACATAAAATCTGCCCAAAATGCAATGCTGAGAATGTTCAATTGAACTTATATCTTAATACCAATCAAGTAAACATTTTAGGATGATACATTGTGAACAATTTTTAGAGCTTCACTCTATCACAAATCTGTGCATAACTTAAAAACCCAAATCTATATCCTAGCAATCTTATTGTGGGGTTACTTTAATTCTGAAACTCTAAGAAATAAATGAATGATAGTAAAAAGTAAAAGAAACAATCCTCTGTAGACCTAGCTATCCATTGGGCAGATGAAGTAGAGTTAATGTTTCTTGACCTTGGCATATGAAAGGAAGGTGCAGACAGCACTTTGCCAAGCCAACTTTACTTTCCCTAAAATGAGTTAGGTACCCATTAGAGCTGGGGGGACTCAAAGACATTCTACTGACTTGGACCTGGATTTGAAACTTTGAGGTTAGCTACCACTTAGGCCCACTAAATGAATGATAAGGTTCCCCAAAACCTTACAATACAGAGTGATAAATATATTATAATCTCATGAACACTTATGGTAAATGTGTTGCAAGCTGAAAATGCTTTCTTGTGAAAGTAAAAGAAATTTTACATTGATCAAATGAGTACCCATGTGGCATCACTCAGGGCTTCATATGTCTCTGTAATGAAAGACAGCAACCAAGATTTGTGTACACTGTGATTGATATACATGAATTCTCTCCCCTATTAGTAAATAATAATTATAACTAAACAAATACAAAGTCAGTCTATGACTACTAAAATAAACATCAAATGTAAAACACAACTGCAAATAAATGAGAGAGAGAAATATTCTCTTGAGCAAAGATGTGGGTCAACAACAAAAATTCTAGTTTTTTAAATTATAACAAAACAAAATTGATGTAAGAACATGTTTAAAGCTAGAGTTAAATATCATTAGTATAAAATAACTGTGCGGCTAAACATGTGATTTGCTAGTATCTACAGAAACTATGCATAATAAATAAAACAACACACGCAATAGAACAAACTACTTTATACAACCTCTTAATTTTAAACTGTAATTAGATTAAAAGTCAGTTGTTACATTGAATGACAAAAGACAAAGCTTTTAAGTATTTGCATATTATTTGCTTGAACAAAATCTAAACTAAGCCATATCAATATACAGATGAAGTTTTTATTACACATTTAGTCACATGAATATAAACTAAATTGACTTCAATCATACACTGAGGAGTATAAAAACACTGACTTTAAGATTTAATCAGACATTTATATGAGAACGTATACATAGAACAACCAGCTAATGATACATTTAACATCAAAGTATTCTATATGACTAGAAGTTTAAGTTTAAAATTATCACATTGACAAAATTCATTTTTAGAAATATACTTCAGTTCATATTGTATTGCATTAAAAACATATCACCATGTTTAATTGCTAAATATCACTGAATGGATAAATAAATTACAACAAACTGTATGATTGTCTGAATAAAATTTACTCAGTTAAAAACCAGTCAATTATAATAAAATTAACAATCTGGATAAAAGAGTTCAACAGACAAAACTAAGGGAGATTATGCTGGTTTGCCAGTGAATTTTTCCCAAATGGATGATAGCTGTCTTATGTATTAGCTGCAGGCTCACACAACCAATACACAATACAAAAAAATCCTTTTTAAAAAAGGACATTTAATTCATTCGTAGGATAAATAGAATTTGCACTTGATAACCATGCAACATACTTGTGCATTTTTAAATTATAAAATTACTCTAAAATTATTAATACAATTGTTTTGTAAAATTATTTTAGTCTTCAAAGTAACAAAATTTTTGTTCCAAAACAAAAACCTTATCTAATTTGTGACAAACAAAGCTTATAGATTAGATGCTCTGTTTTTTTGGCTCACATATCTTGGGAATGTTAGTTCAACATACATATAATACATATAACTATTTAAAAATTGATGGGAAATAAATTTATCACATGATTTTAAAAGTTTAGAAAAACTAACAAATGAAAGAACAAAACAGTGAGCCAATGGAAGATAAGAGTCATAATTATGACTGCTGTTTTAAGGTGAATGAATTGTTTGGATGTGTATCCACAATGCATTACTATACAATATACTCATGCCAGCTGTTAAAGTGGAAACCATGTCTCTAAGACCTGTTAGAAAAAGAGTGTACCCAAATCCCTTATTTAGAGAGCATTTAACAGCAGTGTATCCACAGACCTTGTTTAGATGTAAATGTACCAACAAAACCCTGTTCTCTAAGTGGAGTATATCCACAACCATGTTATCTAGATAGAAATAATTCCACAGCATGTAGTTCATATATTAGCTGAAGTGATCCAAAAGTTCAAAATGACCAAGTCAACAGTTCCCAGTCAAAAGCTCAAAATGACCAAGTCTACTCAAGTGACCATACTCTGATACCACAAGAGCCCAAAGTATTGTCCTACAGTACTCTGTACAAAATAAACTGTCATGGATTCCATTATACAAGTAAATAATTTACACTGTGATTATTGTCCAATAATTGTAACCTTCAAATTTAAAAAATGTAAAACTATTAACAAAAATATTGCTGCACACCAACATGTTTTTAAAAAAAGTATAGCATTATGAAATTATTCAGGTGGAACATAAAAGCCAACAGTAAATGGCTTGCTCATTTTCACCATCTTGACCAGCTGCTGAACCAGAACGTCTGAGAAATCAGGAGTTGCAGCGCCATCTGTTAGAGAGTTGGTGACCAGTGGGTAGTTGTACTCAGCTGGTTCTGATCTCTGCGTGGAATACACTGGAACATGATGGCTGTGGTCCATACTGAGTGACCTCTGGGACAAAAACTGACCATCAACGTTGTTTTGTCTGTCCAGTCTGTTGGATCCATCACCAGACTGGGCATTGTCCAGTGTAAGACTGGCATTGTCAGGTTCCACAGAGCATCTGAGTTCTCTAGATTCAGTAATCAAAGAGCTGTATCTCTTTACTTTTGGAGACCTTGTGGGCAGAGGTATCCTGGACTCTCGTTGTCCAGGTGATGTGGACAGCCTTTGCTTGTGTGACCCAGGGGACGAGGATAGCCGTACCATGATGTGTGAGTTAGCCCCACCGGTAGCTCCGAGACTTGCAGGGTCGTCAGGCTCATCCGGTGTAGGCTGATACTCTGGCTTGGTGTCCTCACTGGTCGACAGAGTACAGGACCCAGTGGCTGTGGAGTCGTCAAGTGATGACTGACTGCCAATGTTGACAGGTAATGTTACAGTTTCTATTGCACTTCCCGCCTCATTTTGTGAACTCCTTGCATCATTTTGTGAACTCCTTGCATCATTTTGTGAACTCATTGCATCATTTTGTGAACTCCTTGCATCATTTTGTGAACTTTTTGCATCATTTTGTGAACTCCTTGCATCATTTTGTGAACTCATTGCATCATTTTGTGAACTCCTTGCATCATTTTGTGAACTTCTTAGCTCTTGTTTCAAACTTCTTGTGTCATTTTGTGAACTATTTTTTTTACCGCTGACAAATTTCAACAAATTTTTGGATGCCTGACCGCTTGAAGTCTGTGATTTTTTGGTTTGTTTTTCTTCCGACCCAGCTTTAGTGACCTTCTGGCATCGTGGTAGTGTGGCAGCCCGCTTGATGCTACCAGGGCTTTTAGTCTGTGTCTTACCAGGGGCAGACGACAGGGGCCGCTGTTTAGCTTGAACTTTAGACTTTGCCTGGGTTACCTCCCCCAGACAGAAGTAAGCAGAGTGCTCCAGGATCCTGGCCTGGACAGGCTTGGGTAGCTCAGCCCATTCTTTACGTCTCATGACCTGATGTATGTGGGTCCTGAAGAAAGTTTCACATTGCTTTATCATAGCCTGCAGCAGGCCTACCACATCGCTGTCTTTGTTGTCAGAATCTGAGTGGAACTGTTCCAAGTTCAGCAGGCTCTGAAAAATGTGGCAGGCTGCGTCAACGGGGAGGGAGTCGATCACAGAGCTGAAAATTTCTTCTAGAACACTGGCCTTCCACGACGCCACTTTTGCCCACTGTAAAAATTCTTGGGTCGCAATGACCTGGACAAAATGAGTGGAGGTGAACTCAATGGCGGTGTCCATTAACTGGGTCAGCAGGTACAGGACGCTCTCCGTCCACTTGATCCTAGGCAGGCTGGTGCTCAGCTTGTTACACTCCATGATAATGTCCAGCACATTCTTCACTGTCATCTGCTCCTTGATGCCTTCAAGACTCAGCTGGTGAATTTTATCCGGCATCAGCGCGAACGATTTCGTCGGCCAGATTTTGTTGAAATGTTTCCCGATCCATTTAATGACCCAGGGTTGTAGATCTTCTAAATTAAAACTGTAGCATAAATTCAAAGCTTCGGCGGCTTTATTCATACACAGGTGGCAAGGCTTATGGAAAAAATGGCAGAGATCTTTTCTGAGGTAAAAAGCTAGAACACTTTTCAAACTGTCTATGTTGTACATGTCAGCCACCACGTACAGGTCCATGAGGTCACACGGGGTGACCAGCTCGGTGACGCCACCATACAGGAACAGCAGCAGCTGTTCCACGGCTTCAGCTGTCACGCCCTCCAGGTTGATGACCTCCATGCTGCTCTCACACCACTGGCCGCCCAGCATGGCGTCGAAGTACTCACTGCGAGCTGACAGGATGGCCTTGTGGACCAGGAACCTGATGCCATCCACGGCCAGGCAGCAGTCACAGTTGAGTTCCTGCAGGTAGAGCTGGAGGAGGTCCTCCCCTAGAGGGCTGCATGTTTCATAGGGCAAGGTCTCTGGGGTTGTCTCACATGCATTGTCTGATACACTGGGTGCAGTTTCTGGTGCCTTGTTGGTCACACTGGGCATATTTTCTGGTGCCATATCTGCCACACTGGGCATATTTTCTGGTGCCATATCTGCCACACTGGGCATATTTTCTGGTGCCATATCTGCCACAATGGGCACATTTCCTAATGCCATATCTGCCACACTGGGCATATTTTCTGATGCCATGTTTTTCACACTGGGCTTATTTTCTAGAGCTAAATCTGCCCCACTGGGCACATTTCCTAATCCCATATCTGCCACACAGGGCATATTTTCTGAAACCCTGTCTACCATGCTGGGCAAATTTTCAGATCCCATGTTCATCACAATGGGCATTTTTTCTGAAATCTCACTGTCAACCTCACATTCTTTCACTGAAGAAAACATTTCAGAACCAACATTACCAGCTCCATCTTCTATCACAGTGCCAAAATTGTCTGAAGATTTTCCATTCACAATTTCAGTCTTCACCATCTGATTCAGAAAACATTCAGAAACTTCAACAGACTGTCCTTCTAATGCTCTGGTCAAGTGTCCACAAGAATGATCAAGAGACAACTCCCCATTTTGTGACATGAAGTTTAAATTTTCCTCTCCAGTGACAACTTTACTCACTACTTGAGCTATTTCCTCAGCCACTTTATCTACTACTTGCATATCTTTTTGTTCTGCAACTTTTGTTCCTACCTTACCTTGTTCTGCTACTTGTTCAACTTTTTGTACACCATCATTACATGTGTCCACTTCCATAACTGATGAAACATTTATCTGGCTACAGTTTGAGATTTGTGCACTGCCACATAACTGTGAGCCAGTGTTTAATACAGGCTGTTCTGGGCTGACCTGGATGGGTTGCGGATCTATGACACAACAGTTGGGTGTAGCTGTAACGTTAGGATGTGTGGCCATGACCTGACTTCCTTGTGTGGCCGTAACCTCAGTAGCATGGGTGGCCATGACCTGACTTTCTTGTTTGGCCATGGCCTGACTATCTTGTGTAAGAATGGCCCCCTTAGCATGTGTGGCTGTGACCTCATTAGCTTGTGCCGCTATGACCTCCTTAGCTTGTGTGGCCATGACCTCATTAGCATCTGTGACCATGACCTCATTAGCATCTGTGACCATGACCTCATTAGTATGTGTGGCCATGACCTCATTAGCTTGTGTGGCCATGACCTCAATAGCTTGTTTAACCATAACCTCCCCCTCTGGCCTAGCTATGACCTGTCCATCCTGTACATCTGTGACTGGGACATTTCTGTTTACTTTAGCTCCAGCCTGGACCTGACCAGGAAAATGATGAAGATGCTCCTGAAGAACCCAGATGGAATCATTCACTGTGTACATTTGTCTGAAACACACACAAAAAATTATTTACATTAAAAAAAAGATTTATATTCACACTGTTTAGTAATAGAATAAAGAAATACTGCACCCTCAACTAATGCATGTGAGGGTGTACTAGATGAAATCTGTCATGCTCCACCTCTAAAATGATGGTTTAACTTATCAAATCTATAACAACCCACACCTCTAACTAGGTGGTTTATCTAATTTAATCTGTCACACACAATACCTAAAAAGGTGGTTTATCTAATTTAATCTGTCACACATAATACCTAAAAAGGTGGTTTATCTAATTTAATCTGTCACACATAATACCTAACAAGGTGGTTTATATAATTTAATCTGTCACACATAATACCTAACAAGGTGGTTTATCTAATTTAATCTGTCACACACAATACCTAACAACAAGGTGGTTTATATTATCGAATCTGTCAAACCCAACCCTAAATGATGGTTTATCTTATCGAATATATTATGCCCCGCCCCTAACAAGGTGGTTTACCTAATCTGTCACAACCACACCCCTAAAAGGTGTTTATCTCATTTAATCTGTCACACCCAATCCTTAACAAGGTGGTCACACACAATACCTAACAAGGTGGTTTATCTTATCAAATCTGTCAAACCCAACCCTATCAAGGTGATAGTTTACCTGACAAAGTCGGACATCTGCTTTTTATTGAGGCCAAACACCTGTATACAACTCACTTCTCTGCCATCCTCTTTTACTGACTGGGTGACCCATGAATCCTTCCAAAGGTGTTTGGATCTGATATGCAAAAAATCACAAATTATTGGCTATTACTTCAACTGTCAAACATTTTGTATCATCAATAAAAGTCAAATTTGCTCAACACCTAAATCAATAGAGAAGACAGTGCTAGAGGAATTAAAAATACAATATTGAGGTTTTTTTTCTGTCTTTATAAATTAAGATCAGAGCTAGAGAGAAGATTTTGGTTTGGGGTAGGTCTAGCATATCTATAATATTGTATTAAGAAGTATCAGAAACATAAACCTACCTGGTTTTTAGTATACACTTATGTGTATATATAACATCAGTGCCATTGGTTATCTCCAGGTCTGAATGCATATCATCAGACAGCAGTCTTTATTTTGATATGGGAAAAATAAAAGTTGATGAAATAAGTAAAGAATTTTCATCTGATTTCCATAAAAAATATTCTGTCACCAGTCTTCTTCTTTCTTCTTCTTCGTTCTTAATTATTAGTGTTGAAGGGGATCCAGATTTATCTGCCAGTGGGTTTGAACTCGAGACTGTTCGAATTTATCAACCATGAGCTTTTTGCCGACTCGACCACGCCTCCAACACAATTAAGCGTTACGTGTCAACTGGTTATGCGCCATTGAGGCCATTGACTCCGATTTCAGCCTGCTTTTCTTTTTGGATTTGCTTCCATAGCCTTTGTCCAACCAAGAACAAACTACAAGGCAGCAGTTGTTTAATTTTGGAGTTGTCTCTCCTAGAAGAGTGGCTGTCCCCAGCTAACGAGCCTCATCTGCCCGAGGGTTCGAACTCGAGACTTTTCGGTTTAGCGACCATGAGCTTTACCGACTCGACCACGCCGACCCCCTGTCACCAGTAAAATTAGGAGTTTTTACCACATTGTGTGGTACACTATTGTGTACAAACAAACCAAATTAACTGCCATAAGGAGAAAGTACAGAAGTGTCAATCTGTATAAATACTGACAAAGAATTTGATTCAAATATCTGAAAACTACTGTATTTGTTAAAAATTGCTAGGCATGCAAAGTGACAAACTTTGAAGAGAATTCTCTAACAAAAACTTTATGGAATTAAAAAAAAACTATGGTATAGGTCAAATTCCCTTCCAGAAAAAAAGGTACATGGGGCAAATGAAGTACAGTTCATTAATTTCAATTACTTCAGCATTAGTGTTGAGCTATCTTTGCTTTCACTGAACTGAGTCAGGTACCTTTGGTGCAGAGCATACTCAGAAATGTCCTAGAGACCCTTGTGATCAAGTAAGTAACTGAGTGATCTATCCTTGACATAAATGTCCGACCTTAACTGTACTAGAAAAGAAAAAGACAGGCACATACCTTTGTATGTCATCTTTCAAACTCTCAGCAACTTTAGTTTTCAATCTTGACAATTCTTGTTTACTTTTTTCATGAAACGCCTGGCTCATGTCAAAGACACTGGCTATTCTACTGTAACTATCCATTGACTTTGCCATTATTCTGTAACAAATAAAACAATGTTAAAACAATTTAACATGACTTATAGTTATAACATTTATTGTATTATTCCATTGTCGGACACCAGTGCAGTAGCGTAGCGAGGGGGGGGGGGGTGGGGGGGGACATATGTCCCCGGGCGCCGACCTTAGGGGGCGCCAAAATGGGTTGGAAAAATTGAAAGGTTGAGGGGGGTGCAAATCGAAAGTTTGAGGGGGGGGGGCAAATCGAAATCTCGAGGGGGGGTGCAAATCGAAAGTTTGAGGGTGGGGGTGCAAATCAAAATCTCGAGGGGGGGGGGGTGCAAATCGAAATCTTGAGGGGGGTGCAAATTGAAAAGTTTGTCCCCGGGCGCCAGGAAAGGTCGCTACGCCTCTGCACCAGTGTAAATAATATTCCATGGCTTACACTTACCATTATTAAAATTTGATTCCTGTTTTATGGTGAGGAAATGTGATGATTTAGCCCCAGTGAAAACAGTGATTGATAAGCTCAGGCCATCAAACTTTGCCATGATGGCTACTGTCCGAAACACAAGTAAATCTGTAAAACAAAACAGGAGTGACCAAAATAAACTTCTGATTTTTCAAATGACAAATAAACAGGCCTATGCCTATTTAATGTAATAGGGTCTCTTACTAAATTATTGATTGTAGCGTGTATTTCGAAAATTGAAAATTCGTTAGTTTCGGGAGGAAAAGATACCGATTGACGCGTAATTTTTTACTGAAACTACTTTTTATACTCTGTGTGTGTCTAGGAAAAGTTTATTTAGCCTATTTCGATTTTAAAATTTTTGTGTTTATAAAAAATTTGGATTAACCTGCCACCATTATTTTTCCTCTTACATTAAAAAAAAAAGTGTCTCCGATATTGGTAGTACACAACTTGATGACGTCATACGCGTCAAATTATATTTTCGGACTTTTCGTCATTTTACTATAAATTGTTAATGTAGTATTTTATTATGAGTTTGACTAATCAAAATTTTATTTACTATACACAACTAGGCCTATTAATAATTGAATAAATTATTAGGCATAGGCCTACTGAAAACTTGAATTACAACCACCATGTAGGCCTAGTAGTAGCAAAATATTTTTTTTTTCTATTATTAGGTTTTAACATTTGTGTAGGGCCCTACATGACCAACAATTTCATACCAATACCATCGTCTAAAATAGTGAAAATGTTATAATATAGTTTATATAGACCCTCTACAAAGGTGTTCAGCTGCTTCTTATAGTAAGGCCTATTGATTATCAATATTAACCTTGCTTGAACACATTATAGTAAGTTATAAAAATTCATCTGTTAAGCTAGTGATACTAATTAATGGAACCATTATCTCTCACCACTATGATTATTTATTCATTCTAAATATTCAATATGTAATTTGGTGTCTAATAAATATATATTTATTTATTAATGGACTGCTTACTTCCAATAATTGTTGTTGCACTGTGAATTGCGCAAGTCTAGAGAAAAAACTTCAGCATAAGCTTATTTTATCAGAACATGTATATGAAGGCTTACTCATTGGAGATTGTTGTTTTTTTCTAGACATGTATAGTATTCATGTGGTAAGTGCAAACATGGTGTTACTCACAGACCCACCAGTATAATTTCTTATACAAGACCTGGTTTCAAATTCAAACAAAAGATAAAAAGAATCAAAATGGTTTGCTTTCCAAAAATATTTATTTATTAGATTTAGATGCAATTATATAAATTTCAATTATCAATGAAAAGTACAAAAGTAATAATGGGTTTAAGTTTAAGGTGTGAGTACAACAAAGTGATTTATATAACAAGTTTTAGTTGATGCAAATAAAAAAATGATCAGGTTGAATGAAAGTCATCAGTCCAGGAAAGATACAAAAATCTGCAAAGAAAAAAAAAAGTTATTTGATTTGTTTACACTATACTGTGTATCAAATTAGAATACCATAAGTAAAATATAAAAAAAGAGATTAAAAAAAATAATACCATGTCATTACATACCAACCTTTATTTTTTAACCTACTCAATTAACTTGCTTTGCTGCGTAAATGTAATAGCCAATATAATTTTTATGTATTCTATAAAAAATCAATCACTACTAATCAAGTCAGCTATTAGTGACTCAGCAGGTAGGCAAAAGTCCTCAGCTTCATCCTCATCCAGTGCCCAGTAGCCTACAGTGTAGACAACAGACTTGTTCTTTTTAGCTAGTACTCTGTTAATAATCCTCACATAATAGCGATGCACTTTCTGATCATCTAGCTCCCACTTGTCAGTCAGCTGGACACCAACCAGGTCTTTACCACCCACAATTCTTGACAAAGAGGGTTTCAGCTTCTGTCAACACCACGAAATAGGGGATGGTTTACTGAGACATTCGATCCAGACAACACATCATAGATGGAATTTTCAGTATCTCTGCGTTCCATAGCTTCCAACTTTTTCTTCATTTGCTTCATTTGAGATTGAATGTCTGTGTCTATTTTGTGCTGTAACTGATTTGTGTCGATGACCCTGTCAAACTCCTCAATCAGTTTGAGATTCTCTGCCTGAACAATGTCATTCTTTACTGAGATCTTGACCCTTTCTCCTCTTAAAGCATCATCTATCTCCTTCAATACTCTGTCATTGTCAGCAAATCCATCTCCCATTTAACACTATCAATCTTGGTTCTCAATTCTCTTGCTGAAGATGTCCAGTTGTTCTTTGAAACCTAACCTGCAATTTAGCATATTTTATGTTTGAAATCATCAATAACTTACCCTTTCATGCTGTTTCTGCACCAGCCAATACCTGCTTTGACATCTGTTGTTTTTTTTTTCTTTTATGTAAAATACTTCCTCTTCCAACACTGGATCTGTGTCTGCTTTCTCTGCAATGATTTAGTATCTTTTCTTAGTTTACTTATTGTAGAAAAATATGAATTATAAAGGAAGTTCTGTGCAACTGTATTTTATAGCTGTAAGTTGATGAATCAAGTCATGACTTAGTATACTAAAATAAACAATTAGTGTTAGAAAAAAGTCTGTTACATTAGTAGTCTATTACAAATTACTTACTTAATCCTCATCACTCCCTGTGGAGTATAGGGCAGCAACAAATCCCTGCCATTCCACTCTGTCTTGGGCGAGCCACTTTAGTTCATGCCAGGTCTTGCCAGCAGCTTGCACTTCTTCTTCCATCTATCTCCTCCATGTTCCCAGTGGTCTTCCTCTCTTTCGTTTTCCAGTGCCATGTTGGGGAGTCATCTTTTGCTCATGCGAAGGACATGGCCCAGCCATCTCCATCTCCTCATTCGAACTTCTGAAAATACATTTGGAAAATTTAGATATAGATATCTAGGCATAAGGTTTATTTTAAAATAAATAGACTACGCCTACTAGGTTTATTTTACACAAAAAAAAAAAACCATTTGTTTTTAAAATTGTGAGTCTAGTAAAAAAAAAAAGTTACTATTGTTTAGAGTAGAGGTAAGTTAGAACTAGATTAGATCTAGATTTAATTAGGCTACTTAACACTAAATAGGTATAATTAAAAGTAGTCTATAATTAATAATTAGGTAAATAATTATGATCACTTAAAGTACTGTCACTTATCAGAAATGTCTAGATCTAAATGTGATTCCGATGGCTGAATGATTTCTCACTCAGATTTCAATCAAAGAGCTGCAAGACCACAGACTGAAAAAAAAAAGTAGATTAGAGATTCTAGAATCTAGAGTCTATATCTAGAAAATTAGATAGAATCTAGTTAATAGAGATCTAGATCTTTTAAAATAATCTAGATTAGGCTTATAGTATACTATACTATAGAATGTATCTATATATATAATTCTCCTCTTCGAGCCGTTAGAAAACAAGCTGCAAACGCTCTCCCTACCTCCCCACCCCTACATGGTTTTAGTGAGCTGTGTTCACTCTAAATGTTTACAAGCAGAGCCAACGATTTTAAACGTAGGGGGGGGGGGGAGGGGGGGGGGAGGGGGGGGAGGGAAGGAAGGGGGGGGGGGGTTATGGTCCTTAACGAGCTACTTATAGTGTTTTAAAGAAATATTTTCAGTGTCAGCGTTGGTACTGTCGAATTCACAAATTATGAATTATTGAAAATTAGAAACAACTAAATAGCGGCGTATGTTATGCCGCGGGCCGGCTCGTTGTATAGAATCTACATCTAGTCTAGCTTGACGATCATCTGGATCTAATCTATCTAGTAGGGAGGCTCACTAACTTAAAAGCGTCCTTGGTTGCTAACCAGAACATGGCGTAAGGATCGGACCATGACTTCCGGCGAGTTTTTCGACTTAGTTCCAGAGACCTTCTTAGAATTACTTTTAAAAATGTTTATCACGAGTAAAATGGCGGGTTTTCACGTTATAAAAACATGCTATAGGTGGCAAGGCTAAATATGCCAGAAAAGCATTTTCAGAAATTGCTTTGGGGAATGTAGGCTAAATTTAAAGTCGGTGTCATTCAAAATAATTTAACTTTTTAAATATAGATCTCCCTCTCACAAAATTGATTTCCAAAGTAAAGCATTATTAGTTTTATCATTCTATGAAAAAATAAATCAAATATCTTCAACACTTTTTTTTATAAGATGTGTCCAAAAAATGACAACCAAATTTTTTTATTTTTTTTGACCACGTGACCGCTATTTGAATGGATACGTTTACCTGGCATGGTTTTTTATTTTGCTCTTTTGTTCAATAAAAAATGTTATAAAATTAAAGAAATAAAAGAATTCAAACATCACTTCTGTCTTGTCTTTTTTAAAATTCTTTTCTGATGACATTCTCTTAAATTTTTTCCCTCTATAAATATATCCCGACGATAGACGGGCCAATTCTACTTTTAGGAACTCTCTTGTAAAAAAAAATTAGATCTATTTCACGGTCAATTAAAAAGTTAAACCCTTCAGCTTTTAAGCAGGTTGTCATGGATGGATCCCTCATACCATAGCTGTGAGTGACCAAAAAATTTAAAATTCAATAATTTAGTCTAAAACTTGCAACAACTCCCAAAATTAGTGCCTAGTGGATAAAGTATGGACGTTTTTTATTTAGTTGTCATGTTTAAGTTGAAAATTGAGTACATTTCAAATTTACTAAGAAAATCTACTATCTAGATCTAAGAATCTAGACTAGACTAGATTCTAGATCTATTTTACAAGATCTAGACTTGGATTTAGATTTCTAGATGATATAGATTATACTAATAAATTATAGAGTATCTAGATTTTATAGATTATAGATCTAGAATTGATCTGATCTACTAGAATCTAGATCTAGAATCTAGATTCTAGATATTCTAGGTCTAGTTTAGTTAGACTCTAGAATCTAGTCTAGATTCTAGATCTAGATCTAACTAAATCTGATCTACCTAATGACACTATTAAACCTAATTACTTTTTTTCGTAAAATAGTTTTTTTTAATAATGTTATTTTTAAAAAACTTAATAAATATACAATATTTTAAAAATCTTTTTAAAATAATGGCGGCTACAAAGCTATCGATTCAGACTTTGCAGGGACATTTAAACGACTTGTTGGTGGGAAATTAGCTGTTTTCAGACTTAATTTAAAAAAAATTTGCAAAACTCTGTCGAACAACCAAACTTTTAACAAGAACAAGAATCTAATTCAAATAGAAAAAAAATGCTGAAATTACCTCTATTTTTGACTCCAATAATCCGAAGAAAGAAAAACTAAATTAATAAATATCGTCCGCCAAAATATTTTCCAATATGTCAAGTAAACCCGAAGGGAAGAGAGCGTCAACAAAATGCCGGTTGGAACAAGCCGTTAGTCTATTTTTAGACTCACGCGCGGCGGTGACGGAAGCCTGGGACAAAAAGCGAAAGGGGAAGTCAGCGCCATTTCCAAAATGGTTGCCCTTAGAAATTACGAAGCCGCAATACACGCTAAAGTAGACTCTACTAGTTAACAGTTAAAGTAAGTAGTTATCTACCTTGTACTAGATCTACTATTTAATATTTATTGTATTTATTACTAACTAATTAATTAATTACACAGAACATTAAATAAATTTTAAATAGGCCTAGGCCTAGAAGTAGAATCTAGGCCTAATAATAACTTGGCCTAGCTAATAAGCTTAAAAAAAAGAAAGCAAAACTACAAACTTATTACAAACAGACCAACCCATTATTTTAAAAAAAAAAAAAAAAACATAAAGAAATGACTCATTCAATTCCGGTAATAAACTGATTCATTCATTCATGAGTTGTTCTTATCTCCACCCTCAACAACAGGTGAGGAAGGACTAAATATAAATTAAAAAAAAAACAGGTCGTGTATTTTAACAGATAGATCTAGATCTAGATATAATTCTAATAGATAGCTTTAAAATATATTAAGATACATTATTACATTAATTAAAAATAGGCCTAAGGATTTTGGAATTAACATTTATTATAACAAATTTGCGTTACTTAATTTTTTTTTTCGCATTTCGGATACTTTTTCGGATCTTTTTTTTTAACTATCCCAAAATTTATTTTTCGGCTTGTTTATATTTTAATTATTTAAAAAAAATTACCTTTGACCTAATGTTTATAAGGAAACATCTCTTTCTAACTTACTAAATTTTATTGAAACCAAATAGGGCTTACTCTCTTAAAGACATCTGTCAACGAACTTTACTAGATCTATAAGATAATTTCCCACGTACGGTTCTTTCAGTGAAACGTTCGTAATCAAAGCCCGAGCTTTATTAAAACTTAAAACTGGTAATCAATTTACAGCTCACCTCCCCCCCCCCCATATTATAGGCCTATCATATAAAATAAATTAACTAGCTTTAAAAAAAATCTAGATTTGACATAGCTGATCAGATGTGTCAAATGAAAGGCAGTGTTGCCGGACTAAAATTTCCAGGGGGGGGGGGGGGGGGGGGGCGGACAACTCTGGGCAGCGTAGGTGTATAGTGTATGTATAGTTATCCTTGAGAGATTGACACGGTCCTACCCAATATTAAGACCCTTGTTACAGTGTCGTACGTCTACGATTGAACTGTTTATAAGATAGGAAATATCTACTAGTTTTAAATAGGTATACGGGGTTATGCAATTTGATCACAACTGGACCGAGATATCCCAATATTCGGGAAGTTGGACTAGGTTTTACAAGGGCACATTAAACTGACTTAATGGCATCTTTTGGGGGTGGGAGCTCCCAAACAAATATATATATACTTACCAGTGTCGTTCCTCACGCCCGGAAAAAAAAGTCTGAAAGAAACACTGCTTGATGCCCCCCCCCCCCACCTGCATCTGCGCATGTCACGAAAATATTATGGTTTTGTTGTCCGTTGGATCCTAACCTTAGATTGGCAGCGAGTGAGCCCTGACAACAACAGGAGCTGGCCTATACTATATCAGCAGGTTCAACATCTGCGTGGGTAGGGACACTATTACTATACCCCGGTCCTCCAGACTAGTGGAGCAACTTATTTCATTTTTTTTTTTTCAAACGCGACAGAAACCTAATCATCAAGTTCAAACATTAAGCCGATTAAATAGGAGCAGTTCTCCGGAATGGAAAAATTACGGATGCCGCTGAAAATTGCAAAATAGAAGTCGATACCCCGACATACATATCCCAGAGACGTGATGAAATTAAAGAAATGGTGCTGAATTAGGCACCGCAATGGAAGAGAAGATATGGCCAAGGAAGACAAGAGTCGAAGTATTTTGAAGAATTGCGAAGGAAGTTGCCAGGGACCGGCAGAGTGGAAAGAACATTCTTCAGCATCCTTATGTGCCCTGGTTACCAAAAGAAAAGATCACGTGATTAATGAATGTGTTGGATAAATGTTAAAATTCACTCTAAAAAATTAGAATCTTCTTATCCAACAATTAGGCATGTAGCCAGGTGCGCAACATCACTCAACCAATGTAGGCCTATTAAGTATTTTTTACTAATTAGTTTGAATAGTGTTAGGAAATAGTTTCTTTCTCTATTATTCACAAGTAGGCCTATCAAAGACAATATTAGAGAGATTTTACAGTTGGAAGTATGAATGAAGGGATACGCGAGTCACCAATAAAACTGTTAGAGGTTGCTTAGTTTAGGCTAGGCTTCGGCTTAGGTTATTATTATAGGTCATATATTGATTAAAACACGTGAATATAGGTTGTATTTCATCTCCTCCATCGGCTATAAATCTAATTCTGAATATTGTTTTAATATTTCTAGGAGAACGATGAATTAATAAAAACAAGTAGGCTTTAGGCTCTAAGTCTATATACTATTAATATACTATTAATGACCAACATGTGCCTTTTAAATAGTTTTAATAATAATGCCCGCTTCTGGTTTCTTACATTTTCGACTGATAATTAAGCTTTTGAGGAGGTGTAGTAAATAATATGCATAACTTATAACATTATAGACCCACCGTATTAGCATATATTTAGGGCCTGAATGTTTTGAAAATCTGGCAATCAACAATTAACATAGGTATGTATACAGACATTTGAAGTTACGTCACTGAAATTTAACTCACACCTTGTTGATTTTAAAAAAAAGGTAGATCTAGATCCGTTTTATTTAATGATTCTTATTGTAATACCTTGAGCTAGGTAGATCTAGAATCTAGATCTATATCAATCAATAACCAGATCAATTAGCAAGATATAAACAAGAACATAGTTTGTAATTATAATATTTATTGTAAGCCGTCCAAAAAACCCCACTCCTCCCCCCCTTTCCGCCCACATTGAGTAACTTTAAATTTCTGGATCTCAAAATCGATTTTTTTCGGGGTAGCAGGCTACCCCTGAACTCCATATACTATATAATCTAAATCTAGATCTTGATAAAAAAAATCGACTGACCATGTCTTTAGACTTAGGACATTGGTTTTTCTTTAGATTTTTGAAATTTTTAGATCCATCCAGTCCAGAATTCTTCTGGTTATTTTAGAAATCTGGGACAGGGAGGGACATCAAGTACAAGTAGTTAAGTAATAAAATAGTGTCAAGTGAAGTAGCCTATACTATACTAGATCTACTTTTTTTTACATAATTACATAATACTTACATCTAGTCAAGTACATACTCACATCACATACTATTTTACTACCTACCTAGATCTACATGTAACATACATACTAAACAAATTAACATTTAACATAGTACACCACACTGAGTAGTATATACTTAGTAGTCTAAAGTCTAAATTCTAGTACAGGTAGACTATTCTTAACTATTCTAGTACTTAAGTATAAGTACTGTTGTAGGCCTATCTCCTATGGTCACACTATAGTGGGGCCTATGTCCCTATATTAGTATATAGTATATAGCCTGCTCCTTAGTCACCAATAAATATATATAATATATTATATATAGTTATAGGCCTGCCTATACTGTTGTATTGTTAGTGAAAGTGTTACAGTGAGTTATACTATAGATGATGGCATGGTGATAGATTTGCAGTTAGCTTGTTTGCAGATTTGATTGTTATTAACTAATACTAATAGGTCTATAGTCTATACTTAATAATACAAATATGATGCTACTATGACTAATACTGTAATACTAATAGTCTAGATTGCTAAACCCAATTGTAATAGTTTGATTATAGTTATAGACTCAATGCCTTTGACTCAGTTACTTAGTAGACTTAGACCCTAGATTTAAATTATGTTAATATGTAGGCCTTTAGAAAAACTTATTACCTGTTGAAAAGTAGATTATTTATTTAGTATTAGGCCATAGTCATAGAAATGAATTTATTATAATTAATTTAGGTAGGCTACTATTTTTAATAAGACCTTTAATTTTATTTTGAAATCTTTAATCTAGTTCTATAGCATATATTGTGGTTTTAATTTATATTTTAAAATCAAGCATATTTTATAAATACATTTTCTTTCTTAAGGGTCTTGCAAAAATCAAAATGGATAAACTACTGGAGTCAATTAACAATACTTTACTTCAAGATCATAGTGATATTGAAAAAGTGACAATGCTAATAGTGTTGTCAGAATTGTTGGATGCAAATCATGCTGATAACAGCTTCAGAGAAACATTAACTCAGTCTGGTATATGTGAAAATTTGCTGACTTTTCTCAAGGGACATCAGGAACTTGTAGATATTGAACAAAATAAGCCACCTTTTCTACTTATATGTCATCTTGCAATGAAATGCATAATGTGCTTTTATTCATCCAAAATAAATCCTTCCAGCTTGGATTCTGCTGTGGTAGAAGTTTTGCTAAACTATCTCAAGCCTTACACCAGTAATCATTTCTACCAGTTTACCCAAAAATACAACTCAAGTTTAAAGGAGCTAATTGAAAATGCCAGTAGTGATCTTGAAATTATTTTACATTGTAAAGCCAGTCAAAATATCTTTACAGAGGAATTGCCTTTTTATGAAGCTGAAATGGCAAACCTATCAGATTCTGTTTATATCTGTTCCTTAAGAGTTCCACCTAAAGGAGAAATTGTGTCTGATTACCTTGTAAATCAGAGTCTTGTATGGAAGTCAGCATCAAATTTTGAAGGCCTAAAAGAGGAAGACAAGAAGCAGCCCCAGGAAATGTGGAAGAAGGCCCGTATTACACATGTCCTCAAAGGTAATTTCTTCTGGATGTTGTGTGGTGAGGAATGCATCAAGACAGCAGACAACATTTATGGTTCCCTGAGCTCACCGAAACTAGAATTAATTAAAATTCAAGCAAAACCTGATGAAATTGTGGTTGCTGAGATTGAGTCAGGGTGCAAGTTTTTTCGTGGTTATGTCATTTCTGAGACATGTGGGCAATATACAGTTTTTAATGTCGACTCTGGAAAAGTGCATCAAACTCGTGATGTTTATTTTCTTCCACCTGATTTGTCACTTACAAATATCCCAGCTCTAGCTAATTTAGGATATTTGGAAGGTGAGTAACCTTTTGTTTTTTCTTAATTGTCTAGATGTATGTGGTTTGAAGTATTTATTGAGCATTGTTTTCATTTTAGTTAACTTAATCCTTATATTTAAATTGTTCTTTTCATGATTACTTCATTCTGTTTCAACATTCAGCTTGCAAAATACAAAAATATTATAATGCCTTTGAAGTGATTGAAATGTTACCATTTATTAAAAGCTTTTAATATCCTTATTGATGGTGTTTTGGGTTGACTAGAAAAAGAATATATTTTATAGCTGGTCTCTGATAATGGACTTAATAAATAACTAGTGTTGCTAGTTGTAAACTACTAATAAGTTTTTTTTAACTAATCTCAACACTAATAATAAACTCTAATATAGCATTACTACTCACAAAACACCCACATATATTCCAAATTCCATTCTCATAATCCAAACTAAAAATGTACTCAAATATTTTTCTGAAGACATGCTAACCTACTCTACTTTTCTGTATTGATCCACTTCCTTGTCTAAACAAAGTTTGTTGCTACATAGATTTTAAAAAGATAGTATTTTCTCAATCATTAACCCTTCCTCAGGTGTCATGCCTCTACCTCTAGATGCATCCATTGTAGCATTTGCAACCAGTGTTATTTCTTCTATTGTAAGGTACAGTTGTGAATTTGTAATCACTTTTAAATTGGTTTTTGAATATTATTGAGTTTTAACTAACATACTACCATTTGCCTGAAAAATCTATGTGCTTTTTTAAATTCTATTAATTATATATTTTAAAAAAGCGTGTTTTATTTTGAAATAATAGCACTGTTCTTTTATGTTTATGATATATAGTTTTAAAACAAACATTTTTGAAACAGTTTTTATTAAATTATAGGCTTGTTTTTTTTTAAAAAGCCACTTATATTAATAGTCATTACCATTAATCCTACTTTTCCATTAAAATTTCTTGTTACTTTAAGTATCTTGCCAGGTTTTTAAAGTTCATTATGTCTAAAATTGATTTTTTAAACTTTCAACAACAAAAAAATAGGTTTAATTTATCAGCAATTGATGAAGTTATGGATAAGGGAATTCTAGACATTCTGCCAGACTTGATGACAAGTCCTGATCTGGAAGTCGCTACTCAGTCAATGCGCCTGGGTGCCAACCTTTTACTTAAGAAAAAAACTTCCTTTTGTGAAAAGTGGCAACGCATCTTATTTGTCACATTAGGTAAGTTGTCCTATCATTTTATTTTTATTCCTAATCTCCTATAGCAAGAGCATGAATGATATAAAAATGAAACCTCATAATACCAAACCCAACCCAAGTGTAAGTCAAACAATCCCTCTATTCAGCATAATACCAACTGGAAAGTATACAAACTGTAAGTGAGCGAAAGTGAATATTAAGACTGATATTTTAATGAACTGATTTTGAAATAACGTTTCAGTGTTGTTTTCACTAAAGAAAATGTATTTTCTTCTTGGCTCCAGAAACTCTGAAAAAAGCATTAACTAATGCCGAGACAGCTGGCTACAATATTTTAATTAACTCGTGTCTGTTGCTGGTAATGAACAGGATCTTCATGTGTCCCGAAGCAAAGAATTTTTTTTACACTATGAAAGGTATTTATAACTTTTTCCAAGCAAATAGCTTAGCACCATTGGTTCAGTAAATGTTCATCAGTGTATATTTTATGAGAATCGTAGTGTGTTTGAGACTTTTTAATTATTTTTACAGGCCTTCAAATAGTTCTGCGCACCAGAGTAATCTTCCAGAAACATTTTTTGATCCACAAGAGTGTTGTCCAAGTTCTAGCCAACTTTGTTCATGCAACTGCTCAGTCTTTCCCACAGAGGCCTGCATCTTCACAACCACCCAGGTATGTTGCATAATAATTCAAAAGTATTGGACCTGACTTGTAAAAACCTGCAATTTATCAAAGAAATGTACTGTAATAGCATCCATTGTTGCCATGTCACCAGAAACAAGATCTGACTTACCATTTAGCATAGGCTATTTATAAACAGCACATTATCTGCTAAGATGTTTGTTTTTACTACTAAAAAGCTATTTTATTGTTGCATTAACAACAAAAGTATTTTTTAATATGGATAATTACTCCATATTTCTGTATTATGGGAGGGGGATTGGTTCACATTTCTGTTTGTACTGATTTTAGAATAAAATTCAATTTTAGGAAATATGAAGCTGGCCAGTTTGACAGAAAGGATTTTTATAACAAACAAAAGTATACATCTAACGGTGCATTTAAGGGCATTGGTTATGAGGTAATTTTATTGAGGTAGTTAGTTGTCTTCCTTTAATTTTTTGCCTATCCCATTCATATGGAAGTATATCCTGCAAAATCAAGGCTGTAAATCTGAAATAGCAAATAAAATGCTAGACTGATGTATATATTTTCTTTGTGTTTTATTTAACAGCTGGATAGTGATGAGGAATGCAGTGAGTCAAAGCATTCAGGTAACGTATTTAAAAATAATAAAAGTTTTCATGGTAAATTTAGTGCCAGATTGAGTGTTAAACTGTAGTTTAATTTATATTTTATTTATATCCTGCACTTTTCTTCAGATTCTTCTGATGATTTTTGGCAACGAAAACCAGAGAAAAAAAATGAAGATGAGAAAACCTACTATTTATTAGGTACACCTGAACTCCGTTTTAAAATAAAACGTTCTCTCAAATTCTCTTTTAAAAATGTGTTTGCTTTTGACCAGTAGACAAGGTGTTGTAGTTAATAGTTGTAGTTAATGTTCTAGATCTGTACTATATTACAATGTGCAAGCTTAAACTATAATATGTAAGATACATACTATAATCTAACCTTAAACATCTTAGAACTACTGTTGATTCAAACAAAATATTTTTTATCTTACCTTATTTCTCTTCCAGGTGAGAAGGTAAAATTTACCTGTGACTCAGAGCATGAAATACATCTGTCTTGGAACTTGAGTGCAGAAACCTTGGCTAAAACATTTTGTGGCATGTTAAACTCTGGTAAACCAGACAGCAGACACCTGTCTTGTATTTGTTTTGTTATAAGTTTAATTGATCAAATGTATTTTTTGTACTGTCTATATGTGCATGCAAATTAAAAATATTTTGTCCAGGCACACTTTGTAATGAATTAGCACTACTATATATTATATGGATAGCTGTAAATTTGGCTTTTCATTTCCAAAACCACAGTGCTAACCACAGGCAAGACATTTTTTATTTCCTTAGTTTTAGGAGTAATTTTTTTAAATTTTTGCAGGTTTGGGTGGTAAAGTCTATATAGGCATTGATGAAGAAAGTGTTGTGCATGGTGAAACACTCAACCAGAACATCAGAGATGAACTGAGGCTGGGCTTGGATCAAGTCATGACAAAAATCACCCCAGCTATCCTCCATAATCAGTTCGACATCAAGTTTATCCCAGTGCTAGCATCAGCTCAGAGTCCTGCCACTGATCTCTTTGTTGTTGGTAAACAGGATTTTACATTTTTTTTTGCATAATATAGCAGTATTTTATTTTTTATTTCATTATATGTTTTGTAGATGCTATGAAAATAGATGACTGCTTTGCTGCTTTTCACATTTAATAACCAGTAATTAAATTCTTATTTGTTATTCTTTGTCAAGTAATTAATTGAAGTAGGTACCTTTACTTTTTTTATTGTCCATTGTGCAAATGAAGTAGAGTTCTTTTGCTTCTTCTTCTGTTTGTGAAGGGATTTCATTGTTAGCACATTGCTTAGCCACCTTTATTTTCCTCAACTGTAGGAAATGGGATGTCTTATGACTCTTGGTTTAGTAATAATGGGCTCTACTTATTGACATAATTATCCCATTCATTTTTGTAACTCTTCACCACAATTTTTGTTAGTTGTAATGCATTAAAATATCTTTTTATGATTTTGACTGATGAGATTGAAACTTATCTTCCTAGTGATGGGCTGCAAGCCAGTTCCTAATGTCATCTACAGCTGCAATGCTGAAGAATGTTACTACAGGCTCGGAGCCACCACATCCATTTTTTGTCACCAGGTGGGCATTTACATCAGACTGATTGGTTTAAAGAAATGTGAACAGCTTAGTAAAACTATATAGACGAGATAATAAGATCAAGTCTATGTTTTTGACAGTCATACTGTTTCAGGTTTGAACGTCTCTAGGACATAAACTAGAGCTCATGTTTCTGTGTCCTCAGAATGCCATCTACACTATGTCCAGCTGCTTTATTTTCCTTTAGCTCAGGCTGGATAAGACTTGGACATTCTATAGCAAACCTGTATTCCACCAAATGATTACCATCACTTTTCTGTGTGTAGGTTAAACAAACAAGACTTTGAGATTCCATTTGCTAGCCTAACTATTGTCTTTCAGGATATCAGAGAGCTGTGTGTTATTGAAGAAGAGTCCCTGTATATGAATGAGATAAAGACACTACAGGAGGAGCTGGCTCATCTCAAAGCTGTTTTAAACACAGTTAGCCCCTGATTCATTTTAAAGTTTTATTTGTATCATCAATACCAGTGGATCATATCTTGTTTTTTTTTTTTTTTTTGTGATTTAGTTTTTTTTATATATATAACATAGTTAATATATTTTTAAATATGTTTGCTTTATTTGACCAGTGTTTCAAATGAAATTATGACAATCTATGAACAAATTATTATTATTTTTTTGCTGTATATTTCTTACTTTCGAGTAAAATTGTACATTTATGGTGCTAAAAGTTAATTCCTAAAAATCCTAGTTTTAAAGCTTGCTTTTAGCTCATGTGTTTAAAATATAACTGCCCAGCTTAAGTTTAATTACTTTTCATTATTACCTTTTTGTATTTAAAAACAATATTGTAGTTAACTGCCATTTAGTCTTGCACAACTTGAAGTTTGTAGAAAGTTGATGAATGTAAATGTATGTTTAACATGTGCCTATTTTATACAATTTTCAGTACATTTTTCTCTCTGATTTAAGTCTAATATTAGCATCATCACTTTGTTTCTTATCTCTTTTTTTTGTTTTGCCTGTTATTGTTAAAGTAAAAAACTTATAAAATGACAGTCTTGAAAAAACAGGGAAACAAAATTGAATCATTCCCTTAGCATACACATAATTGACTTTATTTGTTAACATAAAGTAATGTATACAATTTTACATTGAATAAATAAATGAGGTGTGTGATATACAAGAAAACAACAACAGTATGTGTCATAATTTAAAGCTGACTGAATAAAAAAAATAAAACAAAGAATTGACTTATTTTAAATCAGTGGATATTACAACTAAAATGCAATATCATTGTTTTATAATTGCAAACAAAATTTATTATGTTGCTAAACATTTTAAAACATGAATATTATTATGGATTAAGATCTATGTAAAGGAAATGCCATTAGGGACTAAAAAATGGAATGTGTGAATTGAGATTTTTAAAATTATTATGACATGTATAAACTATTTTATGAGCTTGAGAATCATATGAAAAAAAAAAAGGATTTGTGGATAATAAATGCAAGTGCTATATATTAGCACAGGTCCTTAAGTTACTTAACAACAATATTGCTGAATGAAATAAAATTACAATCACAGGATTCATCTAGTTAAGTAAATAGTAGTGTATAAGTTAGATATTAAAATATAAGTTAATTTCAACAAAATTAGCAAAGGCAGTAAAAATTATCTCAAATAAGAAGATATTAGTAAAATTAAATATATTCCTAGTTTATGTACAAATGTAGTTGCATTAATTGTGCTTAGTGTGAGAGGAAGTCCCAGGTCTCAATCCAGGTCAAGGATTTGATTTGTTGCGGTGTCAGGGCCTCACCACCATAGGTGAACACAGACATTTTGATGAAAGCTTGAAGAGTTGCTGCGACTAAAACAACTGAGCCATACTTGATCAGTGAGGTGAACATGGAGCTTCTGTGGAGAAAGTTTTTTTTTGTTAGATGAGTTGTTTAAATTAGTTGAGGTGATTAGAGAGCGGGGAGGGAAGTTTTTCTTGGTGTCATGAGGGGTGGTGTCAATCACAGCCACAAGATGCAAATATTGCAATGAAATACAGATATAATTATATTTTTTCAACCTTGCAATATACATGCAATCTGTTTCTATAAGGCTGGCTAAAAATTTTAACCCCTGCCACACACACCTCCACAGTATATGGCTGAAATTTCTTACTAAATCTTGTTCAGCTATTTTGATACAGCTGCTTTAAAACTCTACCATCAAAATACTAACCAATACTATGGTTTTATTTTCTTATATTATGTTATTAAAGCCTTAAACCTTTTTGAATTTGAAACAGATTCAACAAATCTGATAACAGTTGATAAAGACATAAATAAATAATATATAATAATAACTGATGTATTGCTGCAATGATGTTTTAAATTATAAAAATTAGCTTAGCTCTAAAAGGGATAAAGTTATGATACTTACTTTGGTAAAACAGAATACAGATGATCACCTAAGGCTGCTAGTGTGAGGACCTTGAAGACAACAGATGGTAAATAGTGATGCAGGAATAGTGTTCTATCTTCTAGGTAGTAGGGGAGGTAATGCAACAAGTATCCACCAACACAAAGCTCTCCAGTGAAGAGGAAGTGCTGCCACTGAGCTTTAAAAAAAAAAAAAAAAATTCTTTTCATATTCCAGTATACTTTGTTCAACACATTTTTTCTTTTTTCTTAAATGCTAGACGCTAATAAAAATGTAAAAAAAATGTTGATATAATCATGTGACTTAGCTTGTGTATAATTAGGCAAGTAAATAAAAAAAATTAAAACATTTTAAAAATCAAGCTTTCACTCCTAGAGGTAAAAAGGGCTGCATTGAAATAATAGTTTAGAATTGAAAAAATAAAATCAATATAATACTTTTTGGCAGAAACTATTGAACTTTATGGAATACCTTCTGATATATCAAAGAAGGCCCTTTGTCTGCGCAAGAGGTAAAATATCCAGACAGCGATGTATAACAACACAGAGATGGTTGCTGAATGCCACACAACAATATTTCCAATTAGGTGAATCTGAGACTGGAAAGTAAAAACATTTACTAATCAATTACAGTAGTATGTTCAAATATTGCACTTACAAACTGAATTATTCTTAAACTGTTTTTGTATTGTTTGTTAATTAACCATATCCTTTGGTATTATTTTACATGTATTTTCCCCTTAAAAATAAAGCATATTTTAGATAGATATGATGTCTAACACACAAAATGAAATCATGCAGCTGAAAAAAAAGGCCTATTACTCTGAATTTTTTATAACACCAGTATGTACACACTACAGCTGTATTAGTTTGATTGGCTAGAACAAAATATGAACTCATTATATATCACTATATCTTTTTATATCCAAACGATGTTTTAAGTTAATAACTATAAATCCTTTTTTTTAAACAAAGAACAAGCTGTAGTGTAAGTACCACATACATTCTCACTAGAACTTACCAAATATGCAATGGGTTTTTTCCTAATAATGTCTAAACAAACTATTTTAAAACAATTAATTATTACCAGCTTTGATTTAAATCTACATAGCATAAAGCTGCCTGCATGCAAGACTTACATTATCGCTAGAACTCATCCAATATGCAATGTTTCTTGACATAAAAGGCCATTCTTTGGGTCCTGAACTGTACTTGTGCTCCAACTTGGCATCTTGATTACTAAAAATCATTTTAATCTAAGAACAAAAAAATAATTTAGTCGAATGTCAGAAAACAAACCTTGATTTTCAATAAAACAGCCTAAAATGTGAAGAAGCACATATTTTAACTAATGTGTGTAAGAGTAAGAACTTTAAAACACCTGCAGTTCATACAACTTGGCCCAGAAGGACAGGTAAGTTGGTTTCAATGGAATCAACTCTGCTTGCTGCAGTTCTGCTGCCTGTTTTTCCTTCTCAGAACCTTTACAATAAAACAGTTAAGTTAAAGCTTTGTTCTGTGAAATGCTGTTCCTAAATGTTTTATGATGGGATAGACTATACACAAAACATCTGCACACAAAGATATTCCTCAACATTCCAAATGGTATAGTTTATTATAGTTTAACACTTATGTATGACAGTCTCAACAGTACACATACTTGTGGTGTAGCGATGTTCCTCAACATTCCAAATGGTATTGTTTATTATAGTTTAACTTTTATATATGAGAGTCTCAACAGTACACATACTTGTGGTGTAGCGATGTTCCTCAACATTCCAAATGGTATTGTTTATAATAGTTTAACACTTATGTATGACAGTCTCAACAGTACACATACTTGTGGTGTAGCGATGTTCCTCAACATTCCAAATGGTTGACTTCTGCTGGATCATTCTGTCAGCAGTGACCTCAAGCTGGTGGAAGCCCCACTCTGGTAACTGTTTGCCAGTTGTCTTAAACACAAGATCAACCAAAATTTTATTTTCATTTGCCACATTGGTGTGTAAGCAACAGAAAAATGTTCTAAAAACAACATATCAGTTACACAAGTTGAAATTTTAAAAATTTGGAATGCTTAAAGATAAAAACAAGCACAAGTCAGCATTTGAATCTTAGGCAGGTCAGGTATAAATATCATGAAAAATGTGTATTTAAAAAAATTCAGTTTAAGTAAGTGTTTGCTAAAATTGGGCTGCTGAGCTTGAACACAACCCTCAGCAAAGGCTACTGATGCACATACACACAACAAACATAACTACAGTCAATTTCACTTTCTGATCTTACCTTCATTGCAGTTGAGGTATTCACATGAATAAGACGAATCTGACTTTTAATGGTTTGCCAGATTTCATCATCACTTTCTCTGTTCACTATATCCTACGGGATAAGGTTATGGATACACTGTGATTAAGGATATTATTATTATGGCAGATTATGCATGAAAGATAGTACTACTGAAACATTTATTGCATGTTACCATCCGATACATAAGGCACTTTGGATAAAATAAAAAACAACTCAGGACTGACCAACTTCCATAAGTTCTGGGCTGGCATAGACACATTGTAGTTGACATAGCAAGAAACTTCCTGGTTGTTAGGGGTCACAGGAGCCGCAACATCATGGCTAAAACAGAATATTAAAAACTAATTTCTATTGAGAATATATGAGGAAAATTGTGTTTTATTGAAACAAACTTTTTAAATATTTATTTTGAGGAGTGACATAAAATAACAGACTATGTTATTGCACATAGCATGTGGTGTAGGTAAATGTACATACGTATTCAAAGCTCTGCTAGTGATGCCATGTACAAGTTGTATGATGTCTCCATGCTTGACTGGTTTTGGTGGGTCTTCCACCATCAGGTCTTGTCTGAAAATGGTCATGTTGACACTATATATATGTTTGCTCTGGTCAGTTTGGTTCTGGAACTGACAACTGTTGTAAAAACTATTACCATGACTTGATGTATAAGCCAGATATAAAGGTATGGTTTACCTGTTAGAGTGGTTGATATAAAGCCAAAAGTAAAGGTATGATTTACATGTTTGAGTGGTTGATGTATGAGCCAAAAGTAAAGGTATGAATTACCTATTAGAGTGGTTGATGTATGAGTATAATTTACCTGTTAGAGAGCCAAAGGTAATATCTACCTGTCAGGGTGTTTGATGATCCACCAATTGTTGATGTCCTTAAAAATGTAGCACGTGACCTGCTGTTGGTGTGAGCTGCCTCTCTTGTCGGGGTACTTGACCGGATACATGTGGGCGTGGGAGTGTAGCCAGCACGGTTGACCAACCGCAACATTCTCTGTGTGGCGCAAGGTGATCTGTGACCCGTATGCAACATTCAGTGGCTGGCCCTTGGTCAGTGTTGCCAGTCCACCCTAAGGACAAATACAGAGATTTGACCACACTATAAAAGTTAAGAAATATTCTAAATAATTCAAATTAATACTTAAAAAAACTATTATCACTAATAAAACAAGTTTATCTTATACTAAAGTAAGATTAAAAATATGTTTTCAATGTAGCTTTTCAACAAGATATACTTAAGTTTTGTTTATTATGCTTACTGTTCTTTATTAAAATAAATCTTAAAGATGGAAAAATAAAAGTTGGATATTGCTAGTGAAAGGTTAGACAATGTGTAAATTATTTATTTCTGTGGCATGAAATACGTATGATTGAGGTCTAGTCGCCTCTATTCTCCTGGACATCTACTCATCAGCTAACCAGACATGAAATCAAAAGAAAATCTTTTCTTTTTCTTCTGGTATGATAAAAAAAAATCACTGCAACAACCAAATAAATAATTTTGAGTGATTATTTTAAGCAGCACGATTCAAATATGATTTACATAGTATTTTACAGTCAAATTTTCTTTTGAAATCTTATGCTGATGTGAATTGAATTGATAACTGATGCCAGTTTTAGCTAAGTTAACGCAGGCAAAGAGTTACTAACCTCTAAACTGGCCTGAAAGGCACTTGTCATTATACTATCATGGGGCCCAGCCTTGCTTAATATACTCAGGTGGACGTAGAAGATGCAGAGGTAGAAAAATACAGGTAGGGTAACCATGGCAACCAGACGACCAAACAAATGTTTAACCAAAGTTATCTGAAAATAAAATAACATGAATATAAATGTCAACATTTAACAAACCATGACATCATAGGCTACAGGCAGAGACAAACTCTGTAAGGGAAGTAACTGTGAGATCAGTCTGCCTTAAAATATAAATTTCCACAAAATTATTTATCTGTAAAGAAACAGCAGGAGACAAAAGAGATATTAAGATTTATGAAAACAACTTACATCAGATTTGGAGATATCATCCAGCATGCTCCAGTAGTCTTTGCTTATTCTAATGAGAACTAATATCAATGTAAAAACTCCCACATACTTGATGCTGAAGAATAAAAAAAAATTGTTTGAAAAATCTGTCTTTTTTGTTATTCAGATATGGTGACATAAATAATAAACACATTTAAGTATGTAAAGGGGTCGGCGTGGTCTAGTCGGTAAAGCTCATGGTTGCTAAACCGAAAAGTCTCGAGTTCGAACCCCCGGGCAGATGAGGCAACTCCAAAATTAAACAACTGCTGCCTTGTAGTTTGTTCTTGGTTGGACAAAGGCTATGGAAGCAAATCCAAAAAGAAAAGCAGGCTGAAATTGGAGTCAATGGCCTCAATGGCGCATAACCAGTTGACACGTAACGCTTAATTGTGTTGGAGGCGTGGTCGAGTCGGCAAAAAGCTCATGGTTGATAAATTTGAACAAAGTCTTGAGTTCAAACGCACTGGCAGATAATTCTCGATCCCCTTCAACACTAATAATTAAGAACGAAGAAGAAGAAGAAAATATGTAAACAAATGCTTATGTGTGCAAAATGACAATATAGTGCAGGTGAGTGAGTGACCTCCCCTTGTGTTGACTGTGATCTTACCTGAGAGAACAGGTAGCTGCCACACCACACAAGGACAGCCAGAACCACCACATCAAACTAAACTCTCTGAAACAAATCATAAACAATTACTCTTCCAGCATCTTTTGGTTATAATTTTAACTTGCATAAACACATCGCTCATTTATTTAACAGCAACAACAAAATATTATTCAAAATAAAAAATAGATATTACATTTTTTTTTACACTATTGAACTATTCACTGTCACTTCTCCCTACTTAAAATAGTTGATTATAGGTAGATACTCTTTTCTGTTTGCTAGCAACTGACACATTCTAGTACTACATCTCCTAGATGGGTTGCTGTCCTCAGCTGACAACCCTCATCTGTCCTGAACTTGAAATTCAGGACATTTACAGGTTAGCAACCATGTGCTTACCCACGCAACCACTCTGACCTCTTAATGATGTATCCATTAATTGGGCAAAAAAAATATGTTGATAATTTATTATTTGTTCTCACCTGCTATTATTCCTAAACTTCAGATAAGCAAGAATTGACAGAGTTGAAAAAAAGATCAGCATTCCCTCCATCAACATGAACCTAGACTGTACCAGCAGCGCATTGTCTAAATTATTTAAAAAATTATTATTAAAAAAATAACTTCTGAAAAATCACACCTATTCAACCCTTTTATTTTACACTGGAGTAAAAAAAACTGTTTCTTAACAAATCATTACTATGACAAGCTTTGATCTGTTTAGAGAATTACTTAAATTTTAAAGCAAAAGAATGTAGCACAATACACATACCAAGGAGTGTAAAATACACACAACAAAGAATATAAGACAGAATACACACACCAAGGGGTATAGAAAGAATACAAATACAGAGGAGTATTAGAATACAAATACCAAGGAGTATAAGAATCTACATACCAAGCAGTATAAGAACACCAGCAACAGTTGCAGCATATCTGCTCATGCCTATTTCTACACAGATCTGATAGACAACAGGGACTACCAGGCTACCAAGGACTGCTGGAATTAACCTCAGCATCTCCACTGGAACTGTAGCTGGAAACTCTAAAGAAAAACAAAGCAACAAAAGCTAACTATTTCATACATTCAAGTTCTGAAGTACTGTGAAGTACTTAAACATGATACTGTGATTGATGAGAATAGTTTTATGAACTACTAAAAATGGTAGTAGCTAATGTTATAAGCCATTATGGTTGTAATGCTAGTGCTATTAACAAAGTATATTTTACCTGCACCAATTCTTTCAAAGTTTATCTCACCCTCAAAGCCTGCATATCTTCCTGAAATGGTAAGAATGCATTAGATTTAAAAGGTAAGCTTCAAATTATACATAGGTGGTTAAAGCTAGTTAAAAAGGGTGAGTTATTAAATAAGCAAATGAATTTTGAAATACATTTTATAATGGTATGTTAGTTGCAATAAAAACAAAAGTGCATAGGCTGATATAGTGTTTCCTAATTATGTCCTAAACTATACTCAATAAATATGCAAGTCACCTGCTAAGGCCAGAAGTAGCTTCCCAAGGGGGGGATGAACATCGAAGAAAAATGTGTTTTTCAAATACAAGGAAACAAACTTTGCAAAGTGTAGTTCATCAAATCTTTAACAAAATGAAACAAACATTTATAGTTAAAATACCAAAACTATTTTGGATTTTAGAACCATTAGATCATCAGCATCGAGCTTTTAAAACCTAAACCCATCAATGTATATGATTAAAATCATTCTCAAATAAAGCAATAAAATAAATATACTGTTACAACTACAAGACATATACTGAAAATTTTAGTAGACTCAAGAAAAAAATTACACCATAAATAATTTTTCGTACAGATATCTTTCAAATTTGTGTTAATTTACTATTGTATTTTTAGCTATGGACAAATAGATGACTTACACAACAGCTCTAGGGACCCCTAGTCTCCAGGTTCTAGAAAACAAAGCTATAACAGTCAGAAACAGCTGCATGAGGTCTATCTCTGTTTTGATAACAAATGGCTTGGTCGTGTCAGCCGTGTGTGGAGCTTCATCTTGTCTCACTAACACTGGAGCCCCATCACCCTAAAAAGGTTAATCAGCACAAAAAAACAATTGTTATTATTTTATGGGTTAATAAGTGGTGGTGACATAAACAATTTTTAAAATGCATTAGAGTTATTTTTTGAGTAGACTCTAATTGATTGTAATGTAATGTTAAGTCAGAAGCAGAAATGATGGTTCTTTTTAATTTTTAGTTATTGACATAATCATAATGGGCAGTCAGAGACAGTCACATTTAACTTACAAAAAAGTTTAGGCCTATTAAAAATAATATAAAAAATCAAACAAGCCTGTTCTCTGTAGTCCACAGATTGTTGTTGCTGATTACTTATAGCCATACTGTGCTTTTGGTTATTAGATCTAGCTTCAACACAAGAATTTTCTTTTCTATCAGGCCTTAACACTTCCATTCTGAAAAACAAAATAGACTATTGGCCTACCTATATAGATTCTAAATATCATTGGCTAATGTATAGATCCAGACTAAAGAAAGCTATCCCAGACAACACTTGATTATTGATGTATCCAGCTCTAAAAGTTCCCTTTCAAATCTGACGGTCTATAGGGAAAGTGAAGTAGAGTTAACTTATTTCTGTGACCTCGGCATATGAAGAGATATTGTGGTCAGCACTATTGTGACTATGCCCAGCCGCCTTTACTTTCCCTAACGTAAGTTAGGTACCCATCAGAGTTAGGTGGACTCAGGGACGGTCTAGTCTACTGACTTGAACCCGGATTCAAACTCGAGACTTACAGGTTAGCAGTCCAGCTCTTTACTGCTAGTCCACTACATCCCCGTATCCAAATTTAGTGTATTATAATTATATAAATTTAATAAATTAGGCCAATTTCAATTAGGCCTATAGTAAATAGATCTAGTATTAAGTTTTAATTTTGTCTGAATGATTGAAATGAATGAATATGAATGTCGAATGTCATCATGAATCATTGAATGGGAGGTGGAGGGGAGGCCGGAGGGTTGCGATTTGTATCTGCTTGTCTCAATATGACAATATCTGCTGGTGTTGGACCTACAACTAATGAACTACTGACAAGCCTAGACCGCTGATTTGATAAATGAAAATACCATTTATAAAACTCAGTCTACACTCAACTACAATGAGTTTTTTTAAAACTAGATTTACTAGCTTCCTTAAAAACTTCGGTTCGTCTCTTTCCCAACTTCGTTTTTAGTTTTTATCATACATGCTTAACTTGCTTCGCATTAATAACTTATATAAATTATAATTAAATTTAAGACTAGGCCTAGTTTTACTTTTTTTTTTTCTGTATCACGAATCTAGTCTCTTTTTAGACTGTTTACACTCCAGCATTTTCCCTTTGATATTGTGTAATGAGAAGAGTGAAGTTATAGATCTAGATCGACATATACTAAAAATATACTTACTTAGTGACTTGCAACAATAATAATTATAATCTTAAAAATAAGCTGTTTAAGAATATGATACATACACATAAAAAAACATATAGATCTAGATCTCTAGATCTTGTTGATTTTAAAAATAAAATAGACGATTTGTGACATTAAAAAGCCAATCGCTCAACGATCCATAACACATGGAAAGATGCCCCCCACCCCCTCACTCTAATTTTGTGTCGGATTTTCTTATTCCTGAATTTTATAATTTCCAGCTTTATGTTTACATCATGGCGGACGAAGAAGATTTCGATCTGGATTTGGATGAAACCTTTCTCAGCGCAACAAATTACGTGCGGCGTTGCGCAAATAGCATGGCGAGCGATCATCTTCTTTATTTCTATGGTAGATATAAGCAGGTAGAAGAGCTGTGCAATATTTTAAAATTTAGAATTAGGTAATCCCTTAGTTTAGCGTCGGAAATTATCGGGTAATGTTTGTTGAGTCTCGGTAACTAGAGTTACGGTAAACCATGGTTTATTTGACCATTGAAATATAAATAAATTGAAAGTCGATTGTAGTAAATTAATGCTTTAATTTTTTAAGTTTAATCGACAAAAGGAAACAAGAATAAATATAATAGTAGATTTAAATTAGTAGATCTAAAAATAATAAAAAAAACATATAGGGTAAAGGAGGGCGTTAAGAGCTGTGTGGTATTAAGCCCCAATCAACACCCCACCCCCACAAAACCCCCAATAACACTGCTAATCTACTTCTGAGGTAACAACCACTGCTGTTCTTTGATAACAGAGAAGCAGAGGATTCATTTTATGTAATTTATGACCCACTTGGTCCAATAGGGAGAGGATGAGACATGATTTAATCCCACTGCTCTTTCCCTAAAATTTCTCATCTCCATAAAATAGGTACTAGGATTTGGCTCCCGTTTTGCGATGCGCGGCGAGATTTTCCTCCCGTTACCCAAATACCGAGAGTTGGCGGACGCGCGAGTGCGAGTGTTTCGTAATTTTTATTATTCTCCTATTTTGCCTGGTCAATTTTATTGCGAGGAGTATTATTTTGAAGAAAAATGGACTTAGCGTATTATATATTTTTTAAAAATATTTTCATGGACTATTTTTTATGGAGTGTTTCATTGAAAATAAGGTAAGTTTGACTTATTCCCTAAACTTCTCTATGGGCTCTACTTGAAATTTTATTGCATAATCTCCATTCTTATCCATTTTTCTCTATTACTGTAAAAAATCGTAATGATTGGATGTGTCTCTTAGCTGCAAAACGCTTCACAGTTTGGTGTACTGTTTGGGACTTTAACTGTTTACAGACTGGAAGTGAAAGTGAACCGGAAGTTGTCGGGTCTCGCTACTAACACTTGTGTGACTTAGTCTAGCTGATATGCTTGTATTACTGTAATTACGATTGTGGCGATCGTTGTTTTGACTCGGGCGATAGTGGCGAACGCTGTTTTGATTCGGGCGATAGTGGCGAATGCTGTTTTGATTCGGGCGATAGTGGCGAATGCTGTTTTGATTCGGGCGATAGTGGCGAATGCTGTTTTGATTCGGGCAATAGTGGCAAACGCTGTTTTGACTCGGGCGATAATGGCGAACGCTGTTTTGACGCCGGCAAAAGTAGCGAACGCCTTTTTTATTCGGGCGTTAGTGGCGAATACTGTTTTGACTCTGGCGCTTATGGCGAACGCTGTTTTGACACTGGTGATAGTACCGAAGGCATTTTTTACTCGGGCGTTGGTGGCGGGCGATGTTTTGACAATGGCGATCGTTGTTTTGACTCTGGCGATAGTGGGAAACGCTGTTTTACGCAGGCGATATTGGCGAGCGCTGTGTTGATGCTGGCGATTATGTCGAGCTTTGTTTTGACGCACGCGATAGTGGCGAACGTTGTTTTGACGCCGGCGATAGTGGCGAACGTTGTTTTGACGCCGGCGATAGTGGCGACCGTTGTTTTGACGCCGACGAGCGTTGTTTTGATGCCGGCGATCGTTGTTTTGACGCCGGCGATAGTGGCGAGCGTTGTTTTGATATTGACGGTAGTGGGGGGGGGGGGGGGGGGGGAAGAAAGGAAGGTCTGGTATTAACAACACACATTAAATATTTGGTGTATTCAGAAAACCTTTTTATTTTAATGGGAAGGCAAATAATGTACTTGTACTGTTTACTTTTCCAGGTAGAACCTACACTTCTTAAACCAGCACATCTCTACAATATGATAAGCAGTTATATGGCCTAATGTCAGTTATATGGTCTAATGATGGAACACTATGTAAACGAGAAATTAAAACTATTAAAATAAATAATGTGTTTATCTTTTATTTAGGCAAACTAATTAATTTGTGATATGAACTATTTCCTTTAAAAACCAACCAATGTTGAACTTCTCCTGAAATGTAATATATTAACGAATAAGCAGAAACACATCTTTTTAAATTAAACTATATATATAAGTATACAAACAAGTTTATTACATTTATACGAATAAAACACCTTACATTTCTAATAGATATAATTTGCCTTTTTTTTTTAAAATTTAAATATATGCTCTCAGTTTTTCAATGATGTCAGGTGTGTCGATGACTCAGCATTTTACATTTTTACCATCCTTTACCTATTTGTCAACTATTTAGATAGAACCATCACACACACTTATTTTAGAGCTTCACTCTAGTTAGTTGTTAGCTTTAGATTCAAATAGATTGAGCCTAAACAAATAGTGTATGAACAAATTTCGTATTTAAAAATAGGGGGTGTACCCTGTTCCACCCCTTATTTTTTGTCAAACAGATAGATTTAAACACATTTTTTGATTGTTTCTTTTTGAGAATAGAGTCATCTAGAGCCAGGCAAATTTTGAGACTTAAGTGCTTAATAACTCAAATTTGCCATCATGTTGCATTTCACATCAACAAGAGTTCGGTTTTGCGAAATTGTATAATTTATCAGCTTTGTAGCAGTTAAAACAAAAATCTTTTCAGTTATGAATATTATTTTGATTGTAATAACTGACACATCCATAGCTCATCATTCTCAGCAAGTTTGAGCTTAATTTTTCAAAGTGTTAAAATTTTAACTGAGATTTTATGAATGCACTGTATATGAAAAAATAGGGGGGGTACCCTGTTCTACTTCTGTTTTTGTTTAACTCTGCCCATAAATTTCTAATTTTATTGTTTATTATCCTTACATATATGATAGATAAAGATATTGCAAAGTTATAACCAATTTGACCATATGGTTTACAAGCTAGGACAATTTTAGTAAACGCTTAAAAAAACTCTATCACAGAAATTGGAAAAAAACCTATGTTAAAAAAATCACCTTTTTTAATACGAAAAAAAATCATAACTATTTAACCGTTTGAGCTACATCAAAAAGGAAAACTGTTCTGCTATTGTAATTTTTTGCTCCTTTTAACTGTAGTGGTTGTTTCCCTATTAAACCAATTTTCAAAATTTATCCTAGTACCTACCATAAAACCATTTTGTGAACTTTTTTTCCAAATAGACATAACTTGGGAAACTTCACTTTGTAATAAACCAAATGAGTTTTTCAAGCCCATTCTTTGTTCCTGTATTAGAGCATTGGTTGTTGTACATTTTAACACTATTTTTATAGCTATGGCTAGAATAGTTTTATTTTGGTGAATTTTTTTTGCACAGTGATTATTGGTGCCAAAACAAAATGGCCGACATTTGTCCCATTTTACCATGCTATAAAGTTTTTATCATTATCACAGTAAAAATTGACTGATCATTACCATAATGGTTTTATTTGTTAGATAATAACTAAATCTACATGAATACATTAATTTTGTTCACTAGCTTGCCTGTTTAGAAAAGTTATAACAGATACTGTTATGTGGCTCTTGAAACCCTATGTGCAAGTTTCTCATTTATTAGACCACTGAATATGACACTGGTATAGAAATAGTTAACACAAAATGTATTAATTGTTAAACAGACTTGTGTCTAAATGATAGAAATACAATTCTAACCTGCTAAAAAGTAAAAATTCAGCCATCTGATGTTAGCAAGGTAATTTTTAAAATGGTACTTGTACTTATTACCCCTAAGGGGCAATACAGCCGACTCAGCCCCCACCTGTTTCTAACCAACCATAAAACTTCTAATCTCTTCCTAGGTAACAGGAATAAATGTTCTTAGGTCTCAGCCAATCTGGGGTGGTATGTTATGTAATTTATGACCCTCATGGTCCAGCAGGGAAGTAAACAGACACATTAATACCACTGCTCCCCCCTTACAATTTCTTACCCCCATGCTACCCAGCCCCCACCAGTTTCTGGCCCACCATAAAACTTCATCTCTTTGTAGGTAACAGATCTCAGACAATCTGGGGTGGCATGTTATGTATTATATGACCTTCATGGTCTAGCAGGGTGGAGACCAAAGAGGAATCAGTACCACTGCTCTCCCCTCACAATTTCTCACCTCCATGATAGCCAGACCCCACCTGTATCTAAACCCACCATAAAACTTCATCTCTTTGTAGGTAACATGGACTAAGTTCTTAGATCTCAGCCAACAAGAGGTAGCATATCCTTATGTAATGTATGGCCCTCAGGGTCCAGCAAGGAGAAAAAAGGGGAAACCAGTACCACTGCTCTCCCCTCACAATTTCTCACCCCCATGATACCCAGACCCCACCTGTATCTAACCCACCATAAAACTTCATCTCTTTGTAGGTAACATGGACTAAGTTCTTAGATCTCAGCCAACAAGAGATAGCATCTCATTATGTAATTTATGGCCCTCAGGGTCCACCCGGTCCAGCAAGGAGAACAAAGGGGAAACCAGTACAACTGCTCTTCCCTCAACATTTCTCACCTCCATGTCATGTTATGTAATGTATAGCACACATGGCTTATCAGGGGAAAGCATTAAGGCAGATTAGTTAGTACCACCCCTTTTTACATACAAGAATGTTAACTCTGGACAGCTACACACTAGTATACTAGCTACACACTAGGCATACTAATGTGCCTACTGTAAACTTCTAGACTGTAGGCCCTATGTAGTATGTACACCTGCAATTGTATCAATTGTAGACTGGGCCCATTGGGGCCTAGTGATAGCTAGTATCAGTTAAAGTGTGTGTACACAGCATTAACAATTTTGGGGTTAGAAAATAATTATTTTTATTGCGGAGTTAGTCTAAACTAGGAGATAATACTTATTGCCCCATTGCCCGGCTCCTTTCACCCCAAATGCTGATTTCGGGGGTATGACAATAAATGTTCAATTAAACCCATTTAAAGTATATTTAATAGACTTTGTTATTATTTTTATATTGTGTAAGATATGTTAGAATAATTTTGCCATATTTTCAATACTAAAACATTCTTAGATTAGTAGAAATCTTTAAAAATGTACAGGTGCTAAAAAGTGTGGCTCTTAACGCCCTCCTTTACCCTATTAATATAAATATAAATATAAATAATGAAGTCAAATGTAGGCTAATATAATTTAATGTTTTTTGCTTGCAGCGGATTTGCTACCATTAATTAATTAGATCTAGATCTAGCTAGATATCTAGCTGCTAGGCCAAGTAAAAAAATCTAGATTACGAAAATAGTAAAAATGATTACAAAATGTAAAAATGATTACAAAAATAAATCTATCTAAATTTTAAACATTCTGTATAAAAATAAAAGATGACATCAAATAAAGTATGGTTTACAGTACTTCCGGTGAATTCCGGAAGTGTGTGACTGACTTTGGGATTGTTTTACTGTTTTTTACTGCTATACGATTCCGGAATAATAACCGACGCTAAACTAAGGGATTACCTAGAATTATGTCTAGATATTTAATATTTAATTATTCACGCTAGCTAGGTCCTAGCTAGAAGTAGACTGTACTGTAGACTAATATTACGTTTAATTATGAAAAAATCTGTTGTTTTTTTAATTTAAAATCACGAATGACACTTAGCCTAATAGGGGGGTAGAAATCAAAAGTTTGAGGGGGGGGGGGGGATGCAAATCGAAAGTTTGAGGGGGGGTGCAAATCAAAAGTTTGAGGGGGGGGGGGCGGTGCAAATTGAAAGTTTGAGGGGGGGTGCAAATCGAAAGTTTGTCCCTGGGTAAAAATTGGAACCCCCCCTTGAGACGATCCTGGCTACGCCACTGGTAACACACACAACATTTAATTTTTAAACATTTTCACAAAAAAAAACCATGATCGGTAAGTCTACAGAGATAAGCTTTCTGCGGGTTTTTTTAAAGGAAAAAGCAGATTTCCGTAAAAACAGAAAAGCTATATCTTTGCTGGAGATAATCCTTTAAAAAAACCACATTAGTAAATTTATATACAAGGCACAACCTAGCAGTCGTACATAAATGACGTCATATTAACAAGACAAATTTTACTCCAACCCATATCATTATTAATAGCTAGACAGCCTCACAACAATAGGCATCAAAAAGCTTAGTCTACAGCCCCACCTGCCTCTCCAATAATTTTTTTTTTCAGGACTGCATTCAACTTCTGACTAGCTTTATGAAATTATGAAAAAAAGTGGGTAAAATCGAGAGGTACACAGTGTTTATGCCTGATCACTCTTTCAATTAATAATGTTTTTATATATAGCTGTAACACACTGTAGACTAACTATTACACATCCCAGAATGACATAGGCTAGTTACTGAGTGAATGGCATTCCTCTGTAAACCAGCAAAATAAACATAAAGCAGGAAGAGAAGATGCTACCATTTGAACATGGGTTGCATAGTTTTTCTGTGTGTAGTTTGAGTTTAAAAATAAAATACACTAGTGTGACCTAATGGGATTTACATATTTATTACAGGCCACTGAAGGGAAGTGTAATACACCCAAGCCAGGTTTTTTTGATTTTCAAGGCAAAGCTAAATGGTAAGACATAGTTTGTAAAGCTAATTTTAAATGCTAAACAAATAGATTTTTGAAAATGTTATTTATTGTTTATTGTTGCTATAAAGTACAAAAAAAATATGAATTTAAAATTATCTAGGGATGCTTGGAACAAGCTTGGATCTATGGATAAATTAGAAGCAATGAAGCAGTACGTGACACAACTAACCAACATAGACCATGACTGGAGGAATAAGCTGGTGGGTTATTTTCCTAACTGTGATACTAGTAACTAAGCTTATTTCTCCCAATGAAGCTTTTAAAATCCCCATGAAATTTACTATTTCACTTTCACACTAAGCCAGGGGTCTGCATTCTTTTGAGACTAACATTTTTTTTGATAAGGATTAGGTAAATAAATTTGATTTTTGATTTGAGATAAATAGCGTTAAATATGAACTTATTGTTTCATATGAAAACAAACCAATGTTTCTCTCAAAAACTGTTTTAGCTAAATCTGCTATGATAAAATAAATAATCACACATATAGGACTATCTATAGGACTATCCCAATCCACTTTAGAAGCCAATAACTTTTTTGTTTCTTTCTTTACGGACACCACTGGTTCATTAGGTGTCTTTTATAGCCAGGCAGGCCTCAACATGGCAAACTCCGACTAACTGGCTTGGATATCAGTTTGATTACTGTATCGGTCGCTTCTTTCTTTTTGGTTCTGACATGGCTTATCTACCACCATACAACAAGTCCAGTACCTTATAGCTCAACCGTAGAAAGCTAATAACTAAAATACAGCGTCACTCAGGTCAAATTAAGGCATACCGACAGGTAGAGGAATGCATTCTGTATAAAAATAACATTCCCCATTTAACGATATTCGAAAAAGGTGGCACTTTGACACTGACAGTGGCAAACATGGAATAGTCGCCACGGTGCTGGCTACAGCACGGCTGTGGGGCTGGTGCCCAAGCGGCTGCAAGCTGTCCGTATACTTTCTACCTTACCTATTCTTACTGTTCTCTGATGAGTGTATTTACCCTGATTAAAGTTGTCTTTCTTTATAGTATATTTTTTTATGAGATTTGCACATAAAATAATATAACTATTAATATTTTTGCATGGAACTCGAGAGCCGCACATTGACATCAAAAGAGCGGCTCGCGAGCCGCAGGTTGCTGACCCCTGCAGCTATTAAATTATCCTGAAAGTTTGGAACTTTGGTACCTAGTTGAATTACTATACTAACCTCTAAAGCAGGTTTACTTTTTCAGTCTGCATCAGGTGATGATTCTGGGAAGAAAAAAGCTGCCACAAGTGGTATGGGTGTGACAGTCAGTGTGATGGCTCGCACTGAGAGCGATATGAGTGACGGGGAAAAAACAGTTTTTGACTGGTGCAAGGAAGGAAACGTTGAAAAAGTCAGAGAAATTCTTGGTTCAAATTCTTCCATTGTTGATGGTTTAGACGAAGAGGTTTGTTTGTTATGAAAACCACTCTATGAAATGACATATCTACACATTATTTTGGCCCAATTACACTTCACATAGCCTCACTTATTATAACTTATCATCCGTAGGGGCTGGCTCTACTGCACTGGGCTAGTGATAGAGGTTATACTCAAATGGTTGAATTATTACTGAATCTACACGCTGACATAAATATTCAGGTATATTTTTTGCCTGGTACTATCTACAATTGCTAGAAAAGAATGTTCTTTATTTAAGATAAACGTTTTTAAAAATACTAATGCTTTAAACTAAATTTTCAGGATGTGGACAAACAGACTGCATTACATTACGGTAAGTTATTTCTAATTCTTCCAAATTAAAAAAAATACAATCTGGATACATGGTAAAATTTGGATAAATTATTAAGATTTTTATCAAAGGTGTAATCCAATTTATATATTGTAATTTGTGATATTGCTGATTCAAATACAATATAGAAACACATTAATAAAGACTGTATATTTGCTATAAGAAATATAGAATTTATTTTTTAGCCGTCACGCACACTGTAAAAAGATATTAAAATCTCTGTTTTAGCTGTCTCCTGTGAACACCCAGACATCATCAAGCTACTTATCAAATACGGAATAGACACATCTCTCAAAGATGCAGATGGAAACACTGTCATGGACATTGCCAGGGATGCGAAACCTGATATAAAATTATTATTGGAGGCGTCAGCTTAATGCGTAAAATATATATCAACTCATCAGTTTACATGTGACCTCGCACCATTGAAGTATAATGATTATGAACATTCCGATACCCCTCTTGCCAGGTGTTAAGAAAAAAAATTTCATATAATTTATATTCATCTAATCTTCAAAGGAACAATGAGAAAGGATTCCTCATAGTTATAGTGTGGCTAAATTTTGTTGACTCCATGTGATAATGTGTAGTGATTTTATTATTTTTAATATGTTAATTAGTAAAATGCAATGAAAGCTATTCTTAACAAGGTTGTCTTAACTTACGATAACAAGCACCAATGAGCATTTATTATTTTCTTATGCAAATTATAAATAAAATGATTAAAATCAAAATTGAACTTTGTGCTGAATACAAAGTTTCAACAGTTGAACTTGTGAATGGTTACAGGGAGATAACATTTGTTTTAAATTTTTGTTATTTTGTTCTGCTACTATACTGTAGGATTGACAAGCTAGGCTGGTTTTGACATTATGATGTATCAGTATTTATGCCTCTTCTACAAGGTTTACATAGTAGGACATAAAAAAGATGGCTTGATATGATGGCTAGATGAAGTTACATCTGGTGAAATAAAATAATTTGGGCATTCTTAACAGAAAACAGTACTGACATATCATATTATCTATAACATGACAGAAAAGTCAAACAGTAATTAGCTGGTGTAGATAAGATTATTTTTTACATTTATTTAATGATTTTATTTTGCAGTTTAGATTAATTTAGTTTATGTTATAGTTGCTATGGTGATTGAACACCTGACTTGAGATGTTGAGGTGATTTGGTTTACATGTGATTTAGTGATTAAAATCAAAGGAAGATTTGACTGATAGATTTTAAATATGAATATTTTGGGTCACTTATGATGTGGCCATTTGTTTTGGTATGTCTGTAAAACCCTTCTGAAGATTCTCTTGATTTAAAATAAATTAAAATGACAGCACCCATCGTACTTAATGAATATTTTTGTTTCTGTCATATCATGTCTATTTGTGAATGTTATGCTTGCTGAATATTCTGACATTGTACCCAGTTGAATACACTTGTTTACACTGATCTGTGCTCATGTGTTCATTATTAGTTTTTGTTTTCAAAAAATTTTATGGATACATGTAATACATAGTGAAAATGTGTAACCAAAAGTTGTACAGTTCTTTGCTAATTTTTTTGTTAGTATCTTTATTATTGTGATGTCATGTGGCCAGATTTCAATAACTGCCATCTGTAGACATGGGTCAAAGTTCAAACACCACCATAATTAGACAAGTGTGTACTGACATAAAAGTTCTTAAAAATAAAAAGGAACAATTTTAAAAATATTTTCAAAAAATGTATTTTTTTTAAAGCTTGCATTTGACAAACTAGTAAAAAAAACTAGAGGTAAATACATTATACTAAGAGACACAGAAATATTTAATCAATGCTCTTAAGTATGTCTTACTTAAAATGTAAACAATTTCATATTGTACAATAGTCAGAAATAAAAATATAAAAAAATTCTGGTACAAAATCTTAAAGAAACAAAGTGATCACAGAATATTGGGTTTATCTGTTAAACAATAATGTGATATGTACAAGCAACATCTACCTGAGCCTAGTAACACCAGAACACATTTCAAACAAAAGTATAATTTAAAAATATCCAATGATAATAAAGTTAGCAAACGAATCTTTCAAAGTTACCTCCCATATTTATTTGGGTGAGAAAATAATGAAAAAAAAATGAGCATCAAGGAAATAAATTGACAAAAAAAAATGTCCACTTTATAACAGTAGAAATAATTCCCATAAAGAAGAAAACAAAATAAAACCATAGTGGGTTAAATAGAGGAAAATGTGATCAATAATATAAGCCAGATTTTGTACTGCATAATTTACAATAAAATGTGCCATTAAAAAATCCAAAAGGTTGTGAATTATGAAAAAGAAAACGTACAATTTGAAGCACAGTGAATTAACAAAAATATACATCTCACTTGTTAGTGCAGTTTTCGAGTTAAAAACGAGGTATATTTGGCCTATTTAAAGCTGAGCCTCTTAGCAATTCTACAGCAATAATACAATTTTATCCTAACAAAATATAAAACATTAAACAGTAAATGTGCACAATGATATGGATAGTGCAAGCATTTGAATATATCTATTTTTAAGTGTCTAAATAGCAATAGTGTAAAACAAAAAAATCAACTAAAAGGGGTTAAGGGAATTCAAAGGATATAGAAACAAGAAAATGATATAGAAACTACATGCTAAGCTCACCTTTAATGTTTATCCAAAATAAACTAAAAGCTTAATATTTCTTAATAACAGTTATTTTCTTTAATAATAATTATGAATGCTAAATTTTAAAAATACTATTGGCAGCATATTTATTTTTCCAAATTACTTTAAAAATGAATTAAACAGTTATACTAGTTATAGCTATTGAATTTACTATCAAATACATGCAACAGTACAATTAATACACACTTTAAATATGGAATTGATTGATATGAGATAATAATATTAATTAATCTAAATAACCTGATAAAAACATTCAGTAAAGCTGAATAGCAAATGTGCATAAAAAATAGGTCAGTGGGTCGCAACCACAAAACTGGTCTACTAATACCTAACAGCTCGCATGGTTCAGTTTTCTTATTGTTTTAACAGCCGATTCTAAACTATCGCTGATGTTTTCAAACACAGGTGCCCCTTCTCGGCTGGCCATGTCACTTAGGTAAATACGCCCACGACTGTAATCTTGGAGAGCTTTTTCTGTTATCTAAAACAGTAAAAAAAATTCAAATATAATTTATGGATCAAATAAAGCTTTTACAGGTTGTCTAAAATAAATAAAAAATGAAATAAAATCTTTCAAACCTCTTCACCAGCAATAGTTGTGTAGGGCTTGAGTTTTTCCAAGCATAATATCACACGACAGCCTCTTCCAATATAGTAGCCAGCCTAGGGAGTTATCTGACCATTAATTTACATATTTTATGTATTTAAAAATTTATTTAATATAAATAGAAATGTAGCCTGTTGTGGTAATCCTATCCAGTACTGTGGACAGATTGCTAAACAGAAATATAGGAAAATCACAAAATATATAGAATGCCATAACACCAAGGACATAGAGCATTCAATAGCAAGGACAGTATTTTAACCTACCTAAAAGCCCTTGATAAAGTATGACTACCCTGATATTTCTGTACCCTATATTTCTATACACATTATAAAATTAAAATGTTTACAAACTAACCTCCACCATAGCGCCAATAGCCCTAGTGCAGTCTGCTATGATAAACAAGAGCAGACGACACTTTTCCCTCTCTGCAGCTTGCATGGGGATCAGATAGTCACTCCATTTTGTCACCAGAGGATTCAGATATGATATACCCTCCCTCCTGGAAATACAAATTTTTTTAAATTTAAAGAATATTTAAAAAAAAAAAAAGTAATCATACAATGTATCATATTTTTTTAAATAACAGCTTTTATATTTAAATTTCTTAGTAATAGGATAGTAATAGGCCAGATCAATTTACAGACAAATAAGTTATTCATTAGATATTTTTAAAAACATCCAATGTGATGAAAAAAAGCCTTCATATTTACTTAAGTAATGGGATGGCCAGGTCCTCACGCCAGTTGGCCTCACCACAACTTCCACCTAAATAGACATCATAAACTTCCTCTGTGTTTTCACATGGCTCATTGTTGCCCTTAAATTTAGCTGCAGAATAGGTGGTATATTACTATCGACTTTGCTAAATTAATAAACGATTAGTCGCAGTTTCAATACAAAACATGAAACGCAAACTTAGCATTACATTAGACAAGGAGTGTTTACACAATTTTATACTCTTACAATGCTAATTTTAAAAAATAATTATTAATTCAACCTAGAACTAGAACCAGTCTCTAAAATTTATAAGAAAACCATTAATATAAAAATTCATCATTAAAACATTACCCTATTTACAATTATTGATTAATATTAATTATATATTTGACACACTAATTGAGTTTACTTGTTATTTAAACATTACAAAGTATGTTGATTTCCTTACCCATGAGCCAAGATATCGGAGCCACAAATTTGTGGGCTAAGACTGTGGCCACAGATGGCCTCTGTCAAATACAAACAGATCTTTTAAAATTTGACAAAATTCTTTATATTTAAGCTCTGCATGTTACAAGCCCCAGTTTAAAATCAAGGAGTAAATTTCTTACCTTTCTCTTGTACTCTGTGACTATGGCACAGAATTCCTCAAATGTGAAAGTATGTTGGGCTGGACGTTGGTTCTGCAACCAGGAAACACTCAAATCCTCACCTGTGTAACACCGGTAGCCAAGACGCAACTGAAAACAATAAGCATTAGCTCAGGTTATTCTATTTTAAATACTAACTCAAGGTAATTTGTCAAAATTAATAGCAACAGAAATAACTTAAATTCCCTAGTATTTTATGAAATTGGCTTATTTTTAAACTTTTATAATTTTGTTTCAAATGCAACAGGAATTCAGAGGAATAATTTTTTTCTCAATTTTTAGAACATTACATCACTCAATTTATCTGTTAAATAGTTCAATCTACTTATATTGTGAAGTTAATTTAAAAAAAATATATGTATACTTACATCTTCTTTATTCATATTTCCTTCTTTAGTTCCAGTAATAGAGTTGAAAGATTCTCTAAGTTTTCTAAAACATGGATGAGATTATGAATAAAATAAATGAATGGTGAGGTTATTTTTACAATTCGTATATAATGTTGAAAAAGATTATATCTGCGATGTTATATTTAGAAAAAACAGAAATATAGAAGGAAAATGGTTAAACATGATGCTAGTTAAATGTTTAAAGACTTACAGTAAAGCTTCCCCAACAAGGATGTGTCCATATTTGGCTGGCATGGCACCATGCTGCAATGTCAAGTCCTGAACTTTGATGCCCTGTAAAGGAAGGGAGACAATTAAAATCAGGCTGTCACAAGGGAAAACATTACCAAATAGAACATTTTGAAGAGGCTCTACACTATAGTAATTACTGACATTAAAATACTAGATCATTAAATACAATATTTAGATATTGCTTCATTATGAAAAGACCTATAGTATTTACCTGACAAATTTACTCCACTTTGACTTTTTGTAAAGCCATAATTAAACAAATCAACATAGCCCTACATAAATTTTAGTCAGCTGTTTGTAATAGCATGAATAAACAAGTCGCCAAAGCCTTACCTGTTTGTAAAACCATAGTTAAATAAATCAACATAGCCCTACCTAATTTCTAGTCAGCTGTTTGTAATAACATGAATAAACAAGTCACCAAAGCCTTACCTGCTTGTAATACCATAGCAAAACAAGTCATTAAAGTTCTACCTATCTGTAACACCTTAACTAAACAAGCCCTACCTGCTTCAGGTGAAGTGCTGCACACTTCAAGGCCAGTTCAATATCAGAGAAGACTGGAATACTATTGCGTTCAATGATGTCCATCAAAACATTGCGGGCTCGAGTGATATCTTCACGTTCACTGTTAAGATTAAATAGAAAGTCAATGTAAAATTATCTTTGTAAGATTCTTTTTACAAGAATGTTTGATAATTTTAAATTTAATTAAGTTGTTCTAAATAATTACAGTTACATATACGTTATTTAAAGCATATACTGTAACTATGTGTAAACATTGAGTTAACTGAATTTTTTAAAAATAGTTTCACAGAGAGCTATATTCTTCTCATTTAGCATCTCAAGTTGCTTATTTTAACCTGATATCAATGGTGCAAAAAAAGAAAGATTAATCATAGTATTTAGCCTTAGCTATGGTATAATGTCCATCCATCTTCCTTAGCTTTAGTTAATGACTAATAAGGTGTTTTAGAATTTAAATAATACTAGGGATTCAAAACAATGATACATTGCTACGCAACATATATATTGTCACAATGTAAAATAACTTGTGTCAGATGCACAAATGATAAATATGGGAAATTTGAAAGGTTATGTCAGACGGCATTAGTTCGTATGGAATGGTGAAAATATAGATTCACAAATTTTTACCGCTCAGTTGTCTTCTCTAGTGAGACTTCCTTCACTTCTGAATTGAATGCACTGAACACAACAATAATTTGTCGGCCACATCCTGTAAACATGTTTTTTTTTTGGAGTCAAAATTTTTAAAGTAGCACAAGTATTAAATGAATAAGTATTTTAAAGACATTTAAAAGTAGATTAATATGATGCTAGTAGAATGATGTTTAAACTGTAAGCAGTTTTAATACATAAAATTCTCGTTTAATACATAAAATTCTCTTCAAACTATGGTAAAGGTAGTACAAATCTATAAATTACTGACCTACTAAATAAGCAATTTCACAAAGGGACACGACTGATCTTGTTTTGTTATCTATTACAAAGAAAAGTAACTCTGCAACCTGTTTCACAGAAAAATGAATTAAGATTAATTTTAAGAACTTTTTTGAGTGACAAAATCAGGGAACAGAAAAAAATCCCAGAAAAATTGTAACAACAGCTTTAAAATAATAAAGACTCATTAAATACTACGTTTCCAAAATATATTTTTTAAAAAAAGCTTTTATTTGAAGATGGAAATTACTTTCAAAGCAAAAATAACATGGAATGTAACAATCAAACATAATTATTTGTTTTGATTTTATTTCCCTCAAAAGGTGCAACATAAATAAAATGCCACTTACATTTTTTGCTCTGTCTTCCAACTCCACTAGTTCAGGTCTCCATGTATTGACTTGCTGTGAACAGAAGTTTCAACCATAAACAAATTAGGAAATAGTGCATAGTGTATTTTTTTTTAAACTTGTGTTTACTTCATTAAAAAACAGTCATTTACATTTTCAAAAAGAGCAGTTTATATTTTACAAGATACTTTTTACGACAAAATTTTATAAAATTACATTACTGCTAGTTTTAGGAAATATTTTAAACAATTCTAAAAATTAACAGATGAGAGAAAATTCTTGGTTTTAGAGATGCTTACAGGGTTATAGAATGTGATGTTCTCTTTCTTCAGGAATGGGATGGCTATATCATGACGCCATGTTGTGGGGTTGTGGGTACATCCACATGATCCACCAAGAAACACTTGGAAATTGGCCAAACTCTCTAGATTTTATCAAAGATTTGACAACTTATCTATAATATTTTTTTATTTGCAAATAAAACTTTATTACTTATTACATAATGAATAAAAAATAATTTTAAATAATTTCATGAGTGTATTTAATTGCAAGCTAAAAAGACCAATAATTCAGTAATAAAAATTCATGAACTTTTATCACTAACCTTTCCTTGCTCGACGCACAGAAAAGCCACCACTCTTATTGCGTATTAGAGACTTGGGTAGGGTCACTGGAGCCCTGTAATAAAACAATAGTCAAATTATACATTAGATGCTAAAAACTGTTTCCAATTACCTCTACATCATTTAACAATGTTTATCCAGTATATACAATTCTATTTATTAATAGTAAAGTTAGACAGTTGTCCACTTTTAAGTTGGTGATTTAATTCTCCCCAAACAACCTTATCAATAGAGAGTAAACCTTCAACATAACAAATGCACAAGAAAACGCTAATATTTTTTTAGTAATGCTATATGTTATATAGACATACATAAACAAAATGAGTATAGTTAGGGTTGGAAAACTACATAATCTTAACTTGAATAAATACTTTATTATCTGAGGCTGGAATACATACCCTATCTCATAATGATGCTGAAGCTCATCCACCAAAACACAAAATTCACCAAAAGTTACAAAATCAGCATCACAGGGACTCCCGTATTCTACAGCACAATGCACCATTTCTTGAACTGCCAAACACAAAATTAATCTTGTATTTCATGCATAAAATAACTCATAGATCCAAGTTTGTTTTTTTTACTTGAAGGAAATACATATGTGTTAACTATATTTTAGGCATATGTTATTATGTTCCTTAATGTATTTTATTGTTAGTGTTTGCAGGAATTTTTTAAGGTAAATATCCTAGGGATCTTAAGATGGTGGTGTTGAAAAAAAGGCTCCTGTAGGCTACATTATCAATAGTTGATCAGGAATAACATTCTAACTCACAAATAGTAACAGCTTGCGCCAAATATGACAAATCTCTAAATTACAAAATATTTCTAAATTATATAGATATATAGTTTGTTAAAGAGGTTAATTGTAAATAATTGGCCTGCTTTGATCAGGTGTCCATGTTTAAAAAATATTTATGAATGTACTAAGTTTAAATATTTTAATGTCCAAAAAGGATGTTTATTTTACTTTAAAATGTTATTAATTAGAGCTTAAAAGCATATTCTATTTGGCAAACATAAATTGCATTTTGAATTGACATGAATGGATATGGAAGGACAAAATGGCTTCATCTTTAACTGCAACATTAATAAAGCAATTGATTACATAAATGTATTATTTATGAATACATATTTGAAAACACTTAATGCATAAATTATTTGCAGCTATGTAATACAATTAGTTTTTTTTATAACAAAAGCTTGTTGTGTCAGCATTTCAATTATAAATAAAAATCCAAAATAGAAATCCCTGAAACCGATAGTATGATACAGTTTCCATGAGAAATCAAATCTATGAGTTTCAAAGTTTGGTGTAAGATTTCTAATAAAATTAAAAACAATTAAAAAATATTTGTTAGGTTGGTTTTTTTTACATTGACATCTGCCAAATGTTATTAGTACTGTGAGGAATGTGTCTCCCTATCCTTATAATAAATCCTGTCTTTGTGAAATTGTAATGAAGTTCTTAAACAAAATACTGTTCTAAATAAATTTTTTGTTATTTTTCAAGCAATTTTTAATGCACACAGGAGACACTTTTCTGACAGTGTGATAAACATTCCCTTTCATTAAAAAACAATTGCTAGTGAAATAAAACCAAGCCACATTATCAAGTTGAAAACATCAGTAACAACTGTGGAAAAACTAATGACATAAAAGTAACAAGATTAGTACAACTGATGTTGAGAATGTTAAACTATATTAGCAGCCGAAGCAAAACTGGTCAATAATGAAAGATAACCTGAGCTGCAAGCACTTCCAAACTCTTCAGCCCAGTGCACCATTTCATCAACTATTGGCCCAGGAAAGAGAGAAACAAAATCTTAACTTTTTAGAAGCTATACAATAGTACACCCAAGTAAAAGATTTTGAAGAGTTCTTCTGAATGTCCAGTTAAGTTTTGAACATGAAACAGATTGATTTTTTTTCTTATCTTTAAGCTCTTGAGTATTATTTTATGTATGATTTGGAATTTTAGTATTGTTCTGATATCCTCACAATCATATATCTTGTCTAGATGATGATACATCATTTCCATATGGGTCTGATGAAATGTTGAAATGTTTGTCAGTTACTCTCAAAGTACTGTCAATTTTAACAATATAACTGTTAGGAGCACAGTGATTTGTAAAAGTTCCCTTTCAAACCTGACAGTCTACAGGGCAAGTGAAGTAGAGTTGACTTGTTTCTGTGACCTCGGCATATGAAAGGAGAATGTGGTCAGCACTATGCCCATCAACATTTACTTACCCTAAAGTGAGTTAGGTACCCATCAGAGCTGCGTGGACACAGGGACATTCTACTGACTTGAACCCGGATTCATATTCAAGACTTACAGGTTAGCAGTCCAGTTCTCTACCGCTAGGCCACTCCACACAGTAATTTGAGCTATAGTGAATTGTTAGTATTATATAAAGACTTACTTTGAGAGTGAGAGGGATACAGCTGCAAATCATTAAAAGCCTTTCGTAAGTTGCATTTCTGTATTCTGTCATTGTCATCATATTTTTTGAAAATATTGTAGAGCTGCCTATAAGAGGAAACAACAACAATCTTTTAAAAATGTGCTATTTAAAGTCTTAAAGATTTCGAGAAAAAAAATAGAATAGAGGTAGGCCTAGTTGTTTTAATTTAGTACTTAGGCCTAATTGGTACTTAAAATATATGTAGCCTATACGTATATGTATATAGTATCTATTTAATTTTATAAAGTATGTTTTGTTTATCTGTCAACTGTTGAATAGTTACATTAATACATACTCATACTGTTACTAGAATCTAGTACACATAACACATATGAACTAGTTACTAGATTTCTAGTAGTAGGCCTGAAAATCACTGTAGTTTAAGTGTTGGCATTGTCTCATGATTGTGTGTGTTTAGCCTACTTGAATTTAGTCTAATAGTAGATCTATAAATCTATAGTAACTACTAGGCCTAACTAATTTAAATCTAGATCTAGATCTAGTAATTTTACCGTGTGTATGATCCAAAAATTCTGTAATCAGTACTTTCTTTTGCCATTCAGGAAATATTTGAAAACTCGATGAATTTTCGTTTATAACTAGATCTATATTCTAACTAAAATACGCATCATTTGGGCCCTGATTTGTTTGGCTGAAAATGCTGTGTAATCCTTATACTTATATACTAGATCTAGATTAGATCTAAATCTAATCTAATAATAATATTGTTATTTGCACTTATTTCTATCAGCTGTTTAGTTCTACAGTATTAAATCTTCTTCTTGGGGAAACCAGCAAAATGTTTGTTTTTTTACTGCTAGATTCTAGGCCTAGCCATTTTTAATGAATTTTTGGTCCTGGGGATGCTGCTAGAGAGTAGGTAGGGTAAGTGTGTCTTGTGGCGCCTTTAAGACTTTAAGGCCTAAGGAGTCGATGCCTAGTATTATAAGTATAAGTAAAGAAAGTAAACTTATTTAAATTTTGTTGAATTATGCAAAGCATAGACGTCGCGAGGCGGAGGTGTGGACCGCACCGGGTGACACCATTTTGGACATAAATCTGCTAAATGGAGGCGAGCGAGTTGACGTTGACGAGATTCCTTCCATAATCCATAATATTGTTGACATGGAATAAAAACGTGCTTTTTAGATTTAGAACGTAAAAAAAAATAAAAAATAAAAACTTAAGCCTAAAATTAATTTAGAAATTTTAGGCCTATATTCTTAGAATTAATGCTATAAAAGTTACAAATCTAGAGAACTTGAAAATAATTTGTTGAGTTTAAGGCTACATTTCTATTTATTTTCATCAAGCCTAAGTTATAACCGGATGTTTCACTTTCGTAAGACAAATATTGATTGGCTGTACAGTAACTTAGTGATCGATAACTATTTGTTTACAAAACTTTGCAGATCAAGTTTTTAAATAACAATGCAAATTTAAAACCCCATGACCTAGTTTTCTATTTTTAGCTTACAATGTGTACAATAAATCTATGACGGCCTATCCAGGATGCCATTGTTTATGTCGCCATTACACGTGAAAACCAAATTGTTTTTGCTTTTTTTTTAATTTTTATTTAGTTACCGAAAATATTATAAACATCAAATACATCCAATCTTTAGTAAAGTCCGAAAAAAACCAGACAGGCAGGATTTTATAACCATATTAATTGTAACTACGCTGTGCATGATTTTTAAATGAATTTATACACCTCTCAAATACCTTTGAGACTTTTCTCGCTGGTGTCCATTATTTTAGGCTACTAATAATTAGGCCTACTATTACTATTAGTGAAAACAATGTTGCGCATAATAGTCATACAGCTGTATTAGTAGTAACACTGTAACAGACTAGAGAATTTTCAATACTGATATAGCAATCAACTACTGAGGTGGGGGTGACATATCTAATAATTTACAAGAAAACGATGCTTGATTCAACTTGAATTAATAGGCAGATTAATGTGTGTGCACACATATTGTTGCAATTGTGTCGCCCCCTCCATATAAATAAACTGATACTTTTTTGTTGAGGGGGAGGGCGGGGTGTGACACCCGATCTAGCAATTTCTATTAATTTCTTAAAACTAAAACTATTTATTATTCATCAGATGTGTTCAATTAGAAAAATAATTCTTTAATTAATAATTATTTGAAGAAAATATGACCAGAAACATTGGAACAGCGCTACTGAAACTAGTGACTTTAGATGTTACAAATACTCTAATCAAAGTGGCTGGCTCTCCTGGGCTTCATTATGCAAGTATTGGTCGCAAGCATGGAATACACATAGAGGAGGACGTACTAACAGGTAATTCTATGTACTTTTAAAAACTCATTCATTTCTATTAAAGTCATATATTGTTGTTATAATATCTTTACAATAATCCTACCCCTAACCTAATCATTCACTCTTATTTTTTTTAGCATTTCTGACTTGACTGTAGACATCACTCAATACATAGATATGTATTCATAAAAACCTATTTTTATACCCTGTTACTGTTCGCCATAAATTAATTTTAATATGTATATTATTTAAGATTGGGTTTTTAGTTGACATGAATGAAGTATTTCAAAATGAACTTGAAAAATTACAAAACAAATGTTTGCATTTTTTTGCCATTATTATTTTTCATTGAATGTTAAAAAAAGTTTTGATAATATTTCAAATAATTTGCTTTGTAGGTCTCTTTTTGAAATACTACAAGCATTACTCAAGCAAGTATCCAAACTTTGGGGCACAAAATGCGATGCCGTCAAAAGTTTGGTGGGCCTTGCTTGTTAAAGATTGTTTTCAAAGTGTTGACAGCAGGCTAACAGATGACATATTAGACAAAGTGGCCAATGATTTATACTATCATTTTACTACTCCTAAAGCATGGGAATTTTTGCCAGGTGCTCTTGAAGCAATCAAAGTAAAGAAATGTGGAATTGACAATTAGAAATAGTTAAAGAACTGAATAATTTTTAAAGTCTAAAGTAAATAGGCCTATATTTTTTTTTTAAACTCTGTAAAATGTATACATTATTTTACAATAGTTAAAATTAATGGAGGTATTATATCTATTTTTATTTAAAGTCACATTAATATTTTTCCGTCTCATCATCAGGATCTTCGGCAATATAAAGTAAAACTTGGTGTGATTTCCAACTGGGATCATCGACTTTATAAAGTGCTATTGACCATGAACATGCGGCATTACTTTGACTTTGTTTTACCATCGTATGTTGTTGGTGTTGAGAAACCGGACAGCTACATTTTCCAACAAGCGTTAAAGGTCAGAGTTTACCTTTTAACAATTTTTTACTACAGCAAGTTAAATTTTAACACATTTCATAGATAGGCAGGATTAAGTGTGAATATAGATTATATTTGGGAGTAAAGTTGAAAGTTTTTTAATGTGTTTTTTTTTCAACAGGCTGCAAATTGTTTGCCTGAGGAGTCTGTACACTTTGGGGACAGTTTGAAAAAAGATTTTATTGGTGCTCAGGATGTGGGGATGGGAGCTTATCTTCTGAGAACCCCTGGTGCTGACCAAACTTCCATAGACCAGAGCCTGGTGGTAGACTGCATCGCAGATTTTGTCAGCGCCATCCGCCCAAGATTTCACACTCATAAGTCTTGATACCTGGTTGATTTTATGGTTTAAAAAAGAAAGATAATTAGGATTTGATTCTGTTGGCTGTGGATTTAGATTTTTTTAGTTTAAATGGCAATGCTCGTATTTTTTTAAAAAAAATCGCTTACTCTATCTTTTTTATTATCATAGTCTACATACCTGCAGTAGAGAAGTGACACCTATAAACAGAAATAGGATTCATGTACCTGATGTCATTTTACGACTAATTGTAGTTTGTTTTAAATATTACCAATTTACAATAGTTGTTTCTTAGAAAATATTTCATGTGTTAGTTCTGGTCTAATATGATGCTTATAAAATAATTAGTCACAAAGTAACTAGTAGGTTACTGACCAAGTTGGTGAAAAAAATTATTAAAATGCTATATAAATGTGAACCTTTTTTACTGCAAGTTATAGCAGAATATATGCAGGCAAAATGAAATATCTAAACTGGCTTGATTGATTGCAAAAATTCAATAGGTAATTTTTATTGAATCCGATAAGTATTATTTTACTTACTACCATTGATTTTTGTTATGTATAATTGTAATGTACTGATAGTGATGTTAATTTTTGTTGTTTCAAATAAAAATTAAATCTTTCACAAATTTTGTTCGTCTATCACTCAATGTGTATGTTTGGGCAGCGGTTTAGCTTCTTAGTGGGCTCTTCTAATAAGGGCCACTTTAAAAAAGTTATCATGGGCGGAGGGGGTGGGAGAGAAAAATTGAAAAAATTGAAACAGTACCCAACACAAGTGGCCTTGTGCCTTTGATTTTATTTATGAAATTATTAGTTCTCCTTGCAGTCATACATTCAATTGAATTAATTTTCGCAAATAAGGCTAATTCAGTGCAGTGTTTCTTCCAGACTTTTTCTCAGAGGGGACAGGATTAAAATTTCGGGGGGGGGGGGGGGGGGGGGGTCGGACACTGGTAAAAGTATATATTTTCTATATAAATTATGTTTCGTTCAAGGGGGGGAGGTGACACCATGAAGTGCCGCACCGGGTGACACCCTACCTAGCGACGCCACTGAGATAATATTATACTGGCCAACTTTCAGACTGTCAAGCGATGTTGACAGTTTAGGGTTTCGCGATGTCTGATTGGCTGAGGGAGATACCAGCCTGAAGTGAACACGGTTCGCTTGGATTCGTTACCACTTTCTTCGTCAGGGTATCCACAGCTGATGTTGGGGATTTTATGAACATTTTTGTTTTATCAGGGGATACTTGAGCGTTGGTGTCACTGCGTACTGTACAGGCGTATGAAGCTTTCCCAATTCCTGACTAGCGTGTTGACGGCGTACGGTTTTTAAATATCATGTGGCGGGCATTTGGTCTGCTTTAGAAGCTTGGTCGTTGGTAGAGGTTCATCGCTTGAAATGAGTAATTAGGGTTCTTCCATAAATGACGTCACATTAATGTGGAGGTGGGGTGGGTGTCCTTTAAAAGCAATATCAGAAAACGAGTTTTAGCCGTTATTTAGAAACAGTTTTAGAAAACTGTTTTAATACATTGCAATGGAAATTGTTTAAAATACTCTATGTTGACAGAGTCCAGACAAGATTTTGGAAAAATATAGATGTTTTAATTAAGAAAAACTCAACTGCAATTTTGAGGGAGTTGTATGCTGAGGTGTGGCGTTTTTTTAAGGGGGGGGGGGGTCTAGCTTTTTGTGACGATGTGTAACGGAGTGGAGGTGGGGGGGGGGGTAGAAAGCGTCAAAAAAGCGTGACGTCATTTATGGATGACCCCCTTATGCCGCAAAAAAATTACAAAATATTAGACCAGTTATCTCTACAATTTCTGCATTAAGAGCTGTCTTTGCAGAGAGTGGGGTTCTCTCGACTGAATTTGGTTAATCTTATGGCTTATGAGTTTGGCTTGGAGCCAACTGAAGGGTGCTTAAATCCCTTTCACTTTAGTGACTGACTGGGGGTTAGTAAAGTTGGCGGTGGTGGCGTCACACATCGTCACCAGACATTACAGGATGACAGGTTGTGAAGGTGTCTCAGTTCTTTCCAAGCGTAAGCTAAAGTAGGGCCTACATCTTTGTGGCGTTCGTCTCTCATGATGTCACAGGCTGTGTTGAGATTTAGGGGTCATCCATTTATGACGTCCACAAAAATTTGGAATTTTTTTAGCACCCCCTCCCCTCGTCCACACGCGTCTAGTTTCGACACCCCCCCCCCCCCCCCCATTGTGGAAGTCATAAATGGATGACCACTTATATGTTTTGAACGCGTGACAGCCGTTTTTTTTTCATCTAACTGCACGCACTAACGAACTATAGATAAATAGAGTTTATGGGAGGAGAGGAAAATACTTTGATTCTTGTGATCCAATCCTAGTCGACATTGTAATCTTTGCGGTGTTTATTTTAGGATGATAAAACAACGCAGCAAAGATTTGAACAAAAAATAATATTTTATTCACTTTCGCCCTGCTTGGTATCCAAACAACACCTTTACACAGTTTACAAATAACAAATTACTTTCTATTATTGCCGGAGTTGTCTCTCCTAATGTATTTGTTATACTGCAAAATTTACAAGTTTACCGTGTGTATGATGGGGAGGGGAACGGAGGGTAATGCGTTTCCTGAAGAAATGTTATGCTTTTCAGCATTGGTCTTTCACATTTCTCATGAGGACAGGAAAGAGTTGTTTTTTTTTTGTAATACCAAACGGCGTGACATACTGTCATTGTTTGTGATTCCCCACCCCCCACCTCGAGAGTACGTCCCACAATTTGGTATTATTAAATTTTACAAAACACGACTGCTTAACAGCAACATGAAACCCGTGCTCCTCTTTGTATCTGAGAGATGGAGAGTAACACAAACTAATAACAACAAACTCCAGACTTTCATTAACGAATGCCTGCGTCGCATATTGAATATCGGGTGATCTGAAAAAATTACCAATGCCAAACTGTAGAGAAAAGCTGGGCAAGACCCTATTTGCAAAGAAATACAAAAGTGCAAATGGTATGGATTGGCCACACCTTGTATAAAACTAACTAGCGACATCACCAGACAGGCGCTAGATTGGGATATCCAATGAAAAAATGAAAGTAGGTAGGCCAAAAACTTGGAATATGTCAGCTGTAGAAGAAGCAGAGGCAGCCGGATTGACCCAGCTTGGAGGAATCGCCCAGAACCGAGTGCAATGGAGAGGTGGGGTCAGAGGCGTAGCGACCCCTCCCGGCGCCCGGGGAAAACTTTTAATTTGGCGCCCCCCCCCCATGTATTTTTATATCGGTCGGCGCCCGGGGACATATGTACCCCCCTGCCACCCCGTAGCTACGACTCTGGGTGGGGTTGCGACTCTATGCTCCACAAGGGGTCCACGGGAATGATGATGATGATGATGATGATGAACATTAGGGAAAAGGGTAATTTTTTTTAAAAGAATGATTTCTACTGCCGTGTTTATTTTACCATAAAGATATCACGCGGAGTTAAAGATTACAGCTAAATCATTTTAAAAGAAGGTTTATTTTTCTTCTTGAAATTTTTTAAACTTCGTTTTAAACTTGTGCACCTTTATGCACGATTCATAACAACATTGCACACCAAATGTCTGATCGACTAATGAGGAACGATGAAGCTAAACACTTCCAGACATGTTTGTTAAAATAGGACATTTATGCATGTAGTTTGTTTACATTCCGGCCGGAAGTTCAAGATCCTGGTGGGGTGAGCAGAACACAGCCTTAGGTTGATTTCTATTTTGGCTAAAGGACATACCTTCTGCTATTATTTAACGTTTACGCAATTGAAATGTAGACTGGGTACACACGAAGCTATTGTTAAGGCTTTTTGGTCAGTAGTTATTAGATCTATATTAAATCACACATTTAGTTGTTAAATAGACCTTCTACTTTTAAAAAAAGGAATGAAAATATTTACAATTTTTTGTGTGGTGTGTTTTGAAGTTAACAAACTTTGATTAACCTTAAAATAAATTGAATTATTATACAGTGAACATATATCTGGGAAGGGAAAGTAAGTGGGGTAAGAACGAAATCATCTCTTGGAAAGGGTTCGGTACCAGTGTTTCTTCTAGACTTTTTTCTCCGGGGGTGCACTTGAAATTTTCGGGGGGGGGGTGGGGGGGTGGGGTGGGGGGTGGAAGCGGACAACAATTTCCGGGGGGGGGGGGGGCGGACACTGTCAAAAGTATATATTTCCTATATAAATTCCATTTCATTCGGGCAGGGGGGGGGGGGGGCGGTAGACTTTCTTCGAAGAGATACCTGGAAGAAACTCTATTTGGTACGCATAACTGATTATAAATCTAGTTGGCCTACATCAAGTATAATTAGAGCTGATTTTGAAAACTCATGGGGACGGTGGAGAAGGCGGGGGGGGGGGGGGGGAGGAGGAGGTTGTCTAAAACCAAAGGTAGGCGATTTGGTGTATGTTATTTCTTACCTTAACGTAATCTACATCCTGTTTCCATTATAGACCAATCAAATGGCCGCTATACCTATAAATGCAGTGTTGTTGCATTGTTGAAAGCGACAGCGAGGATCAAATACTTGAGCTACTGCAGTCCAGTGACGGCCCGGATGATTGTGAAGGTTTCCAGAGAAACTGGCCGAAGACTAAAATGTTTGAGCACACCAATCGTGGGAAAAAATACTGGAACAAAATCAGGAAACAGGTCTGGAAGGAAATGCGTAAGATGGTAGGTCAAGCAGTAGCGTAGCGAGGGGGGGGAGGGGACATATGTCCCGGGCGCCGACCTCAGGGGGCGCCGACATGGGTTGGAAAAATAAATTGAAAGGTTGAGGGTGGTTCAAAGCGCAAGTTTGAGGGTGGGGGGGGGGGGGGGGGGGTTGTGCAAATCGAAATTTTGAGGGGGGGGGGGGTGCAAATCAAAAGGAAAAGTTTGTCCCCGGGCGCCGGGTAGGGTCGCTACGCCTCTGAAGTCAAGTGAAACATTGGACAAGTTGCCTTGTCGTCGTCATTCATCTGTGTTGGTGTTTCCATTCAGGCATTTTATCCGAGGGGGGGGGGGGTCACACCCTCCTCTTTACCAGTACAAAATAAAATAATTAGCATAATATATACTTTCAGCATTTTTCCCCACTCTCCCTTAAGTTTCAAGTGTGCCCCATCCCCGGAGCTAAACGTCCGAAAAAAAACCCAGTTCTGAGTTATAACAACTGCTGGGTACGCAAATCCGCTTAGTTATTGCCTCAACCCACTCTACAATTTACTTTCTGTCTACACTGTTCTTTGAGTCTTCATTTTATTTTGAGCTGCCCTTCGAACAGTCAACTTGAGTCTATGTCTTTCAGAAGTTGGGCCAATATAAAAACGTTGGTGTACCAATTGAGTGACTCTCATTAATTACATTTAATTTAAAAAAAAACGTGGTCGAGTCGGTAAAGCTATGGTTGCTCTAGAGAAACGTCTCGAGCTTGAACCCCGCAGGCAGATGAGGTTCGATAGCTGGGGACAGCAACTCTTGTAGAAGAGACAACTCCAAAATCAAACAACTGCTTCCTCGCTGTTTGTTCTTGGTCGGACAAAGGCTATAGGGCAGGGGGTAGTCCATACATGACGTCACACTCGTAGGGGGGGGGAGGGGGGTCCGTAATTTTGTGACGGTGTGTGATGAGGGGGAGGGGGGGCTTCAGATGCTGTGACGTCACACTTTTGCATAATAAAAAAGCAACGTTAGAAAACCAATTTTAGCGTTTTAGAAAACTGTTTTAATAAAATGTTATAGGAATTGATTAAAATACTCTGTTGACTGAGGAGTGACGTTATTTTGTGTGTGTGTGTGGGGGGGGGGGGGGCAGATCTGACTTTTTTTGAAGATGTGTGACGGAAGGGAGGGGGGAGGTAAACATCGTCAAAAAAGCGTGACGTCATTTATGGATGATACCATATAGGTAAATCCTAATCAAGGCTGAAATCGGAGTCAACGGCCTAAATGACGTATAACAAGTTCACATAATCGTGGTTAGATAATGACGCGTGTCTTATATGCCCAATCTGTAGGATGTTTGGCGACACAATCAGACGCGTAAGAATGGAGGCAAGTACGGTATACGCTGGTCGTTTTCTGTCGATGTAGCTGAGCAGGAGCGGAAGTTGAGGCTGGCCGAATCAAAGGTGCTGTCTGAGGGGGCCACAGGGGACGCCAAGTACTTTAAGCTTGGGTGAGGTTCAAAACTCTTTCAAATAGGCAGGCAGTCTAGCACTTTGTATGATGTGAGATAGGCAGTCTAGCACTTTGTATGATGTGAGATAGACAAGTACTTTGTATGATTTGAGACAGTCAAGTATTTTGTATGATTTTATACAGTCAAGTACTTTGTATGATTTGAGACAGTCAAGTACTTTGTATAATGTGAGATAGGCAGTCTAGCACTTTGTATGATGTGAGATATTCAGGAAGTCAAGCACTTTGTATGATGTGAGATATTCAGGAAGTCAAGCACTTTGTATGATGTGAGATAGGCAGTCAAGTACTTTGTATGATGTGAGATAGGCAGTCAAGTACTTTGTATGATGTGAGATAGTCAAGCAGTCAAGCACTTTGTATGATGTGAGACAGTCTAGCACTTTGTATGCTGTGAGATAGGCAGTCTAGCACTTTGTATGATGTAAGATAGGCAGTCTAGCACTTTGTATGATCTGATATAGTCAGGCAGTCAAGTACTTTGTATGATGTGAGATAGTCAAGCAGTCAAGCACTTTGTATGATGTGACATAATCAGGCAGCTTTACTTATTTCAAATTAGTAATGTTTTGGTGTCACCCCTCTCCCTGTTGCCTTTTGGATAGTTTCAGTCTGCTTTTAATGGTGTAGGCTATTAACCTATTACCAGTTATTAATGTAATTAGAGAGGAACAAGGTTTAATCAGAATATTTTTCCTTTGATTTCACCTCCTAACCCTGTTCGTCTGTATAATCAGCGCCCCTCCTCCCCGTCTGTAATATTATTGATCTCCTTGGATAAACATGTTATTTAAACTAAGGATACTAGATCTCATCAGGCTGATGTAGTTCTGTATTAGAAGGGTTAATGATTGGTTGATGTTGACATGGACCCACGTCTGAAACCAAACGCTTAAATTTTATTTTTTAGTGCTTTGATAGAAAAAGAATCGCTCAACGCTTTGGGATGCGAACCCACGCCTTACCAATCTGACGAGATCAGTTTAGTGGATCCAGTTCCGTTATTTCTAAATGTTGACAGGTAGTGCAGATGTGTTTGTTTACCTCATAGACTTGTACTTTTTATTAGAAACTTCTTAGCATTAGATTATTGACTTAGTCCTCTTTGCTCCTTATGGAATATAGGGCCTCCACCATTTCCTTCCATTTTATCCGATCCCCGGCTATTAATTCTGCCGTCTCCCAAGACATCCCTGTTGGCTTCAGTTCTTCAAGAAGACTCCGCCTCCAGGTCTGTCTTGGGCGCCCTCTCTTCCGCTTTCCCTGGGGGTTCCACTCAAGCGCTTGGCGTGTCACATTTGGGTGAGCCTTTCGCAGTGTGTGTTCCGCCCAGCGCCACTTCCTCCATTTTATTTGCAATGCCATAGGCTTCGGCATTGCCTTTCTCCATAATTCTATGTTCGGCACTTTGTCCTGCCACCTCAATTTCAAAATCTGTCTAAGGCATATGTTCATGAAGGTCATTAGATTATTAAAGTTATTAAATTAGCAAGACCACCAATTAAAATTTCGCTTTATAATTATTTATTTTTTAAATTACGAAAATCTACTCAGGCACACGAAGTTCATTAATAGGGACAGCATCACATATGGGATAGAGAAAGTCTATCGTAGAAACAAACCTTATATATAAAGTATATAATTTTATAATAATTTAATATAATAATTATTTAATAAACTTTTTTATGTTTCTATACTCGCAGCCTGCCACCTATCAAAGAGTTACCGAGGCCCGTGAATGGCTACTCAGAGTATCCCCCTGATGAGGTCGAGCCCTACATTCACGCACATTGGAGTCAAGAGGACTACGATGAAACAGATTCAGACTAGTAACACATCTGACACTAGTAAAATTTACTACATACAACCGATGCGTTTTCATGAGTTATTTTTAGGCTAAAAATAATTCATGATATAAACCTACACATTTTGATGCGAGATAATTAGGCTCCATAAAAAAAATGTACTGCGTAAACCACACACATTTGAATGTGTGATCTGTAGGTACAACAAATAATTTTCTAGCATACACATATTGATATGTGATCTTTAGGCTCAGCAAAAACTTTACTTCATAAACCCCACAAATTTTGATGTGAGATCGTTTAGTTCAAAAAATTTTAGTTCATAAACTAAAAAAAAATATTTGTGGTGTGATTTTTAAGCTCAACAAAAAATGTACCAGATAAACATAATAAAATACATTGTGATGTGAGATCATTAGGACCAACAAAAAAATTTTGTCGTGAGATTTTCAGGCTCAACAAAAGAATTCACAACATAAATCCACGTTTTTGTTGGTATGGTCTTCCAGTGGCGTAGCTAGGGGAGGGCGGGTGGGACGGCCGCCCAGGGCGCCGATCCTAAGGTTGCGCAAAATGGGTGGAAAAGAGTTTAAACGGTTATTTTAAGCTAGGATATTGAATTATACACAATCAAAGTTAATAAAGTAAACTGCTACATGGCTTTACACACAAACTTAACTGTTTCGACATCAAATGTAAGGGCCCAAAATAAAAAACCTTTACGGGACTGTTAAAAGTGCCACCAGCCTTTCCAAATGCGGGGGTGGGCCTTTTTAAAACCAGCGTGAAAAACTATGTAGTCTAATATAGGGAGGGAAGGGGGGATGTGATAGTTTGCCACGGGCTCCTGAATTTATTGCCATAACGGTGTATGTTTGTTTGGCTACTTACTTCAAGTTCTGTGTGCAGAGATGTTGCTTCTATTCACTAAATGGTTTTGTGATATCTTCTTTTTCTTAGTATATATATATATATATATATATATATATATATATATATATATATATATATATATATATATATATATATATATATGTCAACTACTGACAATAAATCACGCATAACTAAAGCCAAGCGAGATTTTTTGCAAAAAAAAAACTGGCTATCGAAGGAAGAGACCGAATGCAGATCTTTTTACCAAAATAATGTCCTATCTGTTCTTTTGTTTATCAATAAATGCAGGAAAGCAACCATCTCTTCCATCTACATATTGTTTGCTTTGTATAGTAAGTAGGCCTACCGGGCCGCCTACCGGGCTGCCTACCGGGCCGCCTATCGGGCCGCCTACCGGGCTGCCTACCGGGCCGCCTACCAATGAATGATAAATGGCAACCACCGGCGCAAGACTATCTTTAATAATAGGCAGTTGCGTAGCCAGGATCGTCTCAAGGGGGGGGGGGGGTTCTAATTTTTACCCGGAGACAAACTTTCGATTTGCACCCCCTCAAACTTTCGGTTTGCACCCCACCTCAAACTTTCGATTTGCACCCCCCTTATACTTTTTATATATACCGAGGGGTCTATGGGGGGGGGGGGGGGGGTTATGACCCCCCTTAACCCCCCCTGCCTACGCCACTGATAATAGGTTTCTAGAAACTAGGAGACTTAGAAATTGAAACTTTCTGAATTAACTGAAGAAAGATGGCGCTGGATGTGCCATGTATTAAGGATGAGACCAGACGAGGTTACAGCAATGGCGTTCGATTGTCCAGCTCTAAGAGGACTATGAAGCTTGAGCAGAAAACTACTGACAGGAGCAGAGAAAGTTGCAAAAGACTGGCTTTCTCTGGCGGCCCATTTACCCTGGGCATCGACGGTAAAAGACGATGATGATGAATTTAGATAAATTACTATACTATGACCATTCTGATAAAAATCATGCAAAAAATAATTTTAAAACATTTTTTTTTCGGTACACCAAAGACCCAAGTTGGTCGTCTTTGAATTAATATATCGAGTGTTGCTTTTCAATGTTTTAATTGCAACAAAAAAAATTCAAACTTTTAAAACTACCTTTGGAAACTGCTGAAACTCACCCCCTAATTTTTATTTCTGTCTACGTTTAGCACAAAGTACGAACAATAAGATTTTTTGTTTTAATGCAAGCTTTTATTGAACTTGTTTACTCTGTATGTCTGTATGGGTCGAAACGAGAAAGCGTCTGGAGACGGTTGCCCGCTAAGTCACCCACTTACTTAACAATTGGATCCGCCAATGTATGTCAAGCTTACATTAAAAAAGATATTAATTGTAGTACGACACGTATCATTTATCGACTGGCTAGACATTTGTAATACTGTCTCAAATTCGAAATGTTCTCGCTGTGGAATTTTAATTAACTGCTCAGTAGTTTAATTAAATTTGTGGAATGTAGAATGTTCTATTCAATGTTATATCCTATATTACTTGTTACACAGAAGATTTATTAACTGTAATTTGCAAATAAGGAAGTGGACGGCCATTTTAGGTAGGATATAATGTGACGCAGTGGACGGCCATAGTAGCCATATTCACTACTGACGTAGTGTACGGCTGTCATTGCTATTTTTGACAGTGACGAAGTAGATGGCCGATATTTCTAGTTTAAAAAGTGCCAAAATGGACGGTCTTTACAACTAGGTTCACTGTAGGATTAGTGGAAGACCGTTATAGCTATTCTATCAGGTGACCAAGTGGGGGGGGGGGGGGCTGTTATAGCTATTCTATCAAGTGACCAAGTGGGGGGGGGGGCTGTTATAGCTATTTTAACAAGTGACCAAGTGGACGGCTGTTATAGCTATTTTATCAAGTGACCAAGTGGGGGGGGGGGGGCTGTTATAGCTATTTTATCAAGTGACCAAGTGGGGGGGGGGGGCTGTTATAGCTATTCTATCAAGTGACCAAGTGGGGGGTGGGCTGTTATAGCTATTCTATCAAGTGACCAAGTGGGGGGGTTGTTATAGCTATTCTATCAGGTGACCAAGTGGGGGGTGGGCTGTTATAGCTATTCTATCAGGTGACCAAGTGGGGGGGGGGGGCTGTTATAGCTATTCTATCAGGTGACCAAGTGGGGGGTGGGCTGTTATAGCTATTCTATCAGGTGACCAAGTGGGGGGGCTGTTATAGCTATTCTATCAAGTGACCAAGTGGGAGGCTGTTATAGCTATTCTATCAAGTGACCAAGTGGGGGGGGGGGGCTGTTATAGCTATTCTATCAAGTGACCCAGTGGGGGGCTGTTATAGCTATTCTATCAAGTGACCAAGTGGGGGGGGGCTGTTATAGCTATTCTATCAAGTGACCAAGTGGACGGCTGTTATAGCTATTTTATCAAGTGACCAAGTGGGGGGGGGCTGTTATAGCTATTCTATCAAGTGACCAAGTGGACGGCTGTTATAGCTATTCTATCAAGTGACCAAGTGGGGGGGGGCTGTTATAGCTATTCTATCAAGTGACCAAGTGGACGGCTGTTATAGCTATTTTATCAAGTGACCAAGTGGGGGGGGGGCTGTTATAGCTATTCTATCAAGTGACCAAGTGGGGGGGGGCTGTTATAGCTATTCTATCAAGTGACCAAGTGGGGGGGGGGGGGGCTGTTATAGCTATTCTATCAAGTGACCAAGTGGGGGGGCTGTTATAGCTATTCTACCAAGTGACCAAGTGGGGCAGGGTGTTATAGCTATTCTATCAAGTGACCAAGTGGGGGGGGGCTGTTATAGCTATTCTATCAAGTGACCAAGTGGGGGGGCTGTTATAGCTATTCTATCAAGTGACCTAGTGGGGGGGGGGCTGTTATAGCTATTCTACCAAGTGACCAAGTGGGGAGGGGGGGGGGTTTATAGCTATTCTATCAAGTGACCAAGTGGGGGGGGGGTGTTATAGCTATTCTATCAAGTGACCAAGTGGGGGGCTGTTATAGCTATTCAATCAAGTGACCAAGGGGGGGGGCTGTTATAGCTATTCTATCAAGTGACCAAGTGGGGGGGGGGCTGTTATAGCTATTCTATCAAGTGACCCAGTGGGGGGCTGTTATAGCTATTCTATCAAGTGACCAAGTGGGGGGGGGGCTGTTATAGCTATTCTATCAGGTGACCAAGTGGGGGGGGGGGCTGTTATAGCTATTCTATCAAGTGACCAAGTGGGGGGGGCTGTTATAGCTATTCTATCAAGTGACCAAGTGGGGGGGGGCTGTTATAGCTATTCTATCAGGTAACCAAGTGGGGGGGGGGCTGTTATAGCTATTCTATCAAGTGACCAAGTGGGGGGCTGTTATAGCTATTCAATCAAGTGACCAAGTGGGGGGGCTGTTATAGCTATTCTATCAAGTGACCCAGTGGGGGGCTGTTATAGCTATTCTATCAAGTGACCAAGTGGGGGGGGGCTGTTATAGCTATTCTATCAGGTGACCAAGTGGGGGGGCTGTTATAGCTATTCTATCAAGTGACCAAGTGGGGGGGGGGGCTGTTATAGCTATTCTATCAAGTGACCAAGTGGGGGGGGGCTGTTATAGCTATTCTATCAAGTGACCAAGTGGGGAGGAGGCTGTTATAGCTATTCTATCAAGTGACCAAGTGGGGGGGGGGGCTGTTATAGCTATTCTATCAGGTGACCAAGTGGGGGGGGGGGGCTGTTATAGCTATTCTATCAAGTGACCAAGTGGGAGGCTGTTATAGCTATTCTATCAAGTGACCAAGTGGGGGGGGGCTGTTATAGCTATTCTATCAAGTGACCAAGTGGGGGGCTGTTATAGCTATTCAATCAAGTGACCAAGTGGGGGGCTGTTATAGCTATTCTATCAAGTGACCAAGTGGGGGGGGGGCTGTTATAGCTATTCTATCAAGTGACCCAGTGGGGGGCTGTTATAGCTATTCTATCAAGTGACCAAGTGGGGGGGGGCTGTTATAGCTATTCTATCAAGTGACCAAGTGGGGGGGGGGGCTGTTATAGCTATTCTATCAAGTGACCCAGTGGGGGGGGGGCTGTTATAGCTATTCTATCAGGTAACCAAGTGGGGGGGGGCTGTTATAGCTATTCTATCAAGTGACCAAGTGGGGGGCTGTTATAGCTATTCAATCAAGTGACCAA